AACATCTTACTACTCCTGGAAGGATCCTCGAGCCTCCATGAACCCAGTCCACGCCCCATCAAAGGGCCAGACCTTGTGGACTCAGTCAAAGATCACCGCAGAATGGCCGGTTGACTCTGAAATGACTTCGGCTGATGTTCCAGAGGAGCTGACCAGCGTCAAGGTCTGGTATGATGATGGATCGGCGGCTGCTGAGAGGATCACGGAGCTGTTGCGTCTTAGTGTGCGAGACCCGAGCATTCATTCCGAAGCTGTCAAGTGGTCAAGCGGTCTCGTACGCAAGGCTCAACAGATGTGGCATTCCCGAAAGATCACCGTCCTGATGTCTAACAGCGAAGCCTTCTCTCGCGCTGGCCTTGGTGACCTCTCATCGTTCAGCTATAACGACGGTGATGTCCTTCAGATCGGCTTTGGCGCCATGGGAGAGAGCGAGCAAAAGATCGCAACTTGGCACCCCATGCTCGCTGTTATGGTGTGCGAGTCGTTGATGTATCACCTCGCCCGCTCTGGGCTCAAGCTTCCTCATGCTCAAGGTGTCCAGGCTGAACACTTTGTTCATGGCACTGATGCCTTGTCCAAGCGTATTCAGCTCGAGCTGGCTCCCCAGAACTCCCAGGGCTTGTTCCGCGTTGCTCTCAAGACCGAGATGAATGTGATGAAGCATCTCTGCTTGGGCATTGATGTCAACTCCAAGTGGGAGAGCACGCCCCAGATTGTGCGTCAGGTGGTCCTCGATCGTATCTATGGCGAGGAGGTTTCCATCTCTGCTGAGTTTGCTTCTTGGCTCGCCGAGACACAGTTCGACATGCAGAGCGTTGACTTCCATCTCAACCTCACCCTTCAGATCTACCGTCAGTGCAGGGAGAATCTCGGTCGTGTGGTTCACTTTCAACCCCCCAAGTCACACGACTTGACCGTTTTCCCTGCTGATCTGCAGGCCACCAGCATCCCGTCATCTCACGGCCAACATTGGCTTTTCTCTGCTTTCCGCTTCATTGTCACGGCTTGCTCTTCCCTGGTCAAGTGGTTTGCCATTCTGTCTGGCGCTGGATCAAACATCGAGCGAGAGCTTACGTACAGCCTTGCCCGTGTCCCTATGAGAGGAGTTATCATCTGGTTTCTCCTGCTCTTGTGGAAGATCTGTTGGATCATCAAGAACACCTGGGTCTATTGGATCATTCTTCATGACAAGCCTGCCCTTCTCAATATTGCTCGCCTTGCGAAGAAGGGCGAGAGGCGCAAGATCAAGCTGAACAGAGGCGCCATCGTTGTCGAGCAGCCGAGAAAGACTGTTACTGGCTTCGTGTCGAAAGGTCATGACGGTTCTATGCTCCTGACTGTGCATAACGGTATCCTCAAGGAGGCCCTCAAGGAAGAGGATGCCCTGTTTATCGCCACGTACGATCGGGATCTTCGTCTCGAGACCCGTGTTGAGAAGGGATCGTCGAGGACTGCAATCTATCAGTACGCCGAGAAGAGCTCCTCACGTCAGCCTACTAGCATCGAGACTACCTACAAGAGTGGCGTGTCCAGTACTGGATACTATGACAAGTACGGCAGAATCACCAAAGGAACCATGTCGCTCGATGGCAAGGATATTGCCTTCCAGTACCACTACCGGGCCACGCCCAAGGGCAACGCCGATCTCCTCCGCGCCGACTTCAAGCCGGCTAACTCTGCTACCGAAGATTGTTTGTCCGTCTTCTGGGGCAAGCCAGCTGATCTAGAGAGCTACGACTGGGTGCCATCACAACTCGTTCACTTGATCATCCAGAAGATCGATGGTCGAACGTATGTTACCGAGTACGACTACCAGCATCGCCGTGATCCCACCATCGTCTCGCATCTCCAAGAGGCAGATGGAAGCAAGACCGCCCTCTCTAAGAGACCGCAGCTTTTCTCCGATGACAGCAAGCTCCTTGTTCGCCCTGAGAACCTGTCGTTCGACTCGGAGGACCTTCTCATCTACCACAACCGGCTACAGGTGAGGGAGATGCGACGTAAGGCAAACAATACACCCACTCTCGTCACATACCTCAACCCGCTCTTCTGGCTTGCACAGTGGAATCGACGCCTTTACAAGCGTATGCCAACCTGGCGTGTTCGAACTGAGCTCTGGAGCCTCTGGGTCAAGAGCACCAGTCTTGACGCCTTCACAGCATGCTGGGTCGACGAGCTCATCCTTCGAGAGGAGCCCTTGCTTCAAGACTACTGGCGTGCTCGGGATAGTGGACGACTGGAAGAGGCACGAAGGGCTCTCGATGACAAGATTGATCAAATTGTCTCAGCCATCAACATCGACGCGGACGTCTCTGAGGTCAGCCTACTCGCAATCAAGACATCTGATCTTTACGCCATGGGCCTTGGAAACGATGCCAACCCTGTCACGGCACAGCCTCAGAACTGCTACAAGGACACAGAGGATCGCATCTCGGTCATCTTCAACGATATTGGCTGCTGGCCCGTGTCTCCTGGAGGTGTGTCCAACTGTCGACGTGACCTAGTCAACGGACACACCACGATCCGAAACCATGTCCTCGCCGAGTGTGCCAATGACTATGGTATCCCGCGCTTCCAGATTGAGAAGAGTGTCCAGTCCATGAAGTTGCTCCCTCTCTGGGGTCTTGATGGCAACACAGCTAACCACGGTCTTGTTGACAACCTCCTTCAATCTCAGGTCGATGAGAAGATTGAAGCCACCGACATGGATGCCGATGTTACGGGCATCTTTGTGCCTCTCCTCACAGAGTTCGTCAAGGGTGCTCGAACGAAGCAGTACTCTCGAGCAGACCTCATCAAGTACAGCAACGTATACCTATCCATGGCCAAGTACTACGAGACCAAGGACTACGGTCTCACGTGGAAGTCTCCTGTGGTCCAGCGAGCCTGGATGAGGGCTTGGTTGATCCGTTACGACGACAGCAACATCGCCGACGTGTCGGAATGTTTCGAGATGGAACGTCCTAGCATGTCCGATTTTAGAGACGCCCTCGGTATCTACATGGCCTACCTCTTCATCTACGCTGTTCAGATTCCTGAGGACTGTCCTCGTGTCTTCCAGAGCACCCACCACGGCATCAGCAGTCTCTTTGGTATGATCCTTCAGTGCCGTCGTGGCGTGACCTTTGGCATCTGGGACCATGCCATTCTCTGGCGAGAGACATGTCTCAACATCAGCCCAGCACAGAGTGAGCTTCCGCTTGCGGTGCAGTCTATGCTTCTTGCTGGCATTGGCATGGCTGCCCGTCTCGCCTACTTCCACGCCGACGTCATCATGCCTTGCGCTTCCGTTTTCAATCCGTGAGTTTCCCCATTCAATATTGACCGTAACTATTCGCTAACATGATCACCATAGCATGTGGGAGGTTGAGCTTGGCACAGACGGTGGCAACATCGCCAGCAGAAACATGTTTGAGCGCAAGGTTGACCCCATTGTCAACGGAATCAGCAACATGGATGCTTTCAAGCCTGCCGAGAAGGTTCGCACAGACAAGCCCACGGTTGTCATGCTGTCCAACGTGCAGTTTATCAAGGGAGTCAAGATCGCCATCCAGGCTGCCGACATCATCATCAACGAGATGGGCTTTGAGGACTATCAGCTCGTTGTCTACGGCGCCAAGGACAGACAACCAGCCTACTGCCTCGAGATGGAGAAGCTCATCGTCGAGAGCGGCCTCGCGGGTAAGGTGGTGCTTGCAGGCTTTGGCAATCCCAAGGTTGTGCTCCAGGACGCTTGGCTCTTCATGAACTCGTCCATCTCTGAGGGTCTCCCACTTGCCATTGGCGAGGCGGCCTTGGCTGGTGTTCCCATCGTTGCCACCGAGGTGGGAGCCACTGCTCTGGTGCTCACAGACCCGCAAGATCAGCATCAGCAGTACGGCGAAGTTGTGCCACCCAACGACCCCATGGCTCTCGCTCGTGCTCAAATTAGCATATTGAGCATGGTCGGACCTTGGGCCAAGTTCACCGAGGACAAAGAGGCTGAGCCTCCGACGCTGCCGGACGAGATCCAGCCGGAGCACGTCGACTGGCTGACCAAGCGGTTCTATGAGAAGGCCGATGACCGCCGCAAGCTGGGTCTTCTCTCTCGTGAAGTTGTCCTTCACAGCTTCCACGGTAGCCGCTATCTGCGAGAGCATGAGCAGATGTACTGGATCCAGTGGCACATGTCCCAGATGCGGGCCAACGGTGATTTGAACGGTTCTCCTTTCAAGTTCGGAACCCCACGTCCACTGCGATTTATAGAAGAGGTTACCGACGAGAAAGTAACCGGGGATAACGATTCGGAAAAGGAGAAGGCAAGCCCTCTGGTTCTGAGGAAACGGCATCACCCAGAGGACAAGTCTGAGGGAGGTAATCAAGTATAAAAAGGACGGAAGTATGAGTACATCATTAATGTGTTAATATTGAGAAGATACCTGTATCTAGAGTAAATGTTTATTAAATATTATTTTCTTCGTCATCATTCCGTGTCTTGCAATCAAGCTGCCTGTGGAATAAACATCTATCGCATCGATGACCTGGCCTGGGAGCTACCCTCGCCTGCCTGCACTCAGTGCACAAGTCGGCATAAAGGCTTTAATGCATTGATATGGGGGTGATTAAAGACTTTGCTACGACTGGTAGTGAATGCAAGGGTTATTCATGCCGGCGGCTAAGCTACTCCGTAGCTCTGAGTACTTGCTGGACGCTGCTATGTTATTACAAAGGCATATGTAGTCGAAAGAGAAATGGGCCCTAGCGACGGTTTTAGCGGCTAGTATAGGATATAGTCCGTTTACTCTGCAAGACATATCTATTGTTCCCCATGGGGTTCGCGAAACAAAGCTCCGATTTACGTCCCGTCGATAGTTTTTGGTGGCGTCAATAGTTCCATCGTGCTGTTAGCTCCACTGAAGACATTCACAAGCGTCAAAGCCCATACGAACATGGATCGAATGTGGATCGCTTTAGTCCATAGACTAGCCATAGACTATTGTTTGAGCCCATGCTCAAGGGGGTGCCAGATTATAACCAATCGTAGTATTTGTTTAACTCTCATCGTTCTATCCCGCATCCATCATGATCCTACCCAGTCAAGAGTGATCGCCAATCATGACAGCAGGAATCCTGAGCGAACCTGAATCCAAACCCATGGAGTTAAAATCTCAAGACAGGAGCTTTCTCTCCGGAAGATATGTTTCTTCAATCACGGCTTAGACTCCGCCAACGCGATTCTCCTTCAGGTATGCAGCGATCTTAGGTCTGGCCTCAATTGCCTCCTTAAGCTTCAGAAGAGGACCCGAAAGTTTCGGCTACAAGTTGAACAGTAAGTAAGCATGGCAAGACTGTATCGGAACGGGGGACATCGCTTACTGGATTGGCACCGATCCTTTGATCGTTGTCAAGAGACTGATAAACCGCAAAGTCGACGTATGTAATCTTGTCGCCGAGCAGGTATGGTCCTTCACGCTCCGCGTAGTACTGTGCGATGACGTCGTAGTACCATGGCAAAAACTCGTTGGTGAAATCCTTTGTGACACCCTTGAGTTGGTTCACCCAGTTGTACTTGATAAAGGTCAGCCTACGCACAAGAACAGCATTTCTCAAGAACAATGCTCACCCTCCAGTCGATGTAAACATCCGCGGCAGCATCGACAAAATACTTGTCCCCGCTCGTCTCACCATCATATTGACCGAGCTCTCGAGCTAGATACCGGAGAATCGGGATGTGCTGTAAAATACGCAATTAACACATGACTTGTACATCGAAGGGTGTGGCATAAGCAAACCTGGGTCAGAATGAGGCCATTGTACTCCAATGCAGGCACCTTGCCTGTCCTCGTGATGCCCTTCTGCCGGAGCTTCTCACTTGCGGCAGGCCAGGTGTCGTCGTAGGGATAGCGGACTTCTTTGAACTCGATGCCCGCATCTTTCAAAAACAGACTGTCCTAGCATTAGTGCTTTGCTGTTGCAATGGGGTCAAGGTGAACTTACTTGACGACTTCACCGCGACCAAGACGGCCAATGTCGAGATAGTGATAGACTGGGAGGGCGGATTGGGAAGCCATTGTGTAGAATAGATAGTTGCTATGGAGTTTTGATAAGATGAATGTTGAATAATCACTATTGTCCAAGTGCAATGATGCTGCTATATATCTCGAACTTTGAAGGGCGTCAATGGCATGAGGTCATGCTGACGCTCCACTCGGTCCAAGGGATTTGGAATCATTTTGGTCATTAATAAGCCAACTATTACATAACTCACCCGCCATCGTCAACTACGCCCTTCTGAGAATATCCTAGCGACGAAACAATCTATGAGTGTGAGACAGAATAGCATGTTCCGTTATCTCGCACGTCGTCGGAAAACCTAATGTCCGATATCACTCCTTAGTTGCTGCTCTGGGTTGCCATCTGTGCTCTCCCGACACCAATCCCTGTCATCACCGGTTGTCTTGCTCCCTTAGACCCAGTGTGGCTAACAGACCGACCGTCTGACAGACCGTCTGACAGACCATCTTCAAACCGCAGACCAATTAACCGGCAAATCTCATCAAACCGATAGACCAGAGCTGCCGGTCGGATTAGGTGGTCTAGGTTGGTCTAGGTTAGGGTAGTTTCTAGGGCTACTATTGGTTAGCTCTAGCTTACTTTTACTTTAAGTTGTATAATACGACGCGTCTATGTAATATAATACGTTTACCTTAGTGAATTTTTATATCGTGCTGATCTATCTAAGTTATTATTAATTCGTGCTATATTATTATATCTTTTAGTAGAACTATGAGCTATATATTATTAATACCATAGTCTCTTCTATCTCGCTTACCTCTTATCCTAGCTAATAATAGTTTTAAAGGCATACCCGCCTCACGCGAGGCTATAACTAATAAGATAGATATATTACTATGCGAATTTAAAATTAATTGGGAGAATATCTAGTATAGTAGTAAATAACTTATAGGCGCTAAAAAGAGGCCTTATTATAGGCATATTATCAGCACTAAGATTAAAGAGTTATAGATATACCAATATAGCGCTAATTTAGAGCATCACGGGGTATATTACTAGCTTTATAGGATCTATTATATAAAGAAGAGCTATTTAATAGCTCTATACGTCTCATTGGGGATGTCTTATGCCGCGAGGCACCTACTCCGTTAATACTAAATCATGGAGGCAGGGGAGAGTAATCCTAGCTTAGCGACTCTATTTATATTAGCGGCGATATCTAGCTCTTTATTATCCCGTCTTTTATCGCGGCAGGCTAGCCTTAGCTTATAGCTTACTTTACATTTTAACGAAGGAATATAGAAAGCTCGCTTTATAGACTAGATTATAGTCAAAGATATTACCTTCTGATAGGCATTTAGCGAGCGCCTTTAGTAGCTAATAATAAATAGTGGGGAGCTTATAAGTTAGCTACTTCCGGAATATTATACTATAGTTTATTTATAGATCTATTAAACCTTTAAATCCTAATAGTAAATTATTACTAATCTTATTAAGAATACAATAAGCTTAGTTTACCTAAGCTTCGACCTATAGACTACTTCTAATAGGTATAACTATATTAGAATTATTAGCTACTTTATTAATAATAATAGCGAAAAGCATAATATCCTTCTGTAAAGGTGTGGGCCCGATAGGCACGATCAGGATGATATCAGAGATGAAAAGGTAGGTTCCATATATTGATGTGACTTCAACTTGCCGAAGCCTCTGCGAGCCTTCGACGAAAAAGAGTTTTACGTGGCCTATGGCCTACTTATTATCCGAGGATTTCCCGACCTGCCGGCGATAGCCGGCATGACCCGAATACTCTTACAATTGCCCCCTCTCCAGGGAGCTTAGTCCCACAAGCTCATCCGGCCAATCATCTTATTCCTTTGTTCAACACCAAAGACATCTAAATATAGCTGTCTTTCAACGATTTTAGGCTTCAATGCCTCTTTGTGATGTTTCGCCGATTGTTCGCCGTTCCCTTTGCGTTTTCCCTTTGTGATGATTGTGGTCTTTGTCGTAGGGTCGTTATTCTCCTTTGCGGTTGGTTGGTCGCCGTCGCGTTGGCGATCGCTTCGCGCTGCCAGCTGTCTGGCACTGGCGGCTCAAATATAGCTATTGCTGCTGTGACCAAAGTTTTTCTGTTCCACAATAATCTTCCCTCTTCTGTTTTCCTTTTCCTCACAATAACAATTCTGCTGCCTATCGCAATAACATCGCCGTAGCCTCCGCGATCCCTGTTGGTCTCGTCTTCCTGAATCGTATGCGATTCTTTAGTTTTCCCTCTTATTCCCACATCACTCACTCGTCTGCCCGTCGCGAAGCTTTCGGCGATGTCTCTCCTGGCCACCTACTCCGCCGTGCTCTCGAAGTTCACGTACGATGCCGCTGCCAACTTCTGGAAGATGGATCTAGGTGAGGTTCCTTGCATGTATTGCCTGGAACACATGGATAAGGACCCCTGAATCCCTTGCATTACCGACTAGTCGCCGAACTGTTGCCTATTATGCGCCTATGATAAGAAGAAGTGTGGCTCTGTAAGTTTTCCCTCCTCTCTTTCTATCGTATTCTCCGAGTTGTCGCTAATGCTTCGCAGATTCCCCGCGAGCTTTGGGGTGCTGCCTAGGCCTCGTGGAACGACGTTCACAATCTTTGCGACGATATCATCGCCGACCCTTCTTCGTATACCCGCTGCCAGATCTGGCGCGCTAACCGTGCCATTAAGGATATGGCGTATGCTTGGCGGAAGGTCGCCGATCGCCTCCGTGACCCTATGTCGCAGAAGTCTAAGGATGCGCTCTAGTTGTCCCGCGTCTAGACGCAGGAGCTTGCCTCTAACCGAGAGCTGCTGTCCCTGCTCTGCCTCTAAGGTGTAAGTTTCGTCCTCCTTTCGCCTAAGTATTGGCTAATGTTCTGCGTATAGGCTGGAGCCCAGATGAACCTCTCCGAGATGACTAGTCGTATCGCTGCTGCCGCCCCCGTCTACATTCGTGACGATACTCCTGCCTAGCTGCTGCTTGAGGCGATCGATCGCCTAGATGGCGCCGAAAATAACCCGAGAACCGATGTCGAGGTTGAGGGTAGTGACCGTGATATTGTGGGTGGTCTCGGCGAGCTGTACGACGTCGCTGATTAGGCTGTCGATGATGGCAACCCCGGTCCTACTTGTCCTGTTTCCTTCGTTGGCCAGGGTCCTCGTCTCCGAGGCCCCGCCGACCCTTCGTCGACTCCTGGTGGCCGCAAGCGTGCTCGTCCTGCTGATGGTGGCGATAATGACGATGAGGCTCCCGATCCTTCGCCGAGCAGACCCCCCAAGAGGGCCCGCAAGACTCGCAGCCAAACTGCTCGTGGCGGAGGTCGTGGTGGTCGTGGTGGTGGTCGTGGTGGTGCCAACAACAACCCTTGAGAGCTTGCTGCGTTCTATCGCCGACGTGTCGGCTCTTTGTGTTCCCTGGGTCTTCCGCCGTTGTGGCCTTATCTTCTGACTTGGCCCTCATTCATATTGTTCTGCGCCTGCATTGCGATGCCTCGGCGAGTGATCTCTTGTCTTCATTAATAACCCGGCGTGGTCTTATTTTACCTTGTTTTCGTGTTTGAGTTTTCTGTTTTGTATCTAGATCAATGGGACTTTTCTTATCGCAGTGCTTTCGGCGTGCATCTGGCTATGCCTCGTCCCATTTCTTATGATCTTTCCTCGCGACTTTGAGGTATTTCCTCACCATCGCTTATGCGTTTTCCAAATGTTCTTTTGGTTCCTAGGTATTATATTCTACTAGCTAACCCTTCCACTTAATGAGGTAGAAAGTCTCGTCTCCCACGTCTTTATATGAGACTACTTCTTCTACCTCCCACTCATTAGGCTCGTCCTCGAGCTCTGGCTGCTCTTGCGTGGTATCGCCGATAGCCCTGCGATCATTCCACGGCTCTATGAGTAATATATAGAACACGTTATATATACGCTGGTACTTCTCTAGCAGCTCTAAGGCGTAGGCCTGCTCGCCGTATTTATCGAGGACCTTGGCTCTTATGAATCTCGGGGCCAGCTTGGGGTATTTGAATCTCTAGTTCTTCGTCGATACTCTAATGATCTATCCCCGATGATAGGTCTGTGGCTTGTGCCTTGAGTCGTAGTATTTTGCCTGGGATTCCGAAGCCTTCTCCTAGTGTACCCGTGCTTGGGTCCGTACGCGGCCTAGCATCATTAAGCGTTCGGCGATGCCTTGCACGTTCGTCTCTATCTTTATTAGGACGTATTCCACATATCTCGGGTGGTAGCTAAATAGCGCTTCTATTGGGGAGACCCCGATGGTTAAGTATTTGCTGTTATTATAGGCGAAGGCAGCGTCTAGGAGTTGTATCGCCTACCTTTCGGGCGAGTCTCCTGTATATACTCTTAGATACTTCTCGAGTGTCTGATGGGTGCGTTCCGTCTGACCGTCCGTCTGCGGATAGTACGCGGTTAATAGTCGGCGATGGATCGCCCGTTCTTTTATAAGGTCTGCCCAGAATTTGCTGGTGATTAGCTTGTCTCGGTCGCTAACTATCCCTTCTGGTGTGCCGAACCGGCTTTCTACGTGCTTATATAGGAGAGCTGCGAGCTCTATGGCTCTTAGCTTCTTCGTCGTTAGTATAAATAGCACGAACTTGGTTATCCTATACATAATAACGAGAATCGCGTTATAGTTGCCGCCGTTACTCTGAGTGCTCGGCGGAAGCCTAGTTATAAAATCGAGGCTAATCTCTTAGAATGGGTGTGATAGTAGTGGTAGGGACTAGAGTTTCCCGTAGGGTCTATGCCTCGGAACTCTGATGCCTTGGCATATCGGGTAGCTTTCGATGTACTCTCGGATATCTTCCGCGATGCCCTGCTAGTAAAACTTCCTCGAAATGAGGTCAAGTGTCTTTTAGGACCCTATATGACCTGCTCTCGGGTCGTCATGGTGTTAGCGAAGGATCTCTATCCTCATGGCTCCTTAGTCCGGGATGACTAGTCGTCCCTTATAACGCAATAAGTCTTAGGAGTCTATTGTGTATCCCCTGCGTTCGCCGGCGGTTCCCCGAGCCTTTGCCGTGAAGTATTGATATTGTTGGTCTTGGCTCTGCAGTTCCTTAACTAACGTCTCGAACTTCTTAGAAGGCTGGGAGAGAAGTGCCGTTTCGCCCTCTATGAGCTCTCTTATGACCGGGCGTGGGATATACTACTCCGGAACAGTAACCCCAGCTGGAGTCAGGTCCCCGGAGGCTCGCCGAGAGTCCTCTACCTGCTCAGCAGTCCGTGGAGCGTCTGCTCTCTCTGTCTTCGCCCGTTGACATCGAGTCATAACAGCAGATATCATATAGTGAGTGGTGCTCTTCGGCTCGTGCTCACAGGAGGGGGGGGGACCCCTCATCATAGCCCTTACTGCGCAGACGTATATAGATGAAATACTCGTCTTGCCTTCAAGCGCGGCGATGCGTCGCTAAGTGGGCTCCGGCAGCTCGTATATGAGCTCTAGCTTTTTGGCCAGTGTGGGTAGGACGTCTTCGTAGGAGATCTCTCCTTTTATGTAGTCTAGTCTCCTTGAGAGGCCATCCGCAGGGTTCTTCGTGCCCGGTCGATATTTAATATCGAAATCGAATGCGGATAATCGGTATACCCAACGGGCGAGTCTGCCTCGCAGATCCTTTGCCGATACTTCGACGACACCGGTGAGCGCCTAGTGATCCGTCAGGATAAGGAACTTCTCTGAAAGCCCTTGCAAGTAGTGTGCCCAATGTTCAAGGCTCTCGATAATTGCTAGTAGCTCTTATTGGCCCGTGGCCCACCGTTGCTCTTGGTCTTGTAGCTTCCGCGACTAGTAAGCGATCGGTCGCCATTGGGTATCGACTAACTGCGTTAGGATGCCAGAAATGGCTCTCGCTGAGGCGTCTGTTTCTACCCTCGTTGGTAGTGACGGATCCTAATGTCGGAGAATCGTCGCGGAGCAGAAAGCGTGCTTGAGCTGTTGGAAGGCTTGTTCTGCCTCTGATGTCCATATGAACTCGCCGCTCTTCTTTCTATTCTTACTCCCCTTTAACAGGGACGTAATCGGGCTAACGATCGCCGAGTAGTGCGCGATGAATTTGCGATAAAAGTTATAAAACCCTAGGAATACCTATATGTCCCTGAAGCTAATTGGAGCCTCCTACTCAGAGATTGACTTGACCCTGATGGGGTCTATCTTGACTCCTTCCTAGGTAATAATATACCCAAGGAATTTAACACTTTATTAGTAGAATTCATACTTAGATAGCTTGCCGTATAGCTGTGCTTCGGCGAGCCATCGTAAGACCTCTCGTAGGTGCTTGGTATGTTCCTCTCTTGTCTGTGAGTAGACGAGGATGTCATCTATGTAGGATATGCAATATATATCTAATATGTCGGCGAGTGATCGGTGAATATACGCCTGGAATGTAGCCGGTGCGTTGGTGAGCCTAAATGGCATAACCGTGTATTGGAAGTGTCCGTATCTCGTGCGGAATGCTGTCTTCTATCGGTCTTCTTCCGCGACCCTTATGCGATAGTATGCATTACGGATATCGATCTTCGAGATCTATTTTGCTCCTGCGAGCCGGTCTAGGAGGTCTCCAATGAGGGGGAGTGGGTAATGGTTCTTAATCGTGACCTTATTTAACCCTCGATAGTCTACGCATAACCTTATTCCTCTGTCCTTCTTGGGAACGAAGAGGATTGGGGCACCCGCTTCGCTTACTGAATGTTCGATCCGACCATTCGCTAAGTTCTCGGCGAGGTATTCCCGAAGGGTGCCGTACTGGGCCTCATTCATGGGGTATAGCGGCCCATATGGTGGTTTGCTTCCTTCGATGAGATCGATCCTATGGGATGCCTCTGGCAAGAGCGGCATCCCCTTGGCCGCATCCTCGTCGAAAAACCCTTCTAAGCCTTCGAGTTCTGGAGGGAATTCGTTTTCGTCTTCCCTTCCGGTGTCCGATAGCTCGCCGAGCGTAGCTATGCTCCTTTCCTCTAGTGAGAGGGTAGCCGCAATGTGTAGCACATAGGCTGTTTCATGGTTCTCGATGATGTCTCGGAGAAGGGACTCGGGGTCTGCGAGCGCGATCTCTTGATAGTACCACGAGTTAACGGCATAGTTAATCACGATGCCTTCCTGGCCCATTGAACGGTAGGATAGGATCATGTTATGCCTCCCTGACCTAGTATTAGACCCTGCGAATACTCGCTGTACCTTCCGCGGGTTCCCGCCGTTATTAATAAGGAAGAAGGTAAACTAGTAGGCGTTTCCTGGGTTTGTTTTATCCCCCCTAAAGGATTCTAGCCCTGGGGCAGCGTAGTCCGTTGCAGGTTTGAGCCTTAGCCTTCTGACAAGGTCTATATTGATTAGATCGATCTTAGACCCTGTATCGAGGAGTATATTTAGTTCTTCCTCGGCGAGCCCTCGGAGAGCTAGTCCTTTGGCTCGGGCGGTCTTCCCCGTAGGTACCCATTTGATAGGGGTTATGGATGGAGGGATGGGTTCTTCCTCTATCTATCCTAATTTTCCGAGTTATCTAACTTTTCTCCGGCGCGGGTATGGTTAACCTTCGCCGAAGGGCCGCCTCTTCTAAGAGGGGCTTGGTTTACACTAGTTAGTTTCTTTAGTGGGCAATCTGGTGCCTTGTGTCCTAGTTGGTTGTAATTATAGTATCTAATCGCCGCAGGTCTCTCACCGCCATATGGGCGACGCGTCGCCGATGTAGGTGTATTGGAACGGCTCTGGTTCCCTCGTGGGTGTTCTGACCCTGCTCTTGATGGAGGTCCCGAGGATGAGCTTCCCCTAGGGGTTCCCTTGTAGCCTCCTCGATGAGGGGAATGGTGTCTCTTCGCCGAAGGCTCGGAGACGTCTGGCTTATGCTTCCTCTTAGCCTTATTGCTAGCTTGGGACCAATTCTAGATACGTTCTGCCTTATTGGTAATGTCTCTGGCCCTATCTAAGGGCCACTTGATCCGCTTAAGCTCTCTCTTGACTCTTGGTGCCAAGTAGTAGAAGAAGTGGTGGGCTGCGCCCTTATCCTCTTCCCATTTCGTCGGCAATGTATCGCGGAGGGCACGCCATCGCGCGAAGTATTGCAAAGGGGTTTCTTCCTTCCCCTGCATAATGACTATGAGTTGGTCTCTCGCCTGCCGTTCTTGCAGTTCTGGATCAATGTGCTGCCTCCGCATAAATGTAAGATACTCTTCCCAGGAAGGAGGATCTATCGGCAAGCCTGCGGCGTGCGTTCTCCATTCCGTCTGGAGGGCATAGCTAAGCTTGGTCATAGACCATTCGATCTATTGTTGGGCCGTGGTATTAGGTCTTATCTGGTTGGCCGATTTAATAGCCTTGATCTAGTCATCGACCTTAACCGCACTAGTATGTTTAGCTAGGTGCTTGTAGTTATACGTCGGGGGCTTCTCGTAGTCTTTTCGGTGAGCTGGCGCCGGACGATCAATGAGTTGTATTAGTATCTGGTTCTGCTGTAGTAGTCTATCTAAGATTATCTGTTATTGTTCTCGTTCGATTCGTCGGCGGCGTCGTCGCTCCCTTCTTCGTGACCTTCGCGACCTCCCTAAGGACGAGGAGCCTCCTAAGGATCCCGACGATAAACTCGCCCTTCTTCGGCGTCGTGTCGGCGGCGTGTGCTCTCTAATAGGCACTGCACGTAGCATAGGTGGCGTATGCTCCTCGAAGGGCATTGTAGCCGGGGTGTAGGCCCTTGGCTGTTGCTACTCGTTACCTAGTAGGTGAGTGATCTCTTCTGAGTGTCTCGAAGAGTGGCCTCTGTATTCTCGCGGAGTCGTCGGGAGGGTATCCGTGATAGGGGTTGTAAGCTGCTCCCTACTCTCTCGGATTAGCTGTTCGAGGTCTTCCACGTTCGTGTGACCTAGGACTCCTGGTCCTGCAGCTATGCCGACGGGTGGCGTAGCTGTTTGCCTCTCTTGCTGCAACCCCCTTGGATTGTCTTCGCCAGCCTGGCGCTGAGCCATCGGCTGCTGTATGGTAGGGGTATTCCTGTTGGACCCGTCCATCTTGATAACGTGCTGATCTTCCGTATAGGTAGAAGTTGAAGAATTGTAAAGGTGTGGGCCCGATAGGCACGATCAGGATGATATCAGAGATGAAAAGGTAGGTTCCATATATTGATGTGACTTCAACTTGCCGAAGCCTCTGCGAGCCTTCGACGAAAAAGAGTTTTACGTGGCCTATGGCCTACTTGTTATCCGAGGATTTCCCGACCTGCCGGCGATAGCCGGCATGACCCGAATACTCTTACACCTTCTTAGGCTACTACGCCTAGTCGGTCTATACTCCGGTAAGAATATTGCCCCTTATATAAAGGGGGTAATCGACTAATATAAAATGGGCTCTAAGCTTAGCTACTTTATGCTTAATAACGCTAAGAGTAATAATACCTGCCTAGAGGCGCTCGCGAGATAATTCCTAATAGATATTAACCGACGCCGCTTATATTATATCGGCTATATTATTAACCTGGTTATCTAGGCCGTTATCTTTAGCTTAAATATTAGCAAATTCGAGATAGAGCTTCATAGGGCTATGGATGAATTTAGTTTTAATATTTAGGCTAAGAAAGGGGCTATCAGTAGACTCTATAACCTCGCTACCTATATCCGCCGGATAGACCAGAGATAATAGGCGCTTCGGCGTTTCTAGACTAAGCTCGCAGGGGACGATACTATATTTATATTAGAGATTATTATTAATAGTAAGATACGCTAGAATTTAATTTATAGTATAATTAAACGTTATATAATATTCTGCCTTTATTACCTATGTTAGATATTTGCTAACTCTAGATTAACTTATCCTAGTACTTAAGCTGCGTAGCGCTATCGAGCTCTATTAATCTCATTGGCAAAAACCGAAAAATAATCTAGTCTATTATGACTTAACGAAGGATTTCCTTAATGCTGCGGACTAGGCTAAATTAGAGTGCTTCTATGACTTCCTAAAGCTATTTTATATCTTTATAAAGACTATGGAGGGTAATACTAGTAAACCGGGCGTAGAGGGCGGGTATAGTATAATATAGGAGACCCTTAAGATAATGGATTACTTATTTATTAAATTTAAGTAGGCCGCGGAGGAAACTTAGTTCGAGGAGCCCTCTTATTTTAAGTCAGGAATTAATTGCGGATAGGCGAAGCTTAAAGATTATTATATTAAATTGGACCATATACCTATCTACTGAGTAGTATTAGCCCTTTACCTATTATATAGGTATAACTACTTTAAGCGGCATTAGAAAACCGCGATAGATAGACCGCAATAGTATAACGATATATAGTCCGCCGTGGGTAGCCTATTTAGCGAATACGCCCGATAGGCTAAAGTTAAAGCTTAAGCTTAAGTAGGGCTTTTAGAAGGCGAAGTCGATGAGATTAAAGCTAATATTAATAACTATAGTTTATTTAGGAAAAGATTAATCTACTCCTTGAATACGCAGCGAAAGAAGGTTAAGGTAGTTAGCGAGCTTAATATATTTTAGATACGGCTAATTTACGCCTATGATCTCAATATTATAAACCCTCTTAAATAGTGGAATCGATATTAATTAAAATATCTAGTTTTATATCGAATAGCATTAGATCTATTCTCGATTCCTAGCATAAGTTCTAAATACAAAAGGGTATTTAGCTAGACTAAGAAAATAATTATAGATAAGCGTAACTAGCTAGTACCTAAGGTAGTCAAGGCCGATTAGCTTTAAAAATAGTAGCTAATAAGAGGGCTAGTAATCTAAGTTCATTAGTAGTGCCTCCGTAGAATAGTAAAAAGGGTTTTATTATATCTAATAACTATTTAGGGAATTATTTTAATTGCACCGGTTGAACCTCGGTATGGGACTATTAGACCGACCTAGACTAATTGGCAGCGCACCCAGATAGACCAAGACCGACCGACCGGGAGCCTTAACCAACCCAAACCGACAGACCGAAGGGGCCGGTCTAGGTCGGTCGGTTTGTTAGCCACACTGCTTAGACCCATGAACCTTTCAAATGTTCCATTAGTGGTAGTTTTCGCTTTCTAAAGATTAAGCTATTGGAGGGTCCTGATGATGGCCTTAAATTCCTTGATGTTCGAAGGGAGGAGGCGAAGTTTCACATGCGGGGTTTGAGGAACATAACTCTAGAGGCATTGTTGTTGGCGGGAAGTGAACTTGAGTGTAATTCAAGAGTTGTTTTTGTCGATACGAGAGAAATGTGTGCGCCTTGTTTTTTGTCGCAACTCTTAAACGTCTCCTGTGGGAAAAAAGCAAGGCCATCTGGATAGTCAAAGGCTTGGTTTCAGGCATGGAGGAACAGTACTGGGCTTTGCACCCGTAGTGCAGGTGTCTTGCATGCTTTCCTCAGGACGCTCACTAGGATATGGACGTGAGCATTGCTGGTAATGAGCCCTGACACACGGAAGGTGTCATTCAGCGCTCGTAAAACTCTCGGTGCAGCATTACATGCTTAGAGTTGTCGCATACATCATCACCCTGCAACATCAAGCGCTATGGTGAAACACACCCTCTCCAGAGACTCGAGCACAGTTAGGTAGCACAAATTTGCGTTCCATCGACTGTGTCTCACTCGACCAGAGGTGCCCCTTGAGGTCTGGCAAGTGTCCGTGGACGCACCACAAAGGTATTTGGCCAACTCCCCTGTCTGGTACAGAGGTACCTTCAAACAGCGGCCACGCAGTGGCGCGCCGCCACGCAAAGGTGCAACGACGCGTTCCTCGCGAGACGCGTCTTGCAAGGGACACCTCAACCGCGTTCTGATCTTGGCGGCTGGCTCAAAGAGGCAAGGCGAAGCGAAGTCCCAGCCACCCAATTCTTGTAAATGAGCTCTTGCATAACATACTCACAAAACCTGACCGCATCACATCATTAGGACAACAGTCGTGTTGTGTTCGCGTTCAACACGCGTGGATGGTGTGCATTGGGCATTGCATAACTCGGCTATGTGGACATAAAATAAAAGTATGACATGTCGCTCAATTGTCCAACACTTGATTTCTATTCTACTTATGCATTTTATCCAACTTCTACTCCATACCATCTTTACTCAACAACCCACATTCACTTGGTGGTCGCCATAGGGTAGCAGCATCATTCACGACCGTCATGTAGTCAACTCCCATTAACCCTCCATTAAGTAATTTGTAGACAATTCTGAACCTGACTCCTGTATGGCTGGTTTGTTAGACGGCGAGGCATGTGAAATGTCTCAACGAGTGCAAGTGTGTTATCGGTGGGCTGAAAACATAAGTTGCATAACAAACAGGGTGTGAAATCTCAGCCAAGGACACTTGAGCAATAAGGCGAGTTATGGCATTAATTCTTACTAATCTTTAACCCAAAACCAAGAGCTTTTTTTTTTTTTACTGTGGAGAGAACTATACGTAGTGCACGGAATCATGGGGGGTTAATCGTCACCCCGTCGCATGATCTCTTCTCCAATATGCTCGGCCAGACGAATGCGTCACAAGATTACTTACATGCCTTATACCTACAAATTCACGGTCGGAATCAAACGTACATATTCCTGGCACATCTGAGTGAAGGAGTTCAGTCCTCACCAGTCAGCTGCGTAATATGCCCACTCCTCGGATATCGTTTCAACGCTGACGTGTAACTATTGATCATTAACGAGTGCACACAGGGATATATAAGGCCTTTGAAATAGTATTTCTAGCAAAATAGTCGGTCTGAAAGAGTACATGAGGTGAAGTAAAAAAAAGTATGTGCTTGATAGCAGGGTCGTTCGCAGAGCAACCACCAAGCTGCGTTTATTACATAGCCCTTATTGCCATCTCCTACTTCTCTGCAGTAGTCTCCTTGGGTACAGGCTTTCTTGCGGTGACCACAATCATGGGCCAGTAAGCATGGATGCTCTTATTACGCATGTCTTGCTTGGCCTTTGCAGCAAGAACGTTGACCTCCTCAGCCTGCCACCCGAGTCCTCTCGTCAAAGCCGCCATCAAAAAGCCCTGGAGGCCTGCTACTATGTTTTCATGGTTCCAGATGCCTAGTTCCTTGTACTTGGGGTCCCGTGGCCATGTGTTGGAGGGCCACTTGAACTTGTACTCTTGAACATCCTCGAAGCCAGCTTTCTCGAGCAGCCCCCCCAGTTTGTTGAGGTCAATGAACGCGCGCCCAGACTTGGCTGCAGCTTCACCGAGATGCTTCATAGACTGGAAAAGGGCATGTTCCGGTGCGAGGGTGCCATCGTCAGAGAGAGGGAGCGTGAATTCTTGGAGCTCGATGTAGCCTCCTGGCTTGAGATTTCTAGAAAAGGTGAACACCAACCTTCGGGGCAAATGGGACACTAAGATGAGGGGCTTACTCAAACGACTTTCGAATATAATCTTCCCAGTCAGATATACTGGAGTTATTCATCCGGCTATGTATGTAGTCGAACGGTTGCGAGTATGTCCATTCCTCATCCCAGTCATCAATCTCAAATCTAACATTAGGGGGGACACTTTGATCTTGGTCAGTTTCTGCATGTAGAGGGATCATCCAAGGCTTTTGCTCACAATTGAGGTTGACTTGGTGAGAGATCAATACCGATAACCTGCAAGACAAACATGTCAGATGAATGAAGAAGTTGATCAACACTTTGGGTTCTGACCTCTGCTTCGGGATGCTCGTCTCCAAAATCCATGGCCCAGATGCCAGTACCAGTACCAAGATCGAGAACTCGTCCAACCTTGGCATCAGGCTTGTTGGGTGGAGCAAATCCCAACTTTCCATCAAGAGTGAGGTAGAAGATGTGATGCTGGAGGTCTAGGAAGTTGATGTCAGCCAGTGGCAGGCTATCATAAGGGCATATAACTTACCTAGTCTTTCGTTCTCGGCATCATCGTTGGGAAAGTGATACTCTGGACGCAATCAGCTCATTTTGCCCCTAGAGCAGCCTTCAAGGCCTAAGCAAGGGGGCAATCAACTGACTTCCATCGTGGAACTTGTGATAAGTTCTACCGTTTTCCTTTCTATAGTCTAGAATGGAGCTACTCAAGCTCGCCGTCGAGGATGCCGTGTCCTATCCCAAACCCGGGTTAGCCTAATAGAACTAGCGACGATCGCGGAGGTGGCGGATGATCCGGACCTCGTTGTCGCCATAGGTAGAGTCATGGTCGTCCGGCTCAATGATTTCCTGCATATTGGTGTGGTGCCCTTTCACGGCTTACTGTAATACGTCTCGTCAAAGAAGCGTACGTAACCTGAGAGTTTCTGGAGTTGCTGTGGAGAGATTGAAAGAAAGAATGATGTGGTTCTTGAACAAAGCGGGGTTTGAACAGACGATTTTCCTTCACGCCCCGCCTGTCATCCGTCTGTGGTTGGACCGAAGAGCTGACAGGGGCAGAGTGACTCTTATTGGCTCTCTGGTAGTTTGTGAAGACGATGGTGCAATGGGCCAAACTCAAGTTATCAACGTCGATGCAAGACATGTAAATGTGCGTCTAGAGCTTTAAGTTAATGGATCTCATGTCTCGAATTCACTGCCTTGTTGGCCCTTTAATTTCTGCTAGTATTGGCCGCGTTTTGGAGTACCACCCTGTCAAAGAACTGTCCCAAGACCCAACCAGTCTGTGCAGGAGTAGCCTTGGCAGTATCCGTAACAGCCTTAGCAATAGCAGTTTTTTGGTGCTGGAATGTTCTGAAATTGCTCAAACGTCGCAATCAATAGACCGTTAATTTCAGAGTTAGGGCAAAATCGCTCTCGAGTAAATTTGATAAGACCTCACCTGCATTGTTTCCCCTGGCATCTCCACCTTGGAGTAGGAGCACCTCTCTTCTAGACAACGTCATCTGAGGACCCTAACGCAAATAGTCTCTTTTATTTCAAGGGATGACATTAAGAAAGAGAAGCATTTTACTAGAGATATATCTCTAGGCCGAATGGACGTCGGGGAAACGCTCCATCCCCCGTGTGGTGAAGGGTCGACAACAGTGCACAACGACACAGAAAACAAAAACACGGTATGTATTAATAGATAACGAGGATCCTGATCGTTTTGATTGACGAGCTGCAAAACCACGGATATGGCTATGTAAGGCTCACATCACAGCAAATGATGACTTATAATGAATTTTGGTTGAGAGGATCAGATGAACAGCGTTATACGGCTTCTGTCCATTCACTTATAAATCCGTGGCTTCCAATGTTCGACTCTTCCTCCTGAATTGCTATCTTCTTCATGTTTAATCCTGAATTTCAACCTTGAACCTGTTTTCTGCCAAGTCTCTTCTCCTCATCGCCACCAGCGCGTCACAGGCCACTCACTGCTCAGGCCACTCACTGCTCAGGCCCCGACTGTCCCCACGCTGTTTTCATCAGGTCTTCAATACGAGTAGGTGAAGGTGACCTCCCCTCAAAGACCTCAGTGAGGTTCAGCTGGCCCTCGATCCTATCCAGGTCGTACGCTCCGAGGGCTACACTGGCCTCAAGATCAGCTATCAAGGCCCGAATTTGCTTGAGACCACCCGGGAATCGCTGAGGAAACCGTTCAGCAATGGCGCAATTTTTAGGAAGTAAGAGGCTTTCGTGCTCTAGAAACTTGGAGACTGGTTGATACTCGACAAGAAATGGCTGACCCGTGTATTTCTCAAAAAGATGCACAAGGCTTTTCAAGGTGACGGTGCTTGCAGTTGTTGTCATGACTCTCGGCCATTTCTCCAAGTCAAGCGCCAGGGCAGTATAGTGAGCAACATCCGTAGTGAGGGACATGGACATTTTTGCCTCGCCATCATCTGGAAGGACTGCAACTTGGTTGACGGGGTCGATAAGGAAGCACAGCGGTCTCAGTGGTGTTGGGAACTTCGGCATGCCGTAGTAGTCCATGAACATGCCGGGATAGATGTAACTAAACTCAAGACTTGTCTTTTCGAGCGCTCGTCTACCGGCCAAGTGAAACCTCTTGTTCGAATACGGCACTGCATCGCCGAGATCATAGTCGATATTGAACTCGGACGGTATGAAGCGTCTGACAGAAGAGGCTTTATTGGCGGCCTGTATCAACTGTAACTGTGCATTGCATGCGCTCTCGTTACGAAGGCTGAAGGCGCAGATCACCACCTCAACTCTGCGCATATCCAGGCCTTCAGCGAGGACATCAGTGCTCGAGTAATCAGTATGAATGAAAGGGACATAGGATTTGCCAGTCAAGGGAGACGCTCGCTCCGGAGAATCAGCTGGTGGCTAGGATAGTCAGAATGAGGCATCAAGTGGCGGAAGTTCGTGCATGACGTACACCTCTCGATAGCACATATACCTCATGCTTCCCTGTATCAAACAATGCCTTGACGATGAGACCGCCTAGGTCACCAGAGCCGCCGGCCACTACGACAACAGGCATGGTGGTAATGGAGTGTTGTTGTGCTTGATGTTGAGAGAAGAGGCTCACTTCTTTTGTGTGCAGACCCTGCCGTACTTGACTTATCCATGGTTGCCTGGACATGTCGGATTTGAACGAGGCTTGCATTCCGATAGCAGATATGATTGGATCGGCGTCCTGTGGAAGGCTCAAAGAGGCTTGACCGAGGTCAGCAACATCGGCACTTGGCCAAATGTGGGAAATGTCAGGCAGCAGCATGCATCGTGAGAGGTTTCTCGCATTGGATCAGCAAGACAATAGCACATTACTGGGAAATCAACCTGCCAAATTGAAGGACAAAGGATGGCCTCACACATTCATATTGTGTGGCTTTACTTGGTCAAAAGGGGGTTTCACTGCTGATAACTGGGTTAATTGTGGCTTGATCTTGATTCTCCACGTGTGGTTACCTAATCGATGACAGATATTTAGCATACTGAGATCGTAGAGAATCGAGAATGAACGGTACGTATTTCCGGATTTTCGAATGGCCTTGGCCGCTCTTCGTGTGACTGTGTGTGGCATGTACTGCCCACTACGCCAGATGGCGATCAAGAAAATGATTCAAGTAATCCGTTTTCCTAATATCTACCCAGAGTTCCTGAGGATATTAGGCAGTGACCACATGGAAGTACATGTTAGGGATCACGAAGCTGTCAAGAAAACCATATGCCGATGAGGTTTCCTTTTCCACAGGCCCCATGTTCCAAGTAACCTCAGAGCTCAGGCTAACAAGCTTCTGCTGATCGAGTCTTTGAACCATGTGCCGCGCAGCATCAACATGTTTGCGAAGGTCGTCAAGCGTCTTGAGGTCGCCAGGGTCCTCCCCGGGTGTGAAGCAGTTGAAAGAGCCATGTCCGGGGAGAGACTGGCACCAATGAGTGTATAGAATGGGGGTTTGCGCCCAGTAGAATAGGCTTCCATCTTGTAAAAAATATGACTGGGAGCGTCGAGGGAGGCAAGGGTATTGGGAGCGGCGCCGTCGTAGAGGCAAAATGTGTCCATGTGCGAAGATTCAGATCAATATTTATGAACCGTAGAACTTGCGAGTCGTGAGTTTGGTTCAAGGCAAGAAATAACGAGGCAAATAGTTGTTCTTATGTCCTTGCTCCTTCTCTTGATGAGCAATGAAGTAGTGGATTTCCCCCGGCCCCGGAGGAACTCTCTCCCAGGTCAAATCGTACTCGGGATGTATTACCGATTTTATTTTTCAGTGACTGATTCCTTCTCCTACATCTAAATTGCCCTTAGCATGAAGTGGAGTGCAACCTCCGCTTTATGGATGCCTTCCCGGAGACATGGACCTCGAAACTAAGATTCGTGCGTTGATGGGACAATCGAATGTAGCAACTCTTACCCTTTTCGGCTTTGCTCCTCTCGATCTCAATCTGAGTTCAGGCGTGTTCAGGCACTTTTCATTCCGCGAGTCGATGAACAAGGCACGGGCTAACGGGCCAACACGAGTCAGTGCTTGTGAACTGTGAAGTACCTTGAGAGCTTCGGTCAATCTACATAAGAATTCGAGCCATATGCCATTCAATGGTGTTGAGGTTGATCGTCACTTTGGGGCATTCCCTTCCTCCTAATGATCTCGACGGAACCTGCCTGATGCACATTCAAAGATTACAAGGTTCCACAAGAGTCTTGAGACCCTCAGATGATCATATTGTGTTTGGTCAAGTCGAAGGGTCGCATGCGGGCAGTGGTCTTGAGTCATGGTCTGGAAGCTTGCCGGAGGGGTTGACATAGCAGAGAATCAACCCCCCCCCCCCCGAGCCCAGTTTTCTTCCGTGAAGGGACTACCTCAAGTAGTACCGACCGACCTTTGCCTTGAGTCTTGGTAGGGCATACAATATTGTATGATACTGTTGAAATCTCTGACTGCGATTAACAAGTAGAGATTGCTTATTCGTGGATCTTTTATCAAGGGGCTTGAAGATCGTATGTTAAGAGGTACTTCGCTGACGGCTCTCAAGGAGCGAGCATCTCCCTAGCTTCTTGCTACTGTTCCTTTTCTAGCGGGGCACTCGGCGTAGCAAGACGGGGTAGAGCTAGAACATGACAAGATGTTCAGCGACACTCAAATCCTCATAGAGGGTGCCTTGTAGCCCGAAGATGCGCAAGTTTCCTATTTTCGAGGCCAAGCTCTGAGCAGAAAGGGAGAGTGTGAGGCCTACGTCCAGACTCCTTAAAATATTGGGAAACAGCACAAAGGCTCGATCTGGCAGTTTGGCCGCTATCCACACCGTACTCAAGCTTTGGGTCGACGCTCTACTGCTGAGGAAACATCAATTCTTGAGAAGAAATGAATGAGCTTGCGATTATTCTTCCTATGGTCGATAGCGTTTCTAAAAGAGGTCACCATGGCCACTAGCCATATTAACGAATCATTTCATTTTCAGACTCTTTTCATACCCACTATTCTTGGTATCTTGTTGAAGGTGGACCTGTGGTGTGATGGTTATTGTCGACGAATTTTGAACATAAAACATGGGATTAATTACGCGTCAAGTTGTGGCACTTGTCGCTTAGCTCCTTTGTTATAATATGAGAATCCTTCTGACAACCGAGAGGCAAGCTCTAAGCTTACATCACGCTTCAAAACATAGTCAATTTAGAGGCTGTCGTACAGTAAATAGAGCCAATTAGGCCCCCTTATCGTTATGGGGGCCCCTACCTTTTGGGTGGCCTAACGGCCTATTTTTCTGTATTACAGAGGCTCTATAGTTATTACCCAGGAGAGGTTCCATTGCGTGAACTAACGATGCAACTAAGATCCTCAAGAGTCCACAAAGAGACCAATGATGAACCGGTATTACAAAACCCTGCGGGCCCGTTGCTCGCCAAGACGACGCTAGCTACCGTCAGCTTACGGGCTTGCCAGCCCTTCGGATGACTGGGGCGACATCTATTGGCTGGCGGCCCCATTGTTGAGATGCCGTGGCCAGGACCCCTGCTCGGCAACTTGTTGAGGTCTGGATTTCCTTTTTTGAGGCCCTTCGCTCGGCTTGTATCAACCTGCTTGTCCTTCCATTTCTCAAGGGCCGGTTGTGCTTTTCCTTGTTCACAGACTGCAACGACATGTCATGGCCAGAGGTGACCAGTTCGCTGCCGCTGCAGCTGCTGGTAGGTAGCAGCGTCCTCGTTGCAGTCATTTACACGTTCCGCGACGCGTTCTACCCTCGACCCCTGGATTTTATCCCTTACAACGCAGAAGCCAAGGAGCGCATCTTGGGGGATCTCCCTGCCATCAAGGCCGTTGGTAGTGTAACCAATTGGCTAGCTACTCAACCGACAAAGCACCAGTCGCCTCTATTTCAAGCCTTTGTCGCCCCATTTGGCAAGCCATGGGTTGTGGTCGCGGACCATCACGAGGCGGCCGACATTTGCATGCACCGCCTCAAGGAGTTTGACCGAGCCAGAGTCACCATCTCCGTCTTCGGGGGCATTATCCCCGGCGGTCAGCTTACTCTCAAGAGTTCTGATCCCCAATTCCGAAGGAACAAGGAACTTGTCAAAGATTTGATGACACCGTCTTTCCTGGCCGAGGTGAGTCTCGAATCATAGTATTTCCCCCCAATGGATACTAAGCCACGTCCAGATCTCTGCCCCTGAGATTTATGACAAGTTTACTAGGCTTCTCAAGCTCTGGGAGTGCAAGGCTATCCTATCTAAGGGACGCCCTTTTGGAGCATCCCGCGAGATTCACCATGCCGCTCTTGACATCATCGTCTGTGTTGCATTCGGTCTCGATCCTGATCAGACACAGTTGGTTAGGGCTCTCGAGGCTCTTGACGTCGACCACGAGAGTGAAATCAATGCAACCGGAGGCCCTGATGATGAATTCGTCTTCAAGGAGGAACCTCTTGCGGAAGAACTTGAGGCTTTCACCAGAATGTCTGACAGTGTATCCATGAGTATCAGGTCACCTTCGCCCCGGCTGTTTCATTTCCTCTACGGTAACTTTTCCTCTGTCATGAGAAACGCTCGCCGTTTGGCTACACGTTTACAACAACGTGAAATCGCTAATGGCCTTGAGCGCCGACGTACTGGTCAGGCCCAACGGTGCGCTGTGGATCAGATTCTTGCTCGAGAAGAAGCCATGGCAGAGAAGGAGGGGAGAAAACCTGATTACTACTCACAAACGATCACCAGCGAGGTTTGTAAACGGCGGCCAGATATGCTTAGTATGTAGCTGACGTGATCCTTACAGCTGATGACATACCTCATCGGTGGCCACGAGACAACATCTTCCGCCCTGCGGTGGGGAATAAGTTATCTCAGCAGTGATCAGCGTGTTCAGGCTCGCCTCCGAGAGGCACTTGATCTAGCTCACCCCCAGGCTAGAGCTGAGAAGCGGCTCCCTTCACTCGAAGAGATCATCCAGGCCCGGGTGCCGTACCTAGATGCCGTCGTCGAGGAGGTGCTCCGCCACTCACGACCCCTGGCCATGTGCATGCGTGAGGCGCAGACAGACACGCAGATTTTGGGCGCCCACATCCCCAAGGGCACGACAGTCGTGTTCCTAGCTAACGGACCAAGTGTCTTTACACCGAGGATCCAGTTTGACGAGTCTCGCCAGAGCGAGTGGGCTACATCACGAAGGGAGAAGCATCCTGTCAACGATGAGATCGACATAGGGGCTTTCTCCCCTGAGAGGTGGCTTCGAGTAGAGAAGCATGAGGATGGCACCGAGGAGACGGTGTTTGACGCAAACCTATTCCCTATTCAAGCGTTTGGACTCGGTCCGAGAGCGTGTTTCGGTAGGAGGCTGGCATACCGCGAGATGAAGATCTTTTTCACGCTCATAACGTGGAAATTTGAACTCTTGTCGTTGCCAGACGCTCTGGCAGTACCCAAAGAGGTTTTCTCCCTCACCCGAAACCCCAAAGAGGTTTACGTCAAGCTACGATCTCGAATTTACTAGACGTCACTATGCTATCAAAGCTAGGTAGTCAATGCAAAAGATTCATGGCACATATCAGGGAGATGCAAAGTGCCCAAAGTAAGGAGCGCGACTTATAGAGGTAATGACTGTAGAGACACAAAGTTTCCGAGGTAGTGAGTGCCCCAAAAGTAAGGTGAACGAAAGTAAAGATCGAGTGAGAAGCCTCCCTAATAGGCCCTTTCACAGGCTTTCCAGAGTCATCCTCCTATCCGGAGATTTTCAAAAATTGGCGGGGACGACAAAGTTGTTCCAAGGGATCTCCACGTCGACGGCCTTGGCCACCAACTCTTCGAGAGCGGCTAGCTTCTCGAGCTTGTACTTGTTCAGGACAGACTTGTGCTCCGAGTACATCAGAGAGGCCATGAGGCCTCCGAGAGAGGTAATTCCGTTCCTCTCTCCAATACCCAGGACGGTCGTGTCAATGTGTGTAGCGCCAGCCTCAAGGGCAGTAAAGGCGTTGGAGACGGCGCATCCAGTATCATTATGGAAGTGAGTCTCGATGTCGCAGCTGATGACCTGTCGAAGGGTCGAGATCTTTTCATCGACCTCACGCCAGGTGGCTCCTCCCACCGTGTCAGCAATGCCCACTCTCTGGGCGCCAAGACGGTCGACGAGCGAGTACAGCTTAATGATCTCGCTAAAGTCGGAGCGGAAAGAGTCCTCGCCGGAGAAGCGGACCTCGACGCCGTGGGACTGGGCGAACTGGATGACCTCGGTGGCCTTCTTGGCGATCCAGTCCAGGTCCTTGCCGTGGGAGTGCTTCATGAGCTGAGCAGACGTGCCGATGCACATGTTGCTGTGAGGTGTTGTCAGTATCATGTTGACTGTGTTGTATTGTTTTGGTAGACATACATTCCGTCGACGCCAGTCTGGACGGCAATCCTGGCATCATCCATGTTGCATCGAATGTGGCAAAGGATCTTGGCCTTGAGACCCAGCTTGCAGATGGCCTGGCAATCCAGCTTGGACTGCTCAGACGCAGCAGGCGAAGTCAGTTCGAGCTGGGTGGTGTGTCAGTCAAGACATCAATACTGTATAGTGCCGCGTCGACTCACATATTCGACTCCAAACTCGTCGAGAGCCTGAGCGATCTTGATCTTGGTCTCGGTATCAAAATGGGCCGTAGCAAACTGCTCGCCCTCGCGCAGGGTGGTGTCGATGATGCTAAAGTTAGCCAAGTTGACAGAGGAGCGCATCGAGGTAGCTCCAGAGCTGGCACCTCCATCGGTGAGATCGCTGATGCTGTCGGCGAGAGAGTCGGTATCGTCGTCGATAGTTGTAGTTGTGTTCAAATCGTTAATGTCAGGGCTCGTTAGGGAGGCTTCCAGGACGCTGCCGTTGCGTCCTACAGTGAGTTAGCAGAGTGATAGAGAGATGGGAATACCATCACGTACCATTGCCCTCCCCGTCCGAGGCCTGACCAACCCCACCTCCCCCATTGGCACCAGAGCTGCTGCTGCTGGCACCATTGCCCATGGTGTGGCTCGTATGGTGACCCACGCAATGCGTTCCGCTGCTATTGTCGCCGCCGTTGCTGCTGGCGGCGCCTTGGCCCATGGTGTGGCTAGTGTGGTGGGAGATGGGGTTGTTGGCTGTCTGCATTGTATCTGCCTTAGCATCCAGACTATGCAGTGTCTGTTTATGTGTGTGTTTTTTGTGTGTGTATGTCGTCGACAAGTGGTGATGTATTGCTGAGGAGGAAAAGACGGAGGAGAAAGGAGAGGACGGAAGAGCTTGATATTTGCTAGTGACTCAATGGCCGAAGTTCGGACCTATCAGTGAGTTCCCCGCACTTCCACTGAAGGCACTGGAACCCTGGACTGAGGTGCACTGAAAAGCTGGCGGGCCGCCTGCACCGCCTGGAACGCGCTACCGACGTCGCTAATGCAGGGCGGAGGCCGCTTTTCAGCTGCCGGGCAAATCAACAGGTAAAATGACGCAGCCAAGCCCTGCAGCTTGCCACAATAATTGGGCCTCAAGGCATTGCCGAGGGCGTGACGACACCTTTTTTCCTGCCTGGCCTGGTCCTTTTTTTTTTCCTTGAAATTTTTTTCCAATTTTTCCGCTCACGTTTTGCCGCCCGCCCTTTGCTTAACAATTCCCCCGCACACCCAATCTGATAAGATCTGATTAATCTTGGGTGGCCTCACCGCTCCCTTTGGCCTCTCTTGCCTCCATTGCCTTCATTGACTTGTATTGCCTCTATTGCCTCTAGTACTGTACTCCGTCTGTTGCCCAAACCGCCCGGAACAGTGACGTGCATGTGCTATTGCAGAAGATCGTCCCTGTTGGCGGACAGGCGGAGTCGCTTGGAAGGGGCCACGTATCATGGCGTTTGGGGTACAGCAGCTCGGTGTGGACGCACATGCTGTTGCACTGCCGAGAGCGATGTTCCGTGCTCAATGTTGTTCCCTCGTGAGAATGAATACAGTCGTATTGCACCTGGATAGTCTGAGATCTCGATGGTTTGGGGGTGGGAGATGGTGTCACCGTCAATTGTCCATTGCTGGCTTGCTGTGGCTTCTTCACCCAGCCATTTCCCCTGCCCATACTACGTGGTACTGTACTGTACAAGGTTTGTGGCGCCAGATATGGTTTGCACCTCATGAGCTGTTGGCTCTGGGATTGGTAAATTCATGCTGATCAAGAGAAGCTGAGAGATGCAACACAAGGGAAGATGTAGGGTATCTAGATTGTGGTTGTGGCTGTTTGGTAATTGCCTCACATCATCATTTCACCGTGAGAGGCTGAGGTTCAAAGGTCTTGAAGCAGCCATCGAGATGAGTTCGTCCATACTTAAGGGTGTCTACAGACGCTACCAAGGATCTATCGCGTCAAATTGATCAAGAGGTGGCTGAACGAGACGAGTTCAGTTATGCGCACATCGTCATCGACACCAAGTAGACGAGTTGGTCGCTGATCTAGTCATCGCGGCGCCGTCAGCACTGGTACAAGGCGCTGTAGGTGTGTTCGGACTGCTCAAGACATTTCTTAACTAATCCTCGTTGACTTTGGAACTTCTCAGCTGTTTCCAAGGATTGGCGCCCCCAGGGCAGTGAGGTAATGAGGGTGCTGAGAACCGCCACTGGTGGTCATAATGGAACCATCGCAAAGCCGCACAATCGTAGCGCCCCGATCTTCCCGTATTTTCAATATGTATGAGCAGTCCAAGGTAATGGCTTTGTAAGCTTACAAAAATCGATCTGATAGCAATGCACCTCCTCGGCTGCAGGCCACTAAACAGGTACAGAGCATGGGCTGCAACGCAATGTACGTGTTCATTGAGGAAACTGAATCCGATCGGATTCTTCACAGGTTAAACCTCGGCCGTTTAGAGGATGAAAGTCGCTTACAGTACCTAATCTGAGTCGTTGAGCCGACAGCTTCAGAGGCTGCTTGGCAACCTCCACCTCTAACAATGTTATGGCTCGGTGTGAAGCAGCAGCTAAGCAGCAAAGTCAACTATTATTGGGAGCAGTTAGGCAAGGTTTATCAATCGATAAATAACCTTAATATATCGACCTATCAGGCAAGTTGCCTCGGAATTCACAGCATTTGTTTGGCTCATCTTGTCATGTATGATAAGGCGGCCGCCTCACAATCCTGGTCGCGATGAATAAACCAGACGAATCGGAGAGTAGTTTATTATGGCATGGGCAAGGGTTATTGACCAACCTCCCATCATTGTTGGAATGGTGCTGACACGCCCAGCCAAGCACGGTCACATTGCCCGCTGCATATCTGACCTAGCCTAACAAGGCAAATCATCTCACATCACATCATCCTGTCTTACCATCCTTGAACTGTCATTGACGGTTACTGTCACGGATATAAAGAGGTTGCGTCACCTCGCACAATCTCAAACAACCTCAACTTAAACCAACAACCAACCATGGCTACCGCATGTGAGCTCATCCAAGAAGATGATCCGATTGGACCATCAAACGACACTCCGCCCTCCCTAAAAGAGCTCAAGGCCGTTGAGAATATACCGGTATTCGACAGCGAGGGCGTCGAGCGCCCGTTCAAAAGCCTTTACAGCGGACCGGGATCGGCTCGCCGTGTCTTGGTCGTCTTTGTGCGCCACTTTCTCTGTAGTGTACGCGCCTCTGGCCCCAAGTGGTGGTTATTAGAGCACCATCTCTAATCTCGATTTCTAGACCAGCTCAAGCTATGTCAAGTTTCTATCCGAGGAAGCCAGTCCTGAGAAGATTGCCCCCTCCAACACGTCCATCGTCATAATTGGAAATGGGGTTCCCGAAGTGATAAAGATGTACATCGAAAATACAGGCTGCAAGCACCCTGTCTATGTCGAACCAACAGGCAAACTGTTTGAAGGATTGGGTATGATCAAAACATGGGTTGAGGGACCGGCCACGAACTACGCTTCAGAGTCGTCAACTTCGGCCTTCTTCCATGCGGCGTCCAAGCTCGTCCGGGGACTTCTAGCCGGTTATCCTGCGACCAAGGTCGGACAACCAAACCAACAGGGCGGCGAATTCCTGTTCGAGGGCGGCGAGGAGGCAAGGATGGTGACATGGTGTCATCGCATGAGGGTCAGTCGAGACCACACCCCAACTGAGAAGATGCTCAAAGTTGTATTTCCGGAGAGTTAGAATGTTTTTGGCCTTTTAATAGTGAATTCTGCTTATGGCTAGCCAGATGGTGAATGTGATTAAAACGCGGCTCTGTGCATCTGGATTTATACGTTCTTTGCTCTATAGGCATCACCAACATACCTGACTGTGGAACAAATTAGGGGGCACGGGACAACAAGGATAGAACAGAAAGACAAAAAGTGGGAGGATCAAAGATTTTCAGGGCCGAATCGACAAAAACACGAGAATCAACCCCACCTATTTGCTGCAGTTTGGCTGAGAGTCATTTCTGATATTTTGTGCAACCAGGGGGTGAAGCGGGCCGCTGTTGAGTTCTGGACTCTTATGTGGCCACACGAAGAATGGAGCAAGAATGGGACTAATACATAAAATAACTATTCTCCCGAGAACAAGAATTTTCCTCCGCCATCCAGTTTTCGCATCCATCACTCTTCATCTCTTCTTGGACGCCCTTCGACCGTCACCATGCTTCCCCCCCAGCTCTTGGGTACCTACAGGCAGTACAAGCAGGATACCGACTCTGTCGCGTCATGGCTGGCCTCGACTGCCACTGCTCGCGGCTACCCTGTTGATCTGCTAGCCAATTCGCATTCAACACCTGCCCCGAAGACGAGCGGGCGATTGAAGGGCGAGGCGAGAATTAAGGCTCGCAGCGACGGTGCATCTAATCCCAAGTCAGCCAACGAGAAGAGGCACATCATTGCCATCAAGGACTTTGTGCCACTGGCCAACTTCATTGCTGCCCGTCGAGTGTCAGTCCCCGACGTCTTCTCCACCACCCTTGACCGGCTTATCGCTCTTCGATCTGATTTTGGAGACAAGCTGGGCGAAGCTGGAGCTAACCTGGACCCCGAATCTGATGAGAAGCATGGGTATTTTGTTGGCATTCTCGGGGCAGTTCGAGAGGCTCTGCGACCTAGAATGACCCCCACCACGGCAGCTGTGGCCCTAGATGGTGCCATCGAGACCGGCAAGGACACCGCCAGGGGCCCAGCCCAGGATCTAGGGGGAAGGTTTGCTACTTTGACGGTAGATGAACCATCTCAGAGCTTCCTGGATAAGTCTCGCAATGCGTCTCACGAGAGACCCAAACCGGCCCAAGATGATGCCGCCTCGTATGAAGCAGAGACGCCGACTACCTTGGACGACATCCTTTTTGCCTTTGAGACCCTGATAAAGGATCTGCACCAAATCAGGGCACGCATCCAATGGCTCTGGTCCAGGCATTGTAAGCGTGATTTCGACCTCGCAGCCGCTGCTGTTACCACCAATACGGCCGTCTCCCTCGCCCGGGGCTGATAGAAGAAGTGGAACCTATTCTTACCAAATATGAGGGAGGTTTTCATGGACTTCTTCGGATGGGTTTCGCTTCTGCCTGCTTGAAGAGGGGTATGACATTAAACCAGATTTGGTCCGACGGAGTGGTTACTTGCAAGCAAGACGCAAATTACGACTGCTACGACTCCGCCAATAGATGCTACTTCATCCCACTGATAACCTTCGAAACGCTACTCCTAGAGCTCATTCCCAACAGTTTTATCGTGTTGGGTGGCGGCCGGATGGGTGAATACGACGATGCTACCTCCAGTTGGGCGTCCATGTCGAACTAACGCGAGTTCGAGCAGAATCGCATCATTTTCGCGCAGCATGTCACAGATCTTTTGGCCGTGGCTCTACGGGTCCCCGACTTTGAAGTTGAGGATGAGTTTCTTCGTGGAATGAGGATCCTCAGAAAGGAACACAAGGCGCCCTTTACACTCATGTTTGCGGCCCAGGTGTTTCTCGACATTCATCACGAATTGGGTGCTCCTGCGGCACGAAAAGTCTTTGCGGCCATGACGGATGAGGTTCGCAGTATGGATGAATTACTAGCTGGCCATTTGGAGCTCCACCAAAACATCAAGCAAAGGAATTGGACTCCCGAGTGGGACAAGGGCCTGCAAGATCTGAGAAGCAGGATTGAGTTGAATGCAAAGGATCCGGCTCACCAGGCAAAGGTCAAGCTGTTCAAAGAGGGCGGTCAGAACATCATTCTCCTAAACAAGGAAAAAGACCGTATCTGGATCCTCTCTCCCGTCTTGTCTGGCCTGTACCTCTCGACCGTCCGTATACACGTCTACTACCTGGGCCTCAAGTTGGCGAATTCCTGGCAGTCTATCATGCATTGCGCCCATCTCTATAATCTCCTTGGTCTAGAGAGCACTTGGACCGACATGAACATTGCCACCTTTCTGCTTGGCGAATCTAACTTCTGGGTTGGAGAGGGTCGGCCCAAGACGATTGATGATTGCTTCGAAAAGTTTTATCTTCAGAATGGCAACACGGCTGCCACCTTCGCATCGAATCGCCGAAGAACCCGTACTAATGTTTCTCGAGCACGTGTACGGATCATCGAACATGCCATGCCAGTCTCGGCCGTCTTTGTCAAGGCCCAGGCTGGCATCGGGACCGAAATAGCCTGGACGCCTGAGCTGGTCGAGGATATTATTGGGCTTAGTACCTTTACAGAGGAGGCTACGCTGGATGGAAAGGCCATATCCATGGTCAAGATCAGAGACCAGCAACAGCTGAGAGCCAAAGAGCGACTTCGGCAGCAAAAGGCCAAGGACAAAGCTTCTGGAAGGAACACAAACGTTGAGCTTGTCGCCCCCGAAAAGCTCATCTTGGCGCTTCTTCCAAGGCTGGCTAACGAATCCCTCGAGATGACATTCCCTTACTTTCTCCTGCACCGTCAGTGCTGGAAGGTGATGCGAGCACTCAGGGACGCCTGTGAGCCTATTCTGAGAGACCAGCCATATGCATATATGAGTTTGACTAGGGAGGTCGACATGCCTGGAGTGGTTTGGTGCATTTTCAACGCCGTGTATGGACTCGACAAGAATGGGCGTAGGATAGAGCCTGACTCAAGAGTTCTGAGTGTCGCACGCGCCATTTGCGAGGAGCTTCTTCGTGGCGATGAGGGTGTGAAAGCCACTGGGTTTCTTCTCCGGTTCAAGCAAATTCGTGTCAAAAAAGAGAATGGCAAAGAGCAAGATGAGGATGCAGGTTGGATAATAGGATAATGCTGCAGCTCGACTCTTGGGGTCAGGAGCCTAGAGAGGAGTGGTTTGGCGGCAGGCTATCCATAAATGCAATAGAATCTCGTACTTCTAACAGATTAAAGGCTGGGAGAGCAAGTACTATACTCCTTGGATTACTTCGATATAGTGATGAGCATGAAGCGAGTCGATCCCTCGTTATTCTTTCTATTGGCGCTGCTGAATAAGTTAGTTACGTAATACTTGAGCGGCGGTGACTCAAATGAGCAGATCATCTCGTGTCTCACCACGAACGAACTTCTCTTCAAGACACCAGCAGCTCAAGAGAAACCACAATCATGCCTCCTGTACGCGACCTAGACCTCATCGACAAGGTCGCCGTGATAAGCGGCGCATCTCGCGGCATAGGTCGTGCCATTGCCTTTAACCTCGCAAGTCGAGGCTGTTCCATCCTCGGAACCTGTACTGGTGACGAGGGTGTCACGGCTCTCTCATCGGGCCTCGATCAAGAAATAACAGCTCGTGTGTTTGAAGCCACGGCACGACAACGACCTACGAGTCTTACGATCAAAGGACTCGTCGCCGACATCTTCTCCGAAGACTGCGCTTGTGTCATCGCCAACGAGATCAACAAAACATTCAACAACCGTGTCGATATCTTCATCAACTGCGCTGGTGACCCCATGCCTGGTGTTATCGGTGAGATGGGAACCGCAGAGGTCCAGCGAAGTTTGCTCGGCAACATCCAAACTCCCGTTATCATCGTCGAAGAGTTTGTCCGCCGACGATACTTCCAGCCCAACAGCCGCATCATCTACATCTCATCCATCCGCTCTCGACAGCCGTGGAGCGACCAACTCATGTACGCAGCCGGCAAGTCAGCGGGCGAATCTCTGTGTCGAACGTGGGCCCAGACATTCGGTGGCAAGGATGAGAGGTATAGCTTCATGGAGGGTACGACTGCCAATGCTGTCACGGCTGGTCTGACCGAGACGGACGCTGTCGTCAACTGTGGCCCGGAAGCAGTCAAACGGTTCCAGGATGAGTTTTTCCCGACACAGAGTATCCCACGGTTTGGACAGCCTGAGGATGTGGCTGATGTGGTTGGTCTTCTCTGCGGCAATGATGCGAGGTGGATTACAGGATGTGTGGTAAGTGCTAGTGGAGGAGGCATCAAAATTGGCTGAAGACTTTGATGGGCATGTATCTACATGGGTGATATTGCCTCGCTGGCTTACTCTGAAGGCCGGGCAATTTAAGAGGCCCAAAAATATCAGGAACATCTATGTAGCTCTCAGAGGGTCATCCACTATACCAGGTCCTTATGCGTGTTAAAGGAGGCTTGCCTCCCTGCAAAAGTATCCAGATATTCCTTCGTTACAAGCAAAAGCCTCTTAGCCTAGCGTTTATCGGGCGACAGTCCAGCCTAGCTGTTGAGCCAATGATGCTATGCCAGTGACACCGCCTTTCGAGTCATTTCCACGCTTTCTTCAAATCTCTCCAGCTTTCCCCGCTGCTTCCGGTTGCATGGTTGCTCCCGCATGAATCTTCATTCTATCAGCCATGGGCGATCGGTAGCTTCTGCATCATCATGCGTCATGGTTGACTACTCACCCAACATCATTGCCTCGTTCTGTATTACTTTTCCTATTGCTACGCTCGTGGTCATTCTTCGGCTCATTTCCAAGCGTATGACAACTACTGGATATGGACTGGAGGACATCCTGGCCGTGTGTAGTTGGGTAGGTTCTGTTCGCTTTGCCCCGTGGATAGGTGTTAACAGAGCCTCGCGGTCTAGGTCTTCTGTCTCGGATACTGCATAGATGTTCTGATCTGTATGCCTTGATTCCCCTTAGAAATTCACCGTCTTACTTCGTTGTTACATAGGGCTTGCCGACTACGGCCTTGGTCGACCGATTGAGCAAGGCCTGTCCTCCCAACTAACCCTGGACGAGAAGACGAAAGTATCTTGGCTGATCCTATGGTGTTCAAGTATTCTTTACTCATTCACCATTGCCTTCTGCAAGTTTTCGATCCTTTGTTTCTACTGGCGCCTTTTCAAATATTCCAGCGTTAGGATACCGGTCCAGGTCCTGTCTGGTCTGACGTTGGCCTGGTTCATCTTGCGACTCTTCCTGGTAACACTTCAGTGTATACCTATCCAAGGTTTATGGGATCACTCGGTCAAGCACTCATGCGGCGTTAACGAGACGGTGTTTTTCTTTACGACGGTTCTTACACATGTCTTGATCGACTGCGCCATTCTTGCTCTTCCGATAATCGAGGTTGGCAAGATGCATCTCCCCAAGGGCCAGAAGATTGCAGTGATTACTCTCTTCTTGTTTGGTGCCTTGTAAGGTCTTTCCTAGAACCTTGTCACGCTCTCTAACGTCTTTTTTGCCAGAGTCTGCCTTGCGTCTGTCTTTGTGCTCGTCGAATCGCTCAAGTTCGACTCTCGCTCAAAGGAAATCACGCTCGAAATGGGGGTCCATTCTTCAGCAGCAGTTGCTGAAGTTAACCTTGCTGTGATATCGAGTATGTTTCCCCATCTGTTCAGATATCTGTTGATCATCGCTTGCTGATTGATCACGCAGCCTCACTTCCATTACTACGTCCCATCTGTCGTAGGATGGTTCCTGGTTTCTCATTTTCTTCAAAAAATTACCACCAGTCAGAACAATCCCCTCGAGAAGTTGTCCTGGAAGACTGGGCTACCAAACCATCCGCTGTTGCACGAACTAGTCATCATGACATTCAACCGCTGGGCTTGTTGACGGACGAGATTCAGGGTGAACCTTCGCATTTGTCGGCCGAAGGTAGCAGAGGCTAGGGCCTCGGTCTGATGAACGACCAACATTCAAAGAGAGAAGCACCATTTTGTGTCTGAAGAATCGTGCTAAGGGTACGAAGAGGAATGAATTCAAAGAGATGATATCATGCTATGACTTGTGGACTATACGTCCTCCTGGCCCATCGGCTACTCTTCAGCCCACCTATATCTAGGCTAAACGATATTTGAGATAGGGAATCCAGTTAGAGACAAGATCTACCTTTTGGGTAGTAAAGGAGCAGGCGCTGAACTCGGGCCATTTGTACACCTTTGAGAAGCCGGCCGCCGTAAAAGTCTCCTCCTTGTTGGTTCGGCAGGGATAGTCAAACTCGACGTCAATCCAACGTTGATATGGGACGGCTCCAAAGGCAAGCTGAAGCTTCTTCGTCGCAAGCGGAAACTTGGCAAATTCTTCGTTGAAGGCTTTGATGGCCTTCAAGAAGTCACCGACCGGGCCTTGTAGAGTGCTCTTGACGATGTTCTGGGTCTCGATGAAGCCGTCGCGAACCTTGCGGAGCTCAGGGGTTCGTGAGAGCTCCTGGTTGTTCTTCCAGTCTAGGGCGAGTATGGCATCGAAGCGCTTGAGGACTGCATCAACCGTGGTTGCGTGTTTCTTGAAAGGTGTGAACGAGTAAAAGTTGGCCTGCATCTCCTTGGCATAGTAATCCAAGTTGGTTGTGACAGTACCAAATCCGTTCATGAGCATACGCAACGTCTCCAACTTGTTGCTAACGACGAGGTCGTAATATGGGCTGACGGGCGCAAGATTCTTTGGCTCGAGATTGTATGCGCTTTGGATGTTGTTTAGGTAGCTGCTGAGAAAGTACTGTCTCAAGTTCTCTGCATCGCCAGCTTCGTTGCCAATATTGTAGAGGTTGTCTATGTTCTGTAGCAAGAGAGATACTGCGGGCAATTAGTCCTGCCCACAGAAGGATAGTAGAGGTCACCAACCTTGTTTGATGAATCCTGCCGCCGTCTTGCCATTGCATGCATTGCCTTGGCAAACAGTGTCCTGTATTTCGTTGATTTTCGCGTAGGCCGAGTCATGGCGAGCCTTCAGGGTGTTCCAAGAAGTCAATATGGCTGCAATTTTTGTCTTCCAAGCCCCCTTGAAGGAATCTTGCCACCCCTTCAGCAAAACAGAAAGCGAGCCCTTTCGGATCTGCGTATCGGCGGTGATCCAGTCGATGAACCACTGACGAATCACATCCAGCCTCTTTTGGTTGCACGAATTTGTCTGGCAGAAATCGATTGGTGTGACCAGGGATATGTAGGAGGTTACGTTGACCTGAAATGTGTTAGCATTGTGTTAATTGTATAAGTCATGAGACAGACAAACCTCTGGTGCTTGCAGCACTGTCCATCCATCCTTGTTTGCGAGCTCCTTAGAAACGACACTCGCTTTGTTGTCCTTGGGAGCGTAACCTTCATCAGCGAATCGCTGCTCTGGGAGTTGGATGAAGATCCAAACACAAGAGGCATAGAGGCTTGTTCACCCTTTCAATAGAGGCAATGGCATTCATGGCCCTGGTGGCCGCTCCATTGACCTTACCGCCGGTCCAGATGGCGGATTCGGCCTTCTTCTCGCGAAGGGCATCAGGCAATGCCAAACACCATGTGGCATACCCGTTGACAAAGTCATGGTTTGGTAAAACATCGTTGATCATGTCACAAATGTTCTCCGAGTTGGTCAAGATCTCAACTCCGCACGGGCTGGCCTTATTGCCGCCTTGGATTCTGTCAGCATTGCGAATCCGTATGATCATGTCACTCTTACAGTTGGTCAGGGGTCGAGAATCATAAGGAATGTTGAAGTTCTTGGTGCAGCCATCTGTGCCGTCAACTGCGCTGCAGATGGTTACAATATTCTGGTTTGTCCCAGCAGCTGAAGGGTGCACCAGCACCAAGGCAAGGAGAGCAAAGGAGCGAGAAAGGCCCATGGTGAGAAGAGAAGTGTAAGGGATCAAGTGCAATGAATGAAGTTGGTATTTCGAGTTGGTATGTGCAGTTTCAATCTGAAGAATACGAGTGAGGGCTTCCATATATACTCAATCAGCTGTTCTCGACTGCTTACAGAATAGCTGATTTCGCGAAGTGCTGTGATCCAGACTCGGCAATGTCAGACGCCATCGTGAACCAGAAATGGCTGAGTGGTCGCCGACTTGGCTGGCAGAATATAAAGCCACGCAGGTCTATTTCTATTGGGTCATTCCTCTCTTTCCACATGTTCGCTTAGGGTTCCCGTAGGCAGCTAGCTGGTTTTGACCTAATACAGGCACGGTTGGTCCTGTAGGGCTGAACGAGGCTGTTGTTTAATCGAATGCGCCTGGGCTAGCCCACGCCATTTTTAACCGCAATTATTCATACTGAACCCTTCTCACTGGCAACTGCCGAAATCTCTTTCTCAGGATCTAACCCGGGCGAGACTGGCGTTCTTGGCACTCGGTTTCTATGTTCGAGGCCATTCTCTCGAATCAGCTCGTCTAAATCAGCCTTGAGCTAGACTCAGCCCGAAACATACAGATCATTGTTGAGACCCGCTACTAGAAAGCTTGGCAGTCTAGATCCGCTCAGACTGGTTACCATGCTCTCATACCGAAAGTTACATTCCAAGCATTTAAGCATAGTGGAATCGTATGCCCCCTGGCCTGAGCGGATGCCTAGGTCTACATTCCTGCGCCTCGGGGCTTGCACGAAAACGGAACCCGAATCAAGGTTAAATAATCAGCCCTTGTAGCTAGAAAGTGGCTTTAATGTCCACGGAAATATCTGGACCGGTGAGAGAATGCCCAACGAATACTTCAGTCCTGTCCGACGTGGCGTTTGTTATGGCTCAGCGCCGCTGGCATCTCGTTCTATCTAGTTCACGGTCCCTATAGACCAACGGTGACAGAAATAAGGTTATGCATGGGGCACATATTTCACCTCTAGACTCTCATCTCATGGGCTTCTGCAACAGTTGTAAAGCCACAACATTTGTCGCATAAGACGACGCCAGCCTCTAGGGACTGGAAGCAGGCTCAATGTTGGAGTAATGAATGGCTTGAGTGACTGTCAAATGGTGTGTTTTTACCTCTCAAAGGGAACATATTGTTGCTTGAGGTGCTGCATAAAGGCTGTTATCCTCCAAAATTGCTCAGTCTTCTCCAATCTCGGTCAGAACTGAGACAGCCATGCATCCTTAAATCGCTCACGACCATTTTACAGCTGATCAGCCTTATTCCATTCCTTTTTGATCGTAGCCCCCGCCAAAATGCTTCGTGGCTTCAGTTTAAACCTAAAATTGTTTGGTATGATCATCAGTCCAACAACGTCCATCTTCCATGGATCAACTTCTTCCACAGGCTCAATGTCAAAGGCCCATAGAAGCCTCGCGACTTGAATGAACATCCCATCAATAGCGACCTTCTTCCCCAGACAGCTTCGCCTCCCTTGCCCAAATGCAGCAAGGGGTAAGTTACTTCTTAACTTGGGCTGGCCGTTGTTCTCATCATGCATCAGCCACCTCTCGGGGACATAGTCGTCCAGATTTCCCAAGGACGGATCAAACACAGCGTCATCACGCCCAATACCCCACGCGTTGGCCATGACCATGTTTCCCTTTGCAATCTTTATCCCTTTGTAATGGTCATCTCTATCAGCCCTCCGTGGAACGCTACCGGGAGCGACAGGCCTCCAGCGCAAGAGCTCGTGAACGGCAGCGTCAATCAGAGGTAGTTTCGGCCTGTCTTGGAAACTCGGGAGACGATCATGTCCGACAACCTCATCAAGCACGGCATGAGCCTTCTTCAGAAATCCTGGATTCTTTATCAAGCCTGGGAACAACCAAAGGATCTGACGAGGGGATGTCTCCATGCCACCTTGGATAGAAGTGGCAAGCATAAAGGCCAAGTCCAGATGCGGAAGTTGGGGGCTTTGGGTCTGTTTTTCGGTCGCTGCAATGATTTTCTTTGTTGCATTCCATCCCTCAAATCTTCTACCATGATTCATGAGCTTCATGTAGAGTTTTGTTTGCTCATCATATATCTTGTTGGCATGGCGCTTCCAAGGCGAGACCAAAGCTGGGAGATGGCGAAGTGCGGGAAGAGAGTCAGGGAGACCAGGGTGAGCAACAAGATGTGACAATTTCGCTTGAATTTTCACGACTTGGTGAAGAATGGGATCTTCGCAGGTGGGAATACGCATACCATAATGCAGTGACATTATGATGCTGCCTTGGGTGCGCTCAAAGTGCGGGTAGACGATCCTGGTCGAGGTGATATGATCTTTGTCCCTTTCCGCTAAAGCAACGAGATCCACAAGCAACTGCATAGACTCGAGTTCCATCAAGGGTTGATATCGAGGAGCAGAAGGTGCCCCGATAGTTGGTGACAGGATGCGATGATATTGTTGGAGGTCGGCATCGTAATCATGCAAGAGAGTGAACTTGCATTTACCTGGGCCGGCGCCCGTGATCATCTCCATTGTGACTGACCTCGGCCTGTTACTATACCACTGGCTGCGCTTGCTGAAAAGTTCGGTTGCCACTTCGGATGTGTTGAGGATAATAATGGGAACGATCCCAAACAACCTGGCCGCCACGATGGCGCCGTTTTGCTTCGCCCAAGCATCCCAGTTGATGAGCGGTTTTTCGACGGGTGAGTAGTGCAAGTCTCCAAAAAGAGGAAATTTTCGTGGCCCCGGGCCTTCATCATCGCTTTTGAGGTAAAGATACACAGCGGTAATAATAGTGAGAAGTAAGACGACAATAAGTGTTGAATCAATCATGATGACTGACGAGGATGAAGTGTCCAAGTACGCATGCTCCAAATAAGTTGGTTCGTCTTAGGTGATATACGTGTTCCTCGCTCGTATGCTCATATCGGTGGGCATTGATGACGGCAGCACTTTGATGTCTGGGTGTAGCCACGAGGCTCCCGGGACTGGGTCATCGGAACTGAGTCTCTGTGTTTCAACCAGTGTGTAACATTGTCTTACCCCAAGTCCCGCGTATCTTTCTCTGCTTAAACTCCCTCATAGTTGAATCAAACGCAATGTCGTGTTCCTAAATGTGGCAGTATCCTACTATATAATTTATTTCAGCCTATTCACCTCCTTAGGTTCCACCTGCTATTGCCGTTTCCTGCGTTTCATGGAATCATAAAGGCCTCGTTTGGTTTTCTTATCGTTCACCCCCTTGAAACAACCATTATCGTGCTTGCCAACATGTCAGCATTGTCAGACGTTGCACAACTTGTACTAGGTCCAGCTGTTCCGATAATGAACTGTGGAGTAGTTACTGTAGAGTGAATTATACTTTACAAACCCTTCTCGGCAATGCGTTGAAAGACAGGCAACGGATCTAAAAAGATCTCAGCCTTGTAGCACCTGATCTTCCCATCGTCCCCCTTTTTAACGAAAAACGTAGCAAACCCCGGTATTTCAATCACATCCTTCTCGGGGTCATCGCCCTTGATCAAATACCTGATCGTCGCAGCCTGGTAAATGCGAGGACCAACGTAGTCTAGGACCGTTAGTATAAGAGCGTTAGAAGTTAGGGGTAAGATAGGAACATTCCAAAATACAGAATATCATGTGTCATCATGTCGAGCTTGGCAAATGTTTCTTTGAACATCTAGAGTGTCAATTAGTATCGTATAACGTAGTAGGGTACACGGCACGTACTTGTCGAACACTGGCCCCGGAAAGAATAGGGAGGTTTGCATACTGCAAACTGATATCTTCTGTGTAGAAATTATCAAGCCATGAATCTGCGTCAAGGCTTCCACTGGCACGGTGATACTGCAGACGTCGAAGAGGGTTAGCTGCGTTGGGGTATCCTGTGAAGGTCCCGACGTAGATGCTTGTTCATGCTTGGCTTGACTCACCTCGAGAAGCCAAGCCTCGATTTCCTCTCTCCCGATGTCCGTAGCCTCTGTCATTTCCGCGGCGTTCTTTTGTTTCAGATTCTATTACTGATCAATAGGCGATGGAGAACTTCACTCCCTGCTAAGATACGAATGACTCTTATATGACGACTTCCCAATTCCATTAATAATCGACATGGCCTCAAGAACCGATGGGTGGATTCTTGTATTTGTAATCCATTTAGTAAGACCCATGTCATTTCAAGCACGCACGTCTTCTCTTGGCCAGCGCCACGATCCGCTTATCACCCGAGAACTTCAAGCTGACTCTTTGGATCATCTACCAATACTACTGACACGACATCACAAGCGCAGGTGTGCTTGATGGTGTGCAACCACATGAGAAGGTCCCGCTTCTGGCCAGTCCCCCCAGTCTGAATGGCCATCAACACACCAATGCCCAGAACCATTATCTCATAGCGAATTTCTCAGTTGTGCCAAAGGGTTGCGCCATGTGAAATCAACAGGGCAAGGGGACAGACAACACAGGACTCTGAGTAGGTGGGAGCGCAGATAAAATGTGACTACAATTGTCTAACGAAATTGTCGAGTACCATTTGAAGATATCATTTTAAGCCATCCGTGCCACATGAATTTTCGAGGGCGTTTGCCAGGAGTGAGGGGATGGTGACAGCGACAAGATAGCAGATACCTCATTTTCAGTGTCATTTACGACGGGACAGAAGTCACTTCCATCAGACCAACAGAGGAGGAGATCAATCTACCTGACCCTTCACAGTGGATAGCCTGTGCTTCTCGCAATGTATGGCGTCCCTTTGGGTGACCCTCATCCCACAGCCAAATTCTTCACAGGTGTGAGCAGAGCAGTACATGGCGCTCTGAGGGCTGTTCTTCTTGGTCACAGCATCCATGAGGCATCCCCATTTTCGGGCAGCGCAAGTGTGCTCCTCACAGAAAAGGCCTCTGCAGCTGTTGATGGAGATGACGGGTTTTGTGCATGGCCCAGAAGAACAGATGTTCTTTGGGTCATACACGGCTCGCTGCAGAAGAGTTTTCTCTAGGACTAGCTCTTGGGTGAGTGATTCCGTCGGGGATGACTTGCTACACAGAGCCTCAAAGTGTTCCTTAAACTTGGTGAGCTTCGTCTCAATATCCTCACGCAAGATCATCTTCTCCACTTGTTCCTTTCCCATTCTCCAGGCACATTCGTCGCAATGCCCGCCAACATATAGGATCTTGAAGCTTGATGCATCCATATCCTGAACGTCAACCACGGTCTCGGCAATGGACTTATTCATCTCGTTGATGATGCAACCGACGGGAGTGTCACATCTCCAGACTGCTTCTGTCCTCTTTCGATGGCGACCTCCGCTTTCGCCGCAGGAAAACTCGAGCTCTACAAACTGACACATCTTGTGAAGTTGAGATGTTGACTGCCTGTCGCGTGTCGAGTGAACGGCGGCGTTTGCTAGTAGCAGAATGTGTCGGACCAGCTTCTTATAGCCAATACTACTTGCTCTTTATTCCTTGTGCCCCTCAATTATTTTTCCTTTGTTCAGACTGTTTCCTTGGATTTATCCCATGAACAGAAGACTAAGTCCACTCTTAAACAGCAAACAGGCACCATGCACAATGAACAATGCGACTAGCCGCACATTGATTGCTTCAAGGCACATAGTTCTTTCAAGATTCGCAGCTCAAAGAAGAAACGAGCTCTCCCAATGACACACTTTCATTAACTGCCAAACATGAATTACATAATTCTTACGACTCCCAAAATCTGCCGCTAGATGAGATGACCCGGGCAGCCAAAGGCAGAGACAGCGAATTCGCTGAAGCTACATTTCTCAACAATACAGAACCATTCTAAGGCAAGCATCCGCTATTTAATGACCGTAAACTGCAGCGTTAATCCGAATCAATGACAATGACCTCGACGTCATTCTTCTCCCGTTCACTCTCAATCTGCTTCAACCTCGCCGTCAACCACGCGCCGTAGGCCTTCAGCATGCCTATGTGTGAGTGCTCCTCACAGTAATCTCTCATCCGCCGATGCGCCTCTACAACCCACTGCGCCTCCACGTTTCGCCTCATCTCCACGTTTCGACTAGATTTTACAACTTCTCCACGGGTCGTGTATGCCACCTTGGCTTCACAAACAGGACAAAGATATGGCGGCTGGCGCACATCGTCAGCTATGTTTGCCGTCGACTGCATCATACACGCGTAGTACACGCAGTGCCCCATGCCCACGCAGTGTCCCAGCTCATGGGCCGCCGTGCGACACACTCTCGTTAGCCAAAGCCCATTCCAGTCAGCCGGTGTCTTAGGCACCAGTATGCCTCTTGATGCTACTACAGCGGCCGCAAGAGGTGAATCGGATGTGTTGTTGCAGTGAATCATCACCGCAGAGTCAAACTCTTTGTGCCTCCCTTTGAGTTCGGGCTCATCCTTTTCCCAAAGACCATTCACATAGGCCTGACAATGAGACGCCGGCCAGCTATGTGCGTGATCAACCTTGTTGTGCTCATCCAACATTGGATTGTATCGAAATGTTGAAACGATGCAGATCCGAGAGCCCCCGAATGCTCGCCCAGCACAGAAGTCATCCTCTTCGTCTTCATAAAGGTCAAAGTGCGTTAAGAGTATGACAGCAAAGGCATCCTTCGGCACATTCGCCAACAACCCGTCAAGCATGTGCGAGAGATTGAGCTGACCTTTTGCAACACCATCGCCCGACGCCCGAAAGTCGACTCGGGTAGGCGTCCCATTGTCGATCACAAGATCAACATTTCCTCGATTGTCAGCTTGGCGACTCTTGGAGCTAGAGAATCGGCAGCGCGTTAGAACGCACTTATCGTTGAGAACTTTGACGTCAAGTCCGTGATAGAAGGCCTCAATGTACTCGGCGATATCGTCTGCTCTTGGCTTTTCGTGCTCAAGCTCTGAGTCGGTGCCCACGACCGTCTGCGGTTTCACCCAGTCGCTCATACAAGCAGCATCGGGAGCTAGTGAAGGGCTATTGATAACGTAGAGAGTTTTTCTTCTTGTAGTGACCGAGTTGCGGTGACTTTCTCGTGCAAAAGACTTGAGGCTTTGTGGTGGTTCTTTTGGATCCAAATCAAGGGCGTCTTGTGGCGTGAGATTCACACCAGGGAAGGCCGAGATTGGAGGCTCCCCATCATTCGAAGTTGATGCTGAGCTTTGTTTATTCGCAAGAGTGGCTGCTGCTAAACGGTCTTCCCTGGATGGGCGTTGGTAGCACGAGATGGCCGAAGCATGTGGGGACTTGTCGGTAAATAAGACGGCGTGGGGGCAATTTCGTGAGTGTTTAGAGCGCGCCATTTCAACAAGATTGCTTTTTCTGATCTCGTCTTTCAATACTCACGGAGGTTTCAATCGGATGATTAAATAGTTGAAGGATGAAACCAAGCCGGGAACTGTTAGGCCAGGCAGCAGCGCGAAGGAGCAGATGTTGGCGGTGAGTCACGGCGAAATTCGATCGAGGGACGAACAGGAGGTCAAGTAGGTTCACCAGTCAATGTGAAACGTCACCCTTGTATGATTAAATGGAAGTTTGATAGGCCAGTATGACCTTGCTAGCTGTCAAGAATTATTCAAGACGAGTGGCCTAAGACTGGTACAATGATTGATATACACAGTTTGATGGCCAGATGAAGGGTCTAAGGGAATGAAACTGGCTCACCATCATACTCATTCACGCTTTAGACTTGTCTACAATGATTTACATCTACAGCAACATGTTCTCCTCTGAGGAGTGTAACAGGAGCAAACTAGCCACGTGATGTCTTTGGTGTGCCACTGCCCGAGCAATCAACACAATCCAGATGAGTATGACAAGAGGCATGGAATGAATCATGGGCAGAGGCATTTGTGAATTCTCAATCACGAGCACCGCGTCTCTATATATACGGCCTTCTCTCTGGCAGCTCTCATGTTTCCTCTTTTCTTCAGTATACTATCCCACCAACCAAACATCCACCCACTGGAACCAACCTCCAAAAACAACAGGTCAAGGGAATTGACCCTGAAAGACGGTATAGTTTATCCAGTGCGTACTAACATCCGCCAGCATTTGAATACAATGCTGACTCTCGAAACCAGGCCGGTTCGACCAGCGGAAGGCTTTGTTGGTGAGTCTCAAAGTTCACGGTTCGATGAGCGAAAATCCTCAAACTGAAGAGACACGCGCACGGAAAGGCGTCAAGAGAAAACGCATTGTCGTTTTGCGAATGACATGGCATGCTAGATTATTATCACATCTAGGAGTTCGACCGAAACTGGATATCGCCATCACCAAGCCTAGACGTGACAAGTACGTCTTTGTGTATTCCGACAAGCACATAAAACATTACGAAAAGTGGGGATATAAGGTACCGACTGATAGAAAATTCAAGAAACACTTCAAGAAGGGCCTCTCGAAGAAGTCTTCAAAGAAGAAGCCTTCAAAGAGGAAGTCCTCTAAAAAGAAGTCTTCTAAAAAGAAGTCCTCCAAAAAGAATTCTTCCAAGAAGAGGACTGCAGAGCAAGAGGCAGACGACCGAGTTTATCTGTCTGAAGGGTGAGTGATCTTCATTTATTCTAAGAAGCCAACGGGCTAGTTCCTAAAGAGCACTGACAACCTCTTTAAAGGGCGGAGGAGTCATAACCGAGTCCCACTGCTCAGACATTTCTTAAAACGACTCACACAAACTTGCGACCCCTCAAAGATACCAAAACCAACTTTAACAAGATGAGTCCATCATCGAAGGATCAGAAGGAAAGAAAGCCAAAGACCCCAGTGCCCACCCCTCCCTGGTCGGTGAGGGCACTATCATGGCTGGCAGGAGGTCACCCAGTCAAGGTCGTATATAGAGTGAAGGAGGTAGCCAAACCCAAGACCGATGATCCCAAGGCTGATGATCCAACTAAAGGGGGGTCTGACAAGCCAACTGAAGAGGAGCCAGAGAAGCCAGCTGAGGGAGCTTGATGAAGGTCAACTGACTGATCATTTGACAACATTGAGAGATGTCTCGATCACAGTATTTTACTTGCTAGGAAGGTTGATGAGGGGAGATCTTGGCTCTATGGCTCGACCGTTTGCTTGACTTTGACACATGGGTGGCTACAGCGCTTGGTCGAAGGGAAAATAATAAGTAGGTATGCTAGAACAAGGACAGGAAGTATTACCTTAGCTAGGGAAAAGGAAAGATACTCTAAAGCATAATATAAATATTTTATTTATACTTTATGTATATTTATTTCTTATCTTTGCCGCGGTTCTCTTAATCTTCTAACATTCGTCTCTTTTTGCCCCATCCTCGTTAAGTATCTTTTTCGCTTTACGGTAGGCAGCTTGGACGCTAATAAACCGTTAACATCGGCTTATAAAAAAGCATGAGGTAACTTAGAAGGAAATCTTAAACCTAAGCCATGAATCAGGCAGACATTTGTCATTCTCCTGCTAGCACTTACCTTGCTTGAGCGCATCCTACTGTTGTACCGACTGGTCTTGAACTGCTCTATTGTGTGGCTTTGGCTGTGGCTGTGGCTGACCCACTGGCTAGCGGGGCTGAGCACGGTGGCTGAGATCGTCGTATCAAAAATATCGTTAAAGAATCGATGCACTCTCTCTACTAGTTATTGTCCTACGCCTGTCAAGGGAATTCCCATGGTACCACGCTCTTTTTGTCATTAGATGACCTCTTCTGGCTGTTTTCATCGTTATTAGCCTCAAGTAGAACACTTCAACTCTACAGGTCGTCGGTCTGGTCTACCGCCCACTTCTTCGTCAAGGAGTATATCGATGACGGCTCCGAGGAGGACACCAGACACAATGATAATCAGAACACTTGTCAGTGTATAAAAGCACTAAGCCCTGATGCCGAAAAGACCCCATTACCTCCCGCCCAACTCACGTCGAGTCCATATACGATGTGAGCAAAATCCAGGAGCCCATTTTGACGCTGGTAGCGTCGCTGAGGTCCTCTGTACTTTTTTTTTTTTTTGGCATAAGCCAGTCCATAGACTGAGTGTCCATGAATGTCTTATCTCTTTGACTCCAATCTCGCTCACCATCACAGGCATGTTCTCGATGACTCGTTCCGCACGCAATATGCACGTCAGCAACACACACATTTGACCTGCTCGCAGTCACATTCCATGACGACACAAGAGTAAGTGTTTAATGATAATGCTATTAATGATGTATGGCCAAGATTCAGTAAAAGAAAACTGAAAAATACAAGTAATCAGCTTGTCATCAAGCTCCCGGTTGCGTCTCCCCCTTTTCCGAATCCTTAAGCCGGACAATCCTCTGTCACCTCGCGCACGATGATGTCGTCAACAGCGATTTGCACACCATTCTCGGTGCTTTTCTCGCAGCGAGCCGACAACTGGACGGTGGGCTCGACGTTCGTTGCCGTGAACTTGAAATCCAGGTCTGTCCAGTTCCCCTTGATGAACGCCCCCTCAATAGCGTCCTCCCTAAAGGCCTGGCCGATCTGCACTCTGAGTTTGCACTCATCGCCTGGCTTAGGTGCGCCGTTCAGCACCTTGTAGGAGTATCGGACCCCATAGTTCTTATCCGGGAGAACGCCTACGACACCTTGGAAGGCATAGGGGCGTTGGTCGGTTCTGGTGATGTCGAAGACGCTGGCGATCCTCATTAGCTACCAAGTCGCTACCAAGTCGGGGAAAGAATTCCAATCTACACTTACAGCGAAGTGTAGCCGTTTTTGCCCCATTCTTTGTTTATGTGGCTCTTTATGGCGCTCGCGCCCTTACCGAGGTAGCGCCAGGGCTTGTTGCCCTTCCCACCAAAGGATGCATTTCGAACGAGATTGGGGCACTTTGCAGGCGGTTTCTTGGGGGTACAAGGAACGGCACCCGTGCAAAGGAGGAATGTGATGACCGTCAGAAGGAGCGGAAAGACCTTCATGTTGGAGGAACTTCTCAGGGATGACAGGTAGGATTGGTGGAAGAGGCCAGAGTGGCAGAGAGTAGCGTTCTGAGAGAAGAACAAGGCGCCATTGGTAGAATAGAGACAAGACAGGGCATTTTATAGGCACTACCCTAGCCAAAGAGTCCCACAAGACAAGAATAGTCAGTCATTAGATGCAGCCTTCGTGCCAGCCACTTCGTCACCAAGCTCAAGTTCTGCTTCTACGACATGTCTTCCAACAAACGAATGCCATCATGGAGTCAAGATGGGTAAAGGTTGAGACGGCTCACACGTGTGTGTTGTGAGTGGCTGATTGGCCACCCATAATGGGTGACGTTGAAGAGAAGGCAGCATGGATGATTGTATCAACTCGTTGAGGGACGATGAGAGGGGATGAGAAAACGAGATGAAGATATACTCCATCATCTTGTTTCATAGCCTCATGGAAATGGGATGAGAAGTGCCCATTTCATCACTGCCTTCATTATCCTTCGAGAAGAAGACGAAGTGGCTGTGCGAGATGTTCGAATGGCTTGGCATAGTTCAGGCCGCATCCCCTCCTCATTTCTCCTTAGAGGAACAACTTTGCGGATTTTGAGCTATTGGGGGTGTGTTTCTTCCCAGACTGTCTCCTTAACGGAAGAGACAAGCCCTACCCTAGAAAGCTGGCATGAGAGACCGGATCGCATGCTGTGACAGGTTTTTGCGCGCATTTGAAGAGGCCACTTATCAAGTTTTGTTCACGGAGCCTGGTCCTTACTAGGCTCCATGCCGCACTTGTAACAATACACGCATCATGGTCCGCTGAAAGGGCATGTTCTTTGTTGATTCTCCAATCTCCATGCAACTCGGGTGTGTTGGGGGGGCAAGGACCTCTAGGTTTCACTCAAAGAACCATGATGAACGTGACGATGAAAATTGAAATAAACGGAGAGCTAAATTGTGCCTTTAGGCGGCTCGGGCCGTGAAAAGGGATGGGGACACCGTTTTCGAATCGAACTTGAAAATCCCCGGGGCCATTTCGTAGCAGGACCGATTGAGCCTCTAAGCTACGTCAAAAGCGAGGAAATGGCCTGGTTGCGACCTACTTGAAAGCAAGTGAATGACGTTCAAGGTAAGTTGAAGTGGTACTGGCTGAAGGAAAGGGACAACTGTGGGCAAAGGGCGGGGAGGATATGACCATTCCTGTCTTTGGTGCGATTGGTCATGACAGGAAACCGCTGTGTCCGCGCGTTTTCCGTGGGAGTTTGAGCAATCATGAAGCCGGAAAAAATCCAAGTATCATCGGCCCGAAGCTTGAAGGAGAAGCCGTCAAATGTGCGGCGAAACTTCCGAGTATCTCTCCGATCAACTTGAAAGTGGCGCACTCCTCCTTGTTGGGCTTGACGATCTATGATGATAGCATCTAAAAGGGGTAACCTGCAACTGTGTTCTTTTCAGTCGTTTCATCTGTATCCAGGAGAATAGAAGTGTTATGATCAACAGTGGAGTGACTTGATCGGGTTTGGCTCTTCGTCACATCGCACGCCACCAGTATCAAGGACACGGTTATCAGAAATAGACAGCGCAGTTTCCATTGCTGACTTGTTTTGCCTTGACATGTTTTGTTGTGACAATGACGATCGCTATTCATGGACCTCGAAAAAGCCAGGCAAGCTCGGTGGGTCGGATTGAAGATCACAGCACCCCGACCATCAGACACCTTGTATGTATCTACTGGTAAGTCAAACCCGAGAGACTTCGGTTGTCAAAGGCTTCTACCCCACTGTCTTTAAGAGAGAAATCCTCTTTCGGGCGTAGCAGGACAGGTTCCAGCAGGTATTTCACTGTGATTTCGACGGATGTCGGCCGATGAGCACCCAGTTCGGCTCGAGTAGTGAATTAACATTTCTTCATTTTGATTGAGTTGGCAATACCTCAGCTATTTTCTATATACAGGAGATACATCCAATCATGCACTTGCAGCCTTGACAATCAGCTCCTTAGACAAAGCCTGCAGTTCCTCATCTGAGAGTCTCGCAAGACCCAGAACCTCGTTATCAATGTTCTCAAAGCTGGGTCCATACTTGGCGTTGGTGCCGCCCTGGAGAATATAGAAGAACCACACCCAATCGTCAAAGGTACCAGCCGCCAAAGCCTTGTCAGCTGTCTCCTTGAGAACATCTGTGTCCTTCTCATCAATAATCCACTCGCCAGGGACAGCCTCCTTGGCAATGGCTGCGATGGTCTTGAATGAGATCTTGCCATCCTCAATCTTGACAGAGCGGTTCTTTGTAGCCTCGGGGTTCTTGAGAACGCCGACAACGCCCTTCCCAACTGTAGCCAACCGAGTCACGCTGACTGGTAGGTCGCCTCCATTGTAAAGTGTAACCTTCTTTTCCTTGATGTTTGCAAGGGAGCCATGGGTGAAGCCCCAGTCAAGGAAGAGGTTGTTATAGATGAAAGTGTAACTGAGTGACGTAGTGGACTTCTCAACGAGGTAGTCTTCCGTCTTGACCTTCTCAGCGAAAACAGGGAGCTGGCGGGTAAGAGGGTTCTGCTGATCGCAACCAAAGTTGGAAGGGATGAATCGCTGCACTCCAGCGGCGACAGAGGCATCAACAAGGGCTCGCTGAGCATCGCCCACCGCGGGAGCTCCAAGGGTCGAGACAACAGCATCAACGCCTTCGAGGGCCGACTTGAGGGAGGCAGGGTCACTGTAATCAACCACTACCTCCTTGACCTGGTTGGCGAAGGTAGAAGGAACCTTGCCGGCCTTGCGAGAGAGAACTCGAACATCAAAGCCACCCTCGATGAGGGCCTTGAGGACTTCAACACCGAGACTTCCGGCAGCCTGAATAGTTTCATGAGATATTAGCCTACGATCTTGGTTTGGATAGTGCCCTGTCTTTACTTACGCCGGCGTGAGCGACGGTCTTGATGGCAGACATGTTTGTTGTTATAGATGAGTGCTGGAGGTATTGGGATAGGTGTGAGTTGAGCTTGAATGGGATGATTGAAGATGGGTGTTAGAAGCCTCTAGATCTGGAGGCAAGGACAACCTCTTATACTGACACCATGCCCTCGCCAATTACACGTGTACACAATGCTTTGATGACATTTCGTGATCGGCCTATCCCACCCCCTCTCATTATCCAGGCAGTTTGCATACGATGTTTACTCATCCAGAACTAAGTAAAGGTAAAGTGGGTTCGGTTGGATCATCATGATCGGAGTATCCCACCCAACTTTGAGCTGTAGCGGCCGCTCAGCATGCCCCAGCCGGATTCAGGTCTCCAAGTTGTGTGATGAGCGTCTGTCATTGGCTGCCTATCGACGGATCCGGAACAAATAGGCGCATCTCTAAGCTGTGAGGTCGAGGTCCCTAAACTTAAATTACTGTACGTACCGTATCGCATGCCACTCTCTTCCCGAGGTGCCATCCGGCTGTCCCACTAATCTCGGCATCCCACTCCGTTCCAAAGCGGAGATGGCTCGGGCCACTCAGCGAGCAGAAAGCGGTGACGTAGATATGTACTGAGCGAGATATCAATATTTGTAAATTGGGTGAGGAGGATGAGCTCTGAAATGCTGCATGGTCGCGTTATGCAGCTATGAAGAAGTTATTGATATGTCTTAGCAACAAAACGATTATGGGTGACTAAGATCTTAACATCGCTAGTGCCTATACCCAGCAACGCAGTAACAACTTCTAGAACTTACCTTGTATGATCCCCATCTGTGGTTTCGACTGGGTGCTCATAGGAATGACAATAGCAATAGTTAGGCCTCTCGGCTGTTACTTTCTTCTACTTCCATCGAGGTAGCGTCCAGGCCAGACCCGAGTCTACATTGTGCCCCAAACCAGCTTGGCTACTGACGGTTCTAAACTTGACTTGTTTCTCACTAACCCACCCATAACCTGTTCTTTAACCATTGGGAACCACTATGCCCCTCTCAGGTCACTTACAGACTATTCAAACTCTATATAGGCGCCTACCTACGCAACTTGATAGACGATAGCTACCTAGGCACGCTGGCCATGGTATGAACCAGACACTCAAATAGAAAAGGACCGATTCCTCTTGAATATTGTTACTAGCTTACATGGTATTCGTCCAAGAAAGGTCAAGAAGCGTCCTAGAGCTGTGTTGAGTTATCCGTGGTCATGCCCAGCCAGGACGCCTTTACCATCATCTGACGTTTCTTGCGAGATCCATCATTACACCCTGTTTGGCTTCCCAACCACGTAAATAGAAAATAAGATGACTTGGAGATGGATTCGGATGACAACTTCACATGCTACTGTTTAATGGGAGTTGATAGTGGAGGTAGTGTGTGGAAACTGATGTTCCATTGAGCTGGGATCCATGAATCTGTGGGGATGTGTGAAGCCATAAAAGAAGAGAGCAGCCAAAAGAAAAGCCAAAATGCATGAATATTTCCCCAGAGCCAGTAGCACTTCATTATCCAGTGCTGCCGCATCTCGCGGCATCTCGTGTTATCGTGGTCTTATTGTTGAAGACATCTCCTAGCCGGCGTTCCCCTCAATGAAGAACACAGTCCAAGCCCAAGCAAGCAACGGCACAAATGTCCCAGATGGCAGGAAGAGCTTGGAGAAAGAGAGTCGCTGAGTCGCCGACCAAATAAGCAGTCGGTATCATGCTCGCTGCGACGGCATATAGAGTCATTGGTAGGTATCGTTCCCTCCATCGTGCGGCCTGGAACAGTGTGTAGATACAGATCCAATGTATGAGGATGACCAACCCCAATACTAACAGTAGGAGCTCGCAAGTGAAAACAGGACGTAGAAACGAGGGTATTATTGTCGGCGTCTGGAGGGACATGGAATCGCATGCCTGTCAACGAAGATGATATCAGCATAATGCCAGTCATAATGCCAGTTATAATGCCAGTCATCGTGGAACAAGATGCGTACCGGAAACCTTGCCCAGCAACGTTCTCTAGAAGTTTTGCTGCGGAAGAGCATTGGCAGCAGGTTAGTAGTAATGGTAGAGCCCAAGGCCAAAATCGTAAGGATGCTGGTTTGGGGCAGAGGAGGTCGAGAATGGTGACCGACATCTATCGCCCACTGAGCCGTTCTTTTCGGATTCCTGGTTGAGCATTGACAAGACGAGACATGTTGGACTTTGGTCTGCTCCACTAATGACATGGAGGTCGACCCGTCGAAAGAAGGAAATTGGGATCGCGGCAAGGAGGCGGTGATCTTGAGCATCAAGGGTTTTATGGCTTTCTCTGGAGATGGCTAGAAGTAAGCAGTGGAATGTTTTAATAGAGAGTCAGACCGGTGGAAAAGAATACAGGAGGGGGAAGACGAGAGAGGGGACGGACGGCAGAGGTGATGGCAACGAAGAGCAGAGCCGCATTCGCCGGAGCCTGATTATTGAGGAGGCGCACCAGATTATGAGAGGGGTGGACAGCGCTGCGCCAATAGTTTGTGTACACGCGGCAAGGCAATCAAGCCACCGCTGAGTGAGCGGTTCGCCCAGGTGATTATCTCTTTGTTTCAGTGGTTCGCCTGCTTTATGAGGCCTCTTGATGTTTGAAAGATCCCCCACCTTGCTGTGACGTGACTTGAGACCCTCACTAGGTCGCCATTTTCCCCCAGATCCCCGGAGGCGGTACAAGACACCCGATCTTCTTTTGCCCGAGTCTATCTTGCCTCTTCATTCTCTTCCCCACCATCAACTCACTACCACCTCTCCCTCTTCCTGATCCCTCACTCCTCCTTCTATAACGTACCTTTCGACTTCATCCTCGTTTCCTTTAGACCCCCTTTGTCAATATTTTCTCATTTTGCTTCTGTCACATCGAGCTCCCTGCATTCGTTCCCGGCTCTTCCAACCATTGTCACAGTCCTGCAGCACTTGCTTCAAGCGTTTTCGCATTTGCTAAATCGCCGTGGCTCTTTTTGTCCCTGCCCGAGGCTGACTAAAGGTTTGCAATGGGCATGAACCAATGCCTGTTCCTGCTTCACGCTTACCTCTCGATTCTGGTCCTCTTCTTCCGAAGTCAAGAGGAGCGCATGCCATGGGCTCCGGCCGCCACATGCTCGTAAGATGGCTCCCCGCTGGGTCTCAGAGGCCTTCGCTAAAGGGCATAGGACCATGCTTGCGTGGAATGCGACGGGGATTGCCCTTCTAGTGCTCAATCGCACGTTCATTCGGATGTAAGCTACGTTGAGGGTTTCTTGTTGTCGCTAGTGACTAATTTGGCCGGCATAGCTTCTGGATGCAGCTGATGCTCAGAACTCTGATGATATGGGGACTTGTCGTGTTCTTGCTTCAACCAGCAGTGACGGAGATTGCTCTTCTCTTCCCGGTCGCCACCACCTTGTCGGTCATATCAAACCAGGGTCAGGTCCCACCAGCACGTCCACTTCTTCCCTTACAGATAGATGGGTAAATTACCTCCGCAATCGCGACCGCCAATCAGAGCACTGCTCCGAAATAAAGCCCGGTTCCAGAGACCGATTCTCTAAACCATATGCCGAAGAGCAGCCTCTCCCGGGGGATGAAGACAAACAACAACCGAGACGCCGATCCCCTCCCCCGGTTGATAGCCCACACTTCCAACGACTCTCAAGTCCAGCAAACAATCGGAGCAGGGCACGGAACGACCAAGGACGACCCCGCAAGATCACATCGGGTAGGCAGCTCTGGACATCGGATGATGAGCCAGGTCCCAAGGCGCCCCCAAGCCAGCTCAGACGGGCCGCACCCATTCGATCGCCCCAATCGCCTTCTGACAAGGCCTACCAAACCAGTTCGAGCATCACGCCACCATTCTGTGATGATGATTCTACGTCTGCCATGATACCTCAGCCCGAAACAAGGCCCATTTCTCAAGATCAACTAGTTGCCGAAGTCAAAGGCATATATGCTGGCTTGGTCATGGTCGAGACCAAGTGCATCGAAGTTGACAATGCCAAAGCACTCAACACAGACACAAACACGAACCCAAAGCTCAACAATGACCAATGGCAAGCATTAATTGCCTTGCATCGCACTCTACTACATGAACACCATGACTTCTTCCTCGCCAGCCAACATCCCTCTGCTAGCCCCGCTCTGCGCAGACTGGCTTCCAAGTACGCCATGCCTGCTCGCATGTGGCGACATGGAATCCACTCATTTCTTGAGCTGCTGAGTCACCGATCGCCAGCATCCCTAGAACATATGCTCACCTTCCTATATCTAGCCTACAGCATAGTTTCATTGCTTTATGCAACGGTGCCTGCCTTTGAGGATACCTGGATTGAGTGTTTAGGCGGCCTCGGGAGGTACCGTATGGCGATCGAGGATGATGATATGCGGGATCGCGAAATATGGACCGGTGTATCGCGGAATTGGTATGCCAAGGCCTCGGATCGCTCCCCGACAACCGGCCGCCTTTATCACCATTTGGCCATTCTGGCTCGTCCGCATGCCCTACAGCAGCTTTCTTATTACACCAAGTCACTCTGTGCGCTGATTCCTTTCCCAAGTGCGAGGGAGAGTATTATGACTCTGTTTGATCCAGTCATAAGTGCCAGCAGTACGTCTTCTCGCCTGGCCACCATGAACACCGCCTTTGTGAAAGATCATGGGATTCTCTTCTCTGGTAAATCGCAAGACCGCTTGCAGGAATCGATGGACGAGTTTCTGGAACAGTTGGATCCTCATATCTCAAAAGGCTTAAAGCGATGGCTAGAGCCCGGGTGAGTTGGCTTCGTGTTGCATGTGAATCTCAGCTGATCCATAGTCTAGCTACTACATTGGGGTCTCCACGGCACCAATACTCCTGGCGTATGGCGACCTGAACCATGTCCAAGGCTTTGCTAGTGTCCCAACACTTCTCCCCTCATTAGGCTCGGATCCCTTGGATCTGCACCCTAATGGACCTCTCTATTACTTCCTACGGTTGTGGAAGCGATACACTTTCTTCGTTCTTACCAATGGCTTGGTCACGCTTAATTCTGGCCAAATTCTGGATGACTTCCTTCGTCCACCCCTTCCAGAAGATTGGATCCCCGGGGGCCTGGCACCAACGCTAGGCAAGAAAAATTTCAAACTGCGACTCAGGCATCTCGATGGAAAGCCTAGAGCCAGTGAGAGGCGCATAAATCGCACACACAACCCCATCGGCTTTTCGCCAGGAGCCGAGAGCGTTGAAGCAACTTCAGAAGAGCTCCTCTTGCCAGCGGGCTCAGCTCATCTCCATGAAATGGACTGCGTGGCTGTCGAAATCTTGGCGTCCTTTCGCATCATCTTGCTAGCTTCTCTGAGCAATCTCTACTTACTGTTCGGAGGCCTCGAGCGGGCTCTATCTTGCCACTGCTCGGGTGATCTGCCCGCTTCATCCCTCCTGTAGGTTGAGATTCGGCTCACAACCGCTGAGCTTAAGCATCGCGTAGATGTGAAACATAAATTGGTCCCAGGAAGCTCGACTGCCATGAGATACGATCATCGATCACCTACCGTTCAATCCCCTGGGCCTCTCCAGCACGCTACAACTATATTGCGACCCTCTCCCCTGCTCCTCTCATCCCCAGGGTGTGATGAGATAGGAGGCTTTTGAGCTGCTCATTCCTACGGATGATGAAGTCACACAAAGACAAGTGTGAAAAAAACTCTCTTTTCTTTCTTTCTTTCTGTCTTTGTGGAGCTATTTTGAGCTCATATCCACGGTGATGGATTGCCTACATGAAAACAATACTTGATCTAGTTTCAACAAGAATAGCCTCCAGGCTAACTTAAATATCTTGCTTTCTGAATGTGCAATCTATGACTTTCTTCAAGCTGCCGCGTCATCAAGTAGGGGTGCCTGCTATATCCGCTCAGTGTTCCGCTGCCAGTTCTTACCATGACAGCACTTAACCAGATATTATCCATCGCGGAGCAGGAATTGTCACTTGGCATGGCAGACATAGCTTTGCTATACTCATGACATAGAATAGCCGTCGACGAGGGCGAAGTGTGCGCAGTCTGATAGCGTCTAGTCCTCGAACAGTAACAAGCCTAGATGGCCAGGACAACCCTTTTACTTTTTAATGAACTTGATATGAATAGTGAAGTATGTACTATACCAGAGTTGTAGTTGTGTCTTTGGAGTATAGAGATACTGAATCGTGAACTACTATACTGCCAGCAGATCATCCGCGGGGCCATTCTACCGTTCCAGTTGCCATGCCTCTCTGTTTAAGCCTCTCCCCAACTAAGCTAAATCTCGTGGATTATTCAGTCAACCATATTTTGAGCTTTGGCCATTTACTTGTGATCCTTGCTGAGGATTCAGCAGGCTTGTGATCCTTGTTTAATTACCTCCCTCGTTCTGTTGATCCACGCATAGATCCTTTACAAGGATTCGGTTCCTTTGGCGTCGATCCGAAACAACAGATTGGCACCCTTCTTCCCACAATGGCCTGTTTGTTGGTGGTTGCCTAGCCTGCAATATTATGGACTCTGTGGCTACACGAGCCCTACTTGAGGGCTTGTCCCCCGCGGTTCTTAGCGGCAGCGAACCCTCATTGCTTTCTTCTCCTTGTTTTGGGTTTGATTTGCTGAAAGTCCGGCTGAGAAAAACTCAGGGATTCATGAACCGCAAAAATGAGGTTGAGGGAATACCCGTCTATCCTTTCACTTACACTCGCCATTGTTCTCCTCACCTCACCCCTAGCCGCTGAAACCACGACTGGCGGCACCGGAGGATGCAAACCGTCTACTTGGGAGCCCAGTACGCCTATAGGTACTTTTCGCCACAAACGGCCTATGGCTACACCCAGCGTGCCGCGCAAGAAGAAGCTTGAGGCTGGAGATATCAACTGTCGCGGCTGGGCCCAAACATATGAGCACGTTGACGAATCGACCTGCCAAAAACTGGCCGATAATTATCGCATAGATCTTGGTACCTTTTACGACCTAAATCCGATCCTGGAGGCAGACTGCAAGACGATCAGGCCCTACACAGAATATTGTTACACAGGATGTAAGTCAAGAGCTTCCCCCCTCCGAGTTAACGAGTGATGCTGAATAAATTCAGTTATTGAACCACTGAGGGCTCATGATGGAAATTGCGGTCCTTTTTACAACAATGCCACTTGTCTTGGCACTGACAAGCCATGTTGCAACACTGAAACCTGGACATGTGGGAATCGAGAGTATGTTTTCCTCTACATATCTTAAGGTACATAGCTGACCGCACTCCAAGACGAGACTGCACCCCAAGTCTCTGCTATAGAGGTGCTGGTGACTGCTTCCTCCGTGTCATCACCTCAACTGATGGAATATGCGGCCTCGTAAAAGGCCGACATACTCTCCGAGTCTGTGGAGAGTGGGGAGATTGCTGTAATCTCCAAAACAAATGCGGGTCAGGGCCTGACTTTTGTGGCAAAGGTGTCTGCCAAGCCGGCGAGTGTACTCACTCAGATTGGCCGATGGATGAGCTTCCTGAGCGGCTCCCTTGGGAATACGGGGAGGGAGATCCTTGATACATTCTGTCGAGGGCTCACGAGAGAGAGTGTTATCTACAAATCGGCATGTTAGCCCCAATTGCCATGAGTCCGGGGGATTTTGGAGTGGCTTGAATCAAGTGATAGCTTCCTACATACCATTACCTATTTTGATCGCCATCTCTAATCATGCCGACTTGGACGGAGCCTGACTAAGCTTCAGGGCCAGCAGTAGGAAGCACGTAGCCACGACGTGAAAGTTTGCTGTTGGTCTCGCGATATCCTGCACGCTGGCTTCAACAAACTTTGTCGAAAGCTAACTGCCAAGATTCTCCGGTATAAAGTAAAGGTTGTTGGTAAACAAAAAATCACCACGTCTGCCTTAACAAACCATCAACAACGTCATCATCAAGGTGTGTGAATAGCTCAACCCCCGGATTTCACTCACTGACTAGTAAAGATAGACAGAAGACTCTCGGCACCAAACGCTCCTCACTGCCAATCAGACCACCGTGAATCATCTCTCGAAATGGGAGCTGCCACCTCGTGCTGTGCTCCAGTTCGGCCGGGCGCCCAAGGCAACGACAACGGGATCGAGGAGCATATTGATGAAGCCACTTCACCTAACCCAGGGCATCACGGCAACAGCGACGAGATAGACAGGTATCTGGACGAAAGTACCTCGGAAAATAGACACGGCACCGAGCCGCCGGTCACTCCTGACGCCTTGGTATCGTCAGCTCTATACAACGCTGTGAATAGTCCCATCTACATCCTCCCGGACGAGATACTCTTAGCGATCATCCACACCCTTATCGATGATAAAGACTCAGCCTCTTTTTTCTGCATTCGAAAAGTTTCTCGCCGTTTTCGACTCCTGACAAATGATCGCCAGTTTAAAGAGGTGCCATTCTGCATGTATTCCAAGTGCAACTCCTGTTATACCGAGTTGAATGAACGGTGCAGCTTTTACAGGATGAACAGCGGCGAGGTTGATTGCCAGATGCACTGGATCCCTCGATTCATAGGATACCCACCTGGGCCCAAGAATGACATAGCTAGCCGACTGAGGAGAGATCTTCTATGCATGATGTGCCAAGACGGCGTCCAAGAGAGAAAAGACGCTGGCCTCCCGATTCGCTGCAAGTTTGCTCCGCGGGACGACCTGGACTGGCTAGATTGTTCCAGCTGTGGACTAGAACACCCATCAGCAGTGTTTTCATCGCTACAGAGGCAGAAGATCAACGATCGAGTATGCGTTGCAAAAGAAGGCTACATCCGTCTGTGCCAACACGAAGTTATCCGGTGGGACGACATCCAACCGTGGGCTGGTCCGGGGATCCGGTACCATCATGAAGTGATCAAAGTCTGCAAGCATGCTAGCCATTCTGTGGCTTGCTGCGAACAAGCTTCATGGCCAAAAGCGACGGTCACGGCGCATGAAAACGGAATAACAACTCTTTCCCTGTCTTGGAATCCTCATTCAGGCCCAGACCTTAACCCCGGCCGTCTTGGTCCCCAGAGACACAGTGCCACCGAGGTACGAGCAGTTGCACAGCGCTTTCGCGCCGATGCAGCCCGGTTCATCGTTCCAGAGCAAAGATCGGGTCACCTTCCAGAGATGGAATGTTTCACAAAGGGGATGTGACTGTTTGTTCTACGATGGACTCAATAAGCCCGACGAGCCAAATATTTTCCATAGAAGACTGTCGGCGAAGGGCTACGCACCGGGGCATGGAAGAACCCGTTACACCTCGATGAGCGTGTCGTCTTGCCTGTTGCAGGCATCGCCAAATAAAATGCCCTGCCTTATCTTTTACTATGGGTTTACCATCAATCTCCGTGTAAAGGGCGCCCCAACTGACAAATGGCTTCATGCTCTGGACCCTGGATCCTATGAGTACAGCGAAGTTATTGGAGCACGAGAAACTTGCACAGATCCAACATGTCAGAATCATTATCGTGTAGCAGCAGGTATCTGGAACCATCACAGTCAAACAGTCAGTAGGCCTCACAAGGAGATTTGACGAGGCCGGGCTATGTAGGCCCAGATGGTTTATGGGAAGATTGGCGAATGCGTCCTACTATGAGAGGCAGTAGAAGGAGCTGAAAGTTAATGTGTACGTTTCTTGTTTGTTTTTTTCTAATGAGACCTCCGTCGTACACAGAATCAAAGAACCCACTAATAAACATGTAGCAGCACGTTTCTCTAAAGTTGCAAGCATTTAAATACCTTGAATCTTAGCCCACATAAGCTACAGCGTGGGGGGGAAATCAGTACACTCGGAACTTTGTACTTTTCATGGCCACACTCATCTTGCCATGGCCCTTGTTGGTGTACTTGTTCCAGGTTCTAGGTTCTGGGCTGAAGATTCGGTTGTGCCCTGGATACTAGGGAACGGCTCTCAATAAACCCGCGTGTTGAAACCTATTCGGGACTAACATCATGCATCTAAAAGAGCTGATATGGTGGTCATTTCGCGTGCAATCTTGGCGACTGCCGTGTCAGCATCGCTAAACCAGCGTAAGGGACTGCTGGTGCTGAATAGCCCCTTCTTAGTCTGATCCACGTAGACGGCATAGCCTGGGTAGGTAACCTTGCAAACAGCAAGGGCCCATGTATCTCGTAGGGAGGCTAGGCGAACGGCATCGGGGCGGGGTCGCGGATGGGGCCATGCTGGACGACGGTAGCGGCTGAGACGGCGGCCGACGCGGAACCGTTAGGGTAGCAAGCGTGGTCAAGAATGGCGAGAGCTTCTTCTTGGCGTCAGCTGTCACCCATGAAGAAATACCAAGGTGGTGTCGAATTTGAGAGACTACATCGTACACATACCGAATCTAAGATACGTGGATGAGGCGGAAAGGGGCAATGTTGGCCACGCCCTTGAGAGATAAGAATCAGTGAGGTGATGATCCACATGCCAATTTTGATAACTTATACCCCAGCGTGTGAAAGTCCCAATCAGTACTTGATCGAAAAAGACTCGTGAAGATTGACCTAGATATCAAGGAGCGAGCTTTAGGAGGACCTTGTGGCACTGTTTCTGCACCGATGGCACGTAATGTTGATACTGATGGGGGTTTATCAATAGTGTGGCCATAGAGACATTCTAGAAATTCGAGCTAGTAATAGATGCACAATTCCGCTTCCAGGAGTTCCTGGAGATCTCACTCTCCTCTTCGGTTTAACGAGACTGTTGGTCGTGGTGCAGAATATCATGATCACCTGTTCAAGACCTCAAATTCCGATACCATGAAATACCATGGCCGGGGGAGATAAGAAGTTGAAAATTTCATATGGTATGCCATCTTGTTGTTTCTTTGGTGTGTCGCGTCAGCTATGCTACTTACTAGATCGAATTACGAGTCAATAAGGCTAAATCCACGAGCATCTCGGTAGTGAAAGCTCCGTTCGTCAAAGAAGAGTATCTTTAGTGATCATTTTGTATTAAACTTATAAGTATCAAATATTTTCTAGTCTCGCAGTATCCCCCGTTGACTCGAGTTGGACGCAATCTCGGCCTCATCCGTCCGTACCGTAACTCCCTTTTTACTAGGATCCACATACTCGGATACGATGACTTCTTGTGTTTGCATAATCCCGCCCATAGAAGAATCTCGGTCGTGGTTCATTGACTTCATCGCAAAGGCCTGCGATCTTGTACCGTCGTTGAATGTGTGCACCCCTGTTCCGTTCTTCCGGCTCGAATGGGTTGGCAGACCAGTCCCATGCGAGTTAGAGTAGGCGGAGTCCTGCTTCTTCTTATTCCAGAGGCCGTAGATGGTGGGCGCGTTAACGACTATCGTGGCTGTGAGGAGCTCGGTGCTGGCCCACGTCGTTCGGTTGACTTGGCTATCCTTATTGGTCGCGTTGATCGGTAGGCGAATAACGGTGATAGCAACAATAAAGATGCCAAGAGTGAATAAGACATATAGCTTGAGTTTTCGCTTCCAGGATGTCTTGAGGGAGAAGAAGAGAGGGATCGGAACGGCGAGGAGCAATACATCGGTGACGATATTGAGGACGCCGACAACGATGAGTTGTAGCTGAGCCTTGGCGCAAGAACCTGGTATCAAACGTCAATCTCGCCGATCATATATCTAGGAAGGATCATCTGAGTTTACCAGGGTCAGGAACCACTTGCCAGTACAAGTGGAAGGGTTTGCATTCGCTGAAGGTAGTGACTTGGACGGCGACGTAAGTGACAAAGAAGACAACAAGGAAAGAGATCATGATGATCTTTTCGTAACGTAGGTTCAAGAGAAGACGTCGATAGACATCAAGAAGGACGAGTTTCTGCAGCCAAAGGCTTGAAAAGCTGTTAGATGATACGCCATGGTAGCAAAAGAAGACATGGGACTGACAATGAATTGTAAAAGACGCGATTAGCGATGGCAAACTTGCTTCCGATCTCCCTCCTGTAGATCTCATCCTCTGTGAAGATCTTCGTCTTTCGGATCGCTGCTGGAACGTTATTGGTTCCCCAGGTCAGCACGACGTGGATCAGAGCCAGTCTGACCATGCAGCACAGACATGCCGCCATGGTCAGGTAATCGCCCATATTGAAGGGCTGTCTAGCAATTTTTCTCCATACCAGTCTCACCCCCATCACCATGAGGGCGAGAATGCTAAAGAGCCAATGGATGAGTAGCGTAGGGTCATCCATTGTGGCACCACAGAAAAAAAAAAAAAAAGATTGAGAGAGGGACGACGATCACTTGGCCATTACCCGCAGGGACGCGTTTGCGTCTTAAAGAAGATCCCAGCATCATCCCACCGTAAACTCGGCTCAAAGGACTGCTTTCCGCGCAGACTACTGCAAACATCACGGTGCTTTTTTCTCTTGTTAGCCGTCGCAGACCTGCAGGTGGCGTGCTACCAGTTCGCCGGCGCCAAAGAACGACCCCAGCTCCCGTGGGTCCCCGATAATTAAGCCGTTGGTTTCTGAACCCTTGACAGGGTTTATAGAGTTTCGGTTATGTCAGAATCCGAGCCATTGGGCGGGGATCGGGCTCAGGTCGGATAGGGGTTACCAAACATGGAGGAACCCGTTCTTGGCCCCGTATTTACCTTTCGAGAAGGATGGGGCCGTTATTCCACTCGGGCCTGGAGCTCGGCACACTAGAGTTAATTGAGAGATACTTCCTTTGACTAGCAAGGGGATGGGTGACTACCAGAGGACCCAAGGCGGAAATAATGTCACCGAACAGTCCGTCGCCCCTGAATATTCTGGTGCGACCACCGGCCCTTCGGACAGAGACAAATACAAGGCTCGCCCGTGTAGCCCAGCCAGTCACGACCCCTCTCCTCTCTAGGTTCTTCTGCGTGCCCATTGGGATCATCCTTCTTTCAATCCTCTTCTGTCCCACTGCCACGTTCTCGGGTTCTAGATCGCGATCGCCTCCCCAGCCATGCGTTTCACCACTCTGTTTGCCCTTGCGGCTGCCGCATTCAACCACTGTGCCGCTACACCTTCCGGCCAGCAAGGCAGCGCCCAGGGCGAGGTCGCCGCCGTCCGATCCTACTTTTACGTAGGTGGAGGCTACGCCGATGATGGAGCGGGCGGGCAGATCTACCGCGATCAGATGTATGTCGAGAAGCTGATCCCGACCGGTGGCGTCCGGCAACGAACGCCCATCGTCTTTATCCACGGTCAGGGCCAGACAGGCAGCGTAAGTTGATCATATGCATCCTCTGCGATAGGTCACACGCTAACATGCAGCTAGAACTTCCTCAACAAGCCTGATGGTGGCCGCGGTTGGGCATCCCAGTTCATCAACCAAGGATACGAGGTCTACATCATTGACCAGACCTTCCGTGGCCGATCAGCGTGGATGCCCGCCGCCGGCGCTGCAAAGCCCTCGACCTACTCGGCCGAGATCATTGAGCAGCGCTTCACTGCAGGCAAGAACTTCAACCTCTGGCCCCAGGCCTCCAAGCATACCCAGTGGCCTGGCACTGGTATGAGGGGTGACCCCGTCTTTGACACTTTCTACGTGTCCAACGTTCAGTTCATCAATAATGCCACCTACCAGCAGTCGACTGTCCAGGATGCTGGCGCTGCTCTCCTCGACAAGATTGGCAGGCCCGTCATCCTTGTCGGCCACAGCCAGGGTGGTATCATGCCCATTCTTATCGCGGATGCCCGCCCCAGACTCACCAAGGGTCTCGTTCTTCTCGAGCCTACTGGTCCTCCCTTCAGGGACGCCGTCTTCAGCACCAGGGCTGCCCGCCCCTACGGTCTGACTGACATCCCCCTCAACTACAGCCCCTCTGTCTCTGACCCTGCCACCGACCTGGTTCAAGAGGTCCAGACCAGCCGAGGTGACGACTTTGTTGAGTGCGTTCTTCAGGCCAGCAAGCCTGCGCCTCGTCGTCTGGTCAACCTGCAGAGCAAGCCCATCCTCATTCTCACTGCCGAGTCGTCCTACCACATGCCCTACGACTATTGCACTGCCGACTTCCTTCGCCAGGCCGGTTGCTCCAAGACTCAGCACCTAGAGCTTGGAGAGGTCGGCATCCGCGGCAACGGACACATGATGTTCATGGAGAAGAACAGCGACTTGATTCAGGCCGTCTTGGAGCGCTGGGTCCGGTCCACCTAATGACATACCAGACGGAGGCTTAGACACAACTAGAGTAACTTAATTTTATCCTTAATGTCTAAAATTCTTTAAAACCGCGCACTTTTTTGCGCTGCGCTAGTCGATAAGTACCGTCTCCCCGACCCATGTTCACCCGTTACTATCTCCGGCCAAGCCTCGCGTATGTCGGCATATGGCGGAACCAAGCCCGCGGTGCCAAGAGGCTTACCCCTGATGCTTGCGTTAAATGTCTCGTGACTGTCTGCTTTCCCTCTTCAACTTGACCAGTGACCACCTGCCCAGAAGTGACAGGCTCATGGGTTATAGCCCTGCCCTGACTCAGCGGGGCCCGGTATTACAATACCAAGGCAAGGGTCTGATCAGATCATGTCTCAGGCCCAATACTTGGGATTTCTAGAATGCCGGGAAGTTTGCCGATATGGAAAAAATTCCCCAACCTTTAAATCCTCCCGGCGGCCTCCCAGTCTTTTCCCCGCTGATTCTCGACATAGGCGAACCTCCGACTTGAACATGACTCTCCCGGGATGCTTGGAAATAGAGACCTGTGATTGGGAAATCAACAACTCTCGACTGACTAGTGTACTGTTGCCCTCTGGTGCAAGGCTAGCAGTTCGCTAACCCCCAATAAGTCGTACGGCATTCAATAATAGCCTCCGTTTGAATACCAGGTCAATTGATGCTAACCTCTGATCTTGAACCCTAGTCCTTGCTCCAGTGCCATGCCCATGTGGTCGTCATACCCACCTAATATGACCTGGTCGCTAGAAGACGGAGTCTAACAAGTCGGGCCGTTGACGGGATGAAATTTTACCAAGCTACGGGGCATTCAAAATGCTTATCATATTTGAGCCTCCTTCCATAAAATGCCACCAAGTCCACGAAACTTCATCGCTCTGGGGTGCCGAGCCCGGAGCAGAAACGATCTTCGGGCTCAGTTAACCCATCAAAGGCCGGACTGCAACTATCCGGAGCGGAAACAGTGCCAGTTACCAAGGGCCAGGATCGGCTTTGTGATGCTAAAGTGAAGCTTGGCAGTAGTAGACTCTAGGCTATAATAACGTTGCTTCGCTACCAGCATCTTGAGATGTCACTAGAGCGATGCGCGTCTTTCCACATGGATGGGCGAAGTCATCAATGTCATATTATACCATACGTCTAACGATTGAACTGCTTCCTCATATTGGCTGCTGAGCCTTGTTTTATAGCTTATCTCTTGGTTTGAGATGGGTTCAAGACATTCTCATCATCAACTATTTATGCTGTTGTATAGCACATTGAGCTGGCGAGGATCACATTTTGCCATGGGCCCAATCTATTTATTCTACCACAAACACTGAACCCTAACGTGGTTGGCCGAATTAGCATTTCAGTATTGGTGTTGGTTGGTGTTGCTAACGATATCTCCTGGAACCGTCACCAATTCTGCCTAATGTAAGAATACCTCCTTGAGGCGCTTTGAGCATTAAGTATAAGTCTTCAAAGTTCACGACAGAGCAATAATGAAACTGCTTCCTAACTTTTCTGGTTACGTCTCTGGGTAGATGGCGCATTTTGACGCTGTCTAGGGTAGCTGAAGCCGTTTCGTGATGGAGGGTGCACATGACTCAGCGGCATGACTAAGCATCATACCAGTTTCGCGACTTGCTTGTCGCGCGTGAGAAACTCTCTCTTTCATGTTATGGCCAATCTGACTCGTCAAAACAAGCTTCTTCATCGAATAAAAGTTGAATGAATCCCGTTGAAGACAAATTTCTGATTGTTTCCCTCTTGTCTAAGCACCGCGACCGCTTGCTACATGCCCTAGGCGATACAAGCCTTCCAGGCGCGTCAAGTGCTTGGCTGACGGCCTGACAAACGCGGTTAACGTCCTCTTCCACACAGTCAAGATTGATAGATCCTTTGCCATGACAGAGAGTATTGTAAAGCCCACGCGCACGAGCAAGAAAAAAGTACGCACAGGATGCATCACGTGCAAGTAGGTAGTTCCAGATCTTGTGTGGTGATCCCCTGACCGCTAACTGGATGGCTAGAATCAGGAGAATCAAGTGCGACGAGTCCAAGCCTGCATGTCTCCGGTAAGATTCCCAACTAGCAAACACGACACCTGAAGCTAATTGCACTCAGGTGTACGCGTACTGGCAGAAAATGCGACGGATATGCATCACCTCCAGCTCCTGTTGCGGGCCCAGTAGTACCAGCCAAGCCTGGGAAGCTCGCATCCCAAGAGGGCAGGGCACAAGAGTTCTTTTACCAAAAGACTGTTCCAGAGCTTTCTGGATTCTTTGGCCGATCGTTCTGGAACACTGTTCTACAGTTCAGCCTGACGGAGCCTGCAATTAGACATGCTACCATCGCCTTGGCAACCCTTCACGAGGAGCACAGTTCCCCCATGGCGGCCACCGTACGGCCAAGGGACAACCTCAAGTTCGCGATTCAATCATACAATCGATCGATCAGCACTGTTCTGAAACGAGCTTCTGATCCGACGTCGATGCCTTTGGTGGCACTGGCCAGTATTGTCTTCACCTGCCTCGAATGCCTTTTGGGTGACCCCAAGGCAGCGGCCGCACACGTCGCCAGTGGTATCGGCCTGCTCAAGATGTGGCGAGAAAAGTCTGGACAGCCAGTCAGCTCCTGGGGCCAGAATTACCGGAGCTTTGAGCTCTCCTTTGTGGAAACCCACCTGGCCCCCGTCTTGTGCACACTCAGTCTTTGTGTCGCAGAGTTTGGCACCCCCGTCGACTTGTATCTCAATCCGGTCGACTTCAATAACTGTCCAATCTTTGGAGAGCCGTTTCAAGAACTGTCAGAATCGCGAGTTGGTCTCATCGACATCATTACAGCGGTCGTAAGACTCGGACAGGAGGACGCCTCAGCACTTGAGGTTAGCGTCAAGGCAGCAAGCCTCAGCACCGCGCTTGAGAGCTGGAAAATGAGATTCGATGATCTTGTCCAACGAAGGGGGCCCTCGTGGAGTGACCAGGACCAAGGCGCCGCTGATCTTGTACGCGTCATGTGGCAGAGCACAGCCGTTGGTCTCTCCGTCGGCCTTGCATCCGAAGAGACGGCATGGGATTCCCATAAAATAGCATACGAGGAAATCATCCGCCTTGTCGAGGCGCTAATAGCGCGGCATAAAGACGATCAAGCATCGGCCACCTTTCATTTTGAGATGGGCATCATCTCGCCGCTTCATCTGGTGGCGTGGAAATGCAGGTGGCCCCATCTCCGCCGAAAGGGCTTGGCTTTGCTTCTTGCTAGTTCCAGGCGGGAATGCCTATATGATGCATTTCTCTATCATGCAGTCTTTTCGCGTATCATGGCAATAGAAGAGGCTCACTGGGAAAACCCACACAGGGAGATGTTGACGCTGGCCGACCTACCGCCCGAACAAGCCCGGATTCATCATTTCTTCTGCGAGCCTGCGGTATCGGCCACACAAAACGTCTACTCATTGACGGTATTCTCAAAACCGAACTGGCCTGATACGATGTGGTGTTCCAGAACCGAGTATATTGATGCACCTGGCGGAGCCCGACCCAGCTCTCTGTCACCCACTTCGCCTCTGTCCAGGCTTCCCGTTGTGAACTTGTTTAGGACAGGACCTATCTCCAAAGAAGTCCTACAAAAGAGACAACTACAGGTAGCAGTTTAGTTCTAACAGTCTCAAGCGATGCATGTGGCATCTTCGGACTTGGTAGCGGCATGACGGCTGGAGTGGAGGCGGGAGACAGTGCCAGATGCCGAGGGAGGGTACACACCTGAATCACTGCCCCTCTTCAATCTCAATCTGGTCCTCACACCATCTCCAAATCACTTTCACATCAGGTACATATTAACAATCCTTCCATCAAGAAGAATTGCTGGAAAAGGCCTTGTTCCTCCCCCTTTGTCCATGTCCCTTTCGTGAGGGACAGAGGCAAGGCCCACAAAGTGGAGTGCTGAGACTTACTGCGATTGGCCAGTTCGCAAAAATCGAGATCGTATAAGTTGGTTCCACTCAAAAGGTCATTCCAACAGGATCAGCGAGATCAACAAAGTTGATGGATTATAAATGTCCAAAGATTCTTCCTCCAGAGTTTGGCATTAGGCATTCCATTCTCATTCACTCGTTTGTGATATTCTGATATCACTTCTCCTTAACTATCTTTGCTTTCCTCTAGCTCTCCGCCGACTCGACCGCGATGAACGACGATAGCATGGCGCAACCGACCATGGGAAACGAACCCAAAGCTGAGCAATCAGGCCAGCTTTCCGACTCCAAAGACGAATCGAGTTCCTCATTCACGGACCAGACCGTACAGGAGGCCGGAAACTTGGATGGATGGAAACTGGCCTTGGTCATCACCGGGCTTTGTCTTGCTGTCTTTTGCATGGCACTTGTACGCCTCAAGCAATCACTCTTTGTAAGGAGAGATGACTAAGATTCATCTAGGACAACACCATCATTGCAACCGCAATCCCTCGCATCACCGACGACTTTCGTGCTTTGGATGATCTAGGCTGGTAGGCTGACATGACCCCTTCCCCGTCACGATCGCTAGCTTGCTGACCCATTCCCGCGTCCAACAGGTACGGCTCGGCTTATCTCCTCACAACCTGCAGCTTCCAGTTGTTCTTTGGGAAGCTCTACTCGTTCTACTCGGTCAAATGGGTCTTCCTCACCGCCATCGCTTTCTTCGAACTCGGCTCCTTGGTCTGTGGCGCCGCGCCAACCTCGGCGGCTCTCATTATCGGTCGAGCGATCGCGGGCATCGGCTCCGCTGGAATATTCTCTGGAGCTATCCTCATCATAGTCCTCAGTGTTCCAATGAGGAAGAGGCCTATCTACGTTGGCCTACTCGCGGGCATGTACGGCCTTGCTAGCGTTGCTGGTCCGTTGATGGGTGGTGCTTTTACCGACAGGCTCTCTTGGAGATGGTGCTTCTATATCAACCTCCCTATCGGGGTCGTCACTGTGCTGTTTGTGGTACTGTTCTTGAAGCCCCCTCAAGCCATTTCAGGATCAGTTAAGGAGAAGGTTCCCTGGAAGCAGCAGATTGGCCATTTTGACCTCCCAGGCACAGCCTGTTTCTTGCCAGCCATCATCTCGCTGCTCCTAGCATTGCAATGGGGAGGTTCCAGATACCCTTGGTCTAATGGCCGCATCATTGGACTATTCATTGTTTTTGGCGTCCTCATCATACTCTTTGTCGTTATCCAATTCTGGAAACAGGACAAGGCGACTGTTCCTCCGAGGATCTTTGCGGATAGAACAGTCTGGAGCTGCGCCTCATTCGCCGTTTGCTTTGGCGCTTCTTTCTTCCTCCTTATCTACTATGTGAGTCTCAAATCCTTTCCATCGCTGGCAAGCACCCTAATGATCTTCTAGATCCCGATTTGGTTCCAAGCCGTCAAAGATGCCAGTGCTGTTCGGTCAGGGATCATGAACTTGCCCATGATCCTTGGGTTAGTCGTCATGTCAGTCGTGACTGGAGGTGCAGTCAGTGTCATTGGGTACTATACTCCCTTGATCCATGCATCGTCTATCCTGATGAGCATCGGTGCTGGGCTGTTGACCACATTCCGTGTAAACACCCAGTCCCCTGCGTGGATAGGCTACCAAGCTCTCTACGGAATTGGAGCCGGCCTCGGCATGCAACTCCCTCTTGTCGCAGTGCAAACCGCTCTGCCAGAACAAGACATACCTATTGGTACCGCGACTCTGATGTTCTCCCAGACTCTTGGAGGTAGCATATTCGTGCAGGTCGCCCAGAACGTCTTCACGAACCAGCTCAGCAAAGAAATTCAGGGTGCAGGACTTGACGCCGGGATTGTGCTTGGAGTTGGGGCAACAGAGCTGCGAGACAGTGTACCTGCGGTTCACTTGCCAGAGGTTCTGGTTGCGTATAGCAAGGCTCTAACCAACACCTGGTACGTTTCTGTTGCCATGGCTGTCATCTCACTTATCCCTGCTTTGTTTGTTCCGTGGAAGTCAGTCAAGGACAAGAAGGTGGAGATGGTTATGGCGTAAAGTGCGCACTCGTCCTCCGACCTTCATGTTCAAGCTGATGGTGGCTGGGTTGGAAGGAAGGCTTGGTGCGTCGAAAACTCTGGGGTCAAAGAGGCGGGGTAGCACTCGGACGTCCGATGGGGGTTGAATGTTGTTGTAGACCCTATGTGCCATGTTGGCACTGGGTGACTTTCTTTCGTGTAGACGCAGGGGCAAAGACATAAAAGATGCAAATGGTGGCTTGCCTTGCATCACCCCCCTTTCTCAGATTACTCTTCTTTAATAAGATAAGTAGATATTTGAATGCGTGCTCAATAGTTAACTACCTACTCCTCCTGTGTGCCGACATCCGGGACACCGCATTGACCGAAATCACCCTTGTTGCTCGCCCTTCTTGAACTCAGACCGGGTTCTGGTTTTGTTGCTACAGAATGGTTCTTTGTTCCTCATAGAGAGCCTCCAAAGCCGAGCCAACCACTGTGACGTTGTTTTTGATGTTCAAGAGATCCTCCATCTTGTTCTTTGTCTCCCAAATTAGTTGCGTCTCCCGGTATGCCTTGAAGTCGCGGACGAGGGCTGTTTTCCAAATGGAAGTCTCGTATGCCATGACGCTCTCCGTAACGTTCTTAGTAACATAGCTGGTAATGTAGATAACCCTCTCGGACGAGCTAAGAAACAACATGCCTACTCTTTCACCTCTCAAGCCTCCATTTTGGCCCCCATCTCCCAGCCATGTCCATATGCATTGTGGCGGTTTAGCGTTATTCCTAATAGAGCCCATGCACACTAGGGCTTTAAACTGGACAATTGCTTCGGTACACGAATATTTCCTCATGGAATATAGTAGATGGGGAGAGTGGATAGTTTCGCTTGTGACGTTAACACTCTTGTGACTACCCTGACATCCGCGTTTGACCCCCATCAGCTTCAGCGACCATTAAACCAAACATCAATATCTTATGAGTATTTTGTTGGATCGATCTTAATTAAACAAGCCATGGGTGCGTTAAGATTCATCACCTTGCCAGAGAAGACGTGGTCGGAAGAGGGGATTACTGACAGCCTTTCAAGATGTTGAACTATGACAGCAATATTCCGACGAGTCCTTACGAGGAATGCTCAAATCGAAAGATTCAATGCACGAGGAACTTGAGAAACAAGTACGGAGCTATGCTCCTGTATCCTGGACACAAGACGGGTCGTTAAAAGGCATCTCGTCGAGGAGACTCCCACTCAGAGAATCCCCGGCTACGGCGCCCAAGACTTTCCACGAATTTGATTATCAGAGATTCATCAACAAGAAACGAGAAACGATATCAATTTCAATCGTACCAGCTTTTGGGACGTTGCCGTTCGAGCTGCAGCCTGCATCTTCTTTACAAGGGGAGGAGACTGGGAAGCGCTACCGTTACAAACCCCTTGCAAAGGACGAGATAAGGCTACTGGAGATTCAACCGGGTCCGGCTGGCCCCATAACTGTCTCCATAAGCCACGCATCTCTCCGGAACCCCCCGAAATATCGTGCCCTATCTTATGTTTGGGGTGACGCAACACGACAAATGCCTGTGGAGTGCACCAATGGCCAAAAGGTTTGGGTCACTGAGAACTGCTATGCAGCCCTAAAGAGACTTCGCCTTTCTGATAAGAGCGTTACTTTCTGGATTGATGCCATCTGCATTAATCAGAGGGACACGCCTGAACGAAACAGTCAAGTACAAATCATGGCCACAATCTACCGGAAGGCGCAGGGAATTACCATCTACCTTGGAGAGGAAGATCAAGAAGGTAGCCTGGCCATGGAGACACTGGAAAAAGCGACCTTCTCGCCGACCTGTACCATAAGAGCCAAAAGCACCGATCCTGCGAGATCTCAAGACCCCGATGTGGTGGCCTTGAGAAACTTGTTTGCGAGGCCATGGTTTAGACGGGTCTGGGTTCTTCAAGAGGTCAGGAATGGAAAATTCCCAGTCATTATCTGTGGGCCAAAGACACTTCCATGGAGAGTTTTCGACAATCTCACCAGGTTTGGCTTTCCTCGTAGCTTTGGTCTTGTTCCAGTCCCTCTTGACATTAGAACCGTCTCAAGAGCCGAGGAGAAGTTCGACGCCGAAGGCCTGTTTCGGCGTCTTTGTAAAGCACGGGTATGCCTTGCCACTGATCCAAGAGACAAGGTATTCGCTCTCCTGCCCTTGTTCTCAAAAGTAGACGGAGAAGGCATCAAGGGCTTTCTCCCTGACTATTCACGGTCAACAAAGGACACATTTGTCAACCTCGCCAAATATATTCTTCGGTCTAGTGAGATTGGTTTCAGCCTACTCTATGCCACCGAATCACACTCGAGTTTGGAGGGATTACCATCTTGGGTTCCGGACTGGAGCTCGATTCCTCGAACACAATACATCTATGGCCCTGAGCATCTGACAGCGGCCATGAGGACAGTTTACAACACTCACACCCTGACAAAGTTTCTGCCTGATAATGTGCTATCTTTGGCGGCCACCAATTGGGGCATAGTCGACCAAATAGCAAGCACATGCAACACAGAAGATCCACGATGGTCCAAGACGGTGTTTGAAGAATGGCGTAACTTGGCATTGTCTCATGTCCAGAACACGAAATCGGTATACACCTTCACAAGGCAAGAGGAGTTCTACTTGTTCCTAGGCCATGAACTTCCTGAGGTCTTCTTCGGATCTTTACGTGCGCCCCCTTCATGGATCAAATACGCGTGGGCTGGCCTATTCTCCGATTTTGAGGCAGCATGCGAGGACCCCTACACTCGCCCCGATTACCACCAAGCAGCAGAAGCTCTCAAGTTTCACCTTCGCCTGAAAGAAACGTGCCATGGCCAAAAGTTTGTCACGGTAAGCGGAGAGAGCCACGGATTTCTCACATATGCGATCACAGATGCCGAAGTACAAGTCGGGGATAAGGTGATTCAGGTTGCAAATCGGCCCAAACCTTTTCAAGCCTTTGGAATCATAATCCGGAAGCGTTCTGATTCTTCGGATCGATACACTGTTGTTGGAAAGTGCCGCCTTCAGTCAGTCGTTCGTCATGGTGTGTTGACAGACCCTACGTGGTTCTTGATGTCTTGAGAGTTGTTGATAGCTATTGTAATGTATTTTTTTGTTATAGTTGAAGCCTGGCCCTTGATGGGATAACTGAACCAGAAGATCGAGACCCTTGTTGATAGCTATTGATTATTGTGCTGTGGAAAAACTGCAGATGACGGGCCATCTAGATACTCTCATTACATGCTAATGGAAGTCTCTATATATCCTATGAAATCATTACATAACATGTCAGGCAATCATCTAAGGCAGATCAAAGGTTTTGAATATCTTTTCATTGCCGATGAAATATTTACCCTACCTACCTAGGGCAAAAATTGGCCAAGATCGGAAGTGCTTTGCCCCTAATTGCTGGGACTCCAAGCATTGAACCACCGCACGGCCTGCCAAAAGGCTACCTCCTTGGCAAACTTTTGCTCTGGATCAGAAAGGTTGGCACGGACTCCAAACCCATGCTGCGTTCCCGAGTACAAGCTGACCTGGAATGGCTGTGGAGTCTGACCAAGCAGGGCTTCAATCTCGGATCGATGGGTTGCGTTGAGCAGGCTATCGACCTCTGCATTTATATTCAGCGTCGTGCCTCTCTTCTTTCAATAGATGAATTACTTACCGGCTGCTGCGAGGCTGGCGGGGCCGTGAATGGCTAGAACTTCGTCGTTCTGGAGGAGAGTAGGGTGAGCTGCGAATCCCACGTCGGCACCTCTGCCCTCGGCTAGGAAGCGGAATGCATATCTCCCCCCATAGCAGTACCCAGTAACAGCGATGGTGTCAATCTTGAGCTTTTTATGGATGAACTCAATAGTCTTTTCGATGATAGGGTCGGTATTCTGGGGGTTATGCCTGCTCAAGTACTCTGTTGCGTTAAACTCGCCGTTTGGGTCTGCTGGGTCACCGTTGAGAATATCGGGTGCGATGGTGACATATCCCGCACGAGCAAAGCTGTCAACAAGCCTGAACATGTTAGATTAAGCTTCTTATAGACAGAGAGAAACATGCAGTTTGTTCTCCAACAGCGGGAGCCCATAGACATCGCTCAGATAGAGTACAGCCGTGTCGCTCTTGGACCGCGCCTTGGGCTTGCTGATGTACAGAGTGACTGTTACGCGTTAGTACAAATGGCAGGGCTGGTGACGTGATTGAAGCTCACCTCCGTCATAATCGATCTCGGTTCCAGTTGGTTTTCCGGTATTTTTAAAGATATCCCCAGACCATTGAGCGGCTGCAATAGCAGCGAAGCCGTATAGGCCGACGAGTACTCGGTTGAAATGCATGACGACTTTACCTCTCAAGACTTGAGTTGAGTGGTGGCCATATCTATTTATCCTGCCCAAGCCTCTTATCCCCGCAATGACCGGACTTAGGCAATTGGTAGAATCCCCACCTCATTGCAACGGCATGCTTATCAATTCATTATTCATTACTGTCTAGTGCATAATGTCGTGCTGGTGGCCATGGAGATCAATGCTGAATCAAGGCGTTCTCCGAAGCAGGGGTATATTGCCAAACCAATAAGCTTAATTCGCGTAGCCATGTTGGTTGGACCTTACGTTGACCCGAGGAAGCCGTGAATCCGGCGTTATGCGGTATTGAGTTTGTTGAGATGCTATGCCGCATGTTGGCAGCTGTCTGAGGAAATGCTAGTGGAGGAATAATGATGCCGGGATGGAACGCCATTATAGAGCACGCGCGTCATGGATTGTTAGACGCGATGAAAGATTGAAGCAGCTATGCACGGTGCGGTGCTGGACCCTCACTCTGCACGTTGAGCGCGGCTCTGAGCTGAGCATTACAACCGTCATTCCTTTGAAGAGTTCAGTGCAGATAAGAAACACCTATATTATGAGGATTCTTGAACAACATAGGGTCACTGTCCTTACCCTCCAACTTGAGCCCCGGTCATACTAAACTATATAGCGTCACGATAGCTCCAAGAACAATAAATGTTGAAAACTCCGGGCTGTTGAATGGGGCAGCGTTTGTCTCAGTGGGCTCTGGCTCTTGAGTAGGAGAGGCTGTGGCTAGAAAGGCCGACGTAGCTGAGCTCGCAGCCTGGCTTGAGATACTGCTGGCAAGAGCCTTATCGACCGTGACTGCGCAAGGAGTGCCCTGGACCGTGTTGTTACCCATGTCCAGCACCCGTGAGCAAATGTCTGTAGTGTTCTGTAAGAGTACAACAGATCCCAATACGGGACACTCGGGAACGTCAAGCACATTAGGTTTCTCCCCGATTCCTTTCCCTCCAGGCGCTTTCATGGTTTCCCACTCTGTCTCGATAGAGAACATGATGCCACCAAAGACATATGATTCGTTGAAGTTACAGTCATCCCCGAAATCCCATTCGAGGTGCCATTGCAACCTGAACCGATCGTCTCGATCCTTTTGGTCAATCCATTCCGTGATGTTGGTGTTGGCAACGAAGACGACAGTGTCGTTATCATCAGGTGAATTGTCGGTCTCAAAATCGCCCATGTCCCAAGCGATGCCACCAGGGACCCGCCCGTAGCTGTAGGGCATAATGTGCCAGGAAAGGGAAAAATTGCCAGCCGCCCGCAAAGCCGTGTAGTTTTGTACGGCTAGCGAGATGGGAAAGACCCCGGCTGGCGTGTAGGTCTCGTTGCGAGGGAAAATGACGTCTATTTCGAAGGGCGCAGTGGCATTGTCCGACTTCCATGCAGCACTAGCACAAAGAGGAATTAGGGCGAAAAGACTGACAGCAAACGCTGTAGTAAAAGGTTGAAATTGAGGCATTTTTGGCTTTGGTTTAGGAGAATGAAACGGTTGAAAAGGTAAGCAGACCAATTTGTGCTCCAAAAAAGGGCAGATGAGCCAAGATATCCCCCAACAGGGGTATGAGAACAGCCTGAATTCCGGGTTCCTCAGCCCGATATTGACTCTCTTATTTGGAGAAATGGAAAAGAATTTTAGTTTTCTAGAGATTCTGAAACAGCTTATATGGCATTAGTACCAAGATAAAACTCAAGTCACTTAGTTACACCATGTTGGTGCCATCGTAAGGCGTGGTCGGTAGACTTGATGGATTTGTCATGAGGGGCGCAGTCAAAATGACAGCCGAATTCGCTTGGCAATTAACTACAAAAACAAAAGCAGCAGGAGTAGGCACTGGTGCAAGTAATACGGGTTGTCCCTAAAACAATGAGCAATAATTGCAACAATAGAAGTTGAGTTCAACACCCTCTAACAAACTGTCTGGTCGGCTTTCTATTGTCTTGGACCGCCATTGCCGTTGCCTTGTCCACGATGAATAGGCCAAGCAAAGACTTCCAAATGGGTGACAACGCAGTAAAACTTGAACAAGATCAATGCCATACCTATTGCCACGTAGCATAGGATTTTGGAATTATGGGGTTGATCCTTTGGCCCTACATCAATCTGGGCCTCTTGATCCAAGTCTCGCACATTTTGTGGCCACTTGCGGAAGGAAATAATCAGGCCTGCGAGTGTGAGTATGAATAGCAAGCCCAGGCCCAGTCCGGTTGTCATTCCGATGCGCCTGCTGTCGGTATCATTGCCTTCGACTGTAGACGGTTTTGACTGCTATGTGACATGCTATGAGAGTGAGAGAGGGTGTTTAGAGAGCGGCGGTGAACAAGGCAGACTGGGGCTGGCTGCTTCATAGGCCATGAGGAAAGGCATTACGTGAGTCTAATACTTGTGTCTATCTATGGTGGAAGAATGTAAAAAGATTCCCCAAAAGGGCATAATGTCAGTGTTGGTGGACAGCAATGGCACTCACTGGTTATGCGAAGATTATCGCTTTGACGCCTCAAATGACCATGAAATTCATAGTACAGCACAGCGGTATGTATGACTTATTGCTTTAAGAGGTAGATAAGCTGATGCGATTGTGCGGCCTTTTTTACTCTCACCGTTGCCTTGGTGTGGCTCGGGAGTGTGGCTGATTTTAAGCTTAAATATTAACATTTGGACGAACTTCTTAAAATAGAGAGTCCTCGTAAAACGGGATATACGCCTATAAGCCAGGATTTTATCCTATTTTCTAGTCATGCTGCTTCAAGGGCTAGGTCGGCCGGTAAGCAATACATGGAGGCCATCCTGATTCGCGTATGCAGATGCAGCCAGCCCCGCCTTTCTTCCCCAGCCCACACAGCTGAACGAAGCAAATCACTCAATGCTCCAGGCAACCAAGTCGCACGCCAGTTGCATCTAGAATGGACCTTGAACGGAGCGGCCCTAGACTCAGGAACATCGAAGACAACGACCAAGTGGCCAGGTTGCAAGGCCACGATATTGACGCTTCAACACCGCTGTGGCAGCATGACAAGGCCTGGATCCGCCGTCCAGTCCAGCTCGTACGCGCAGCATGGCAGTCCCAGTTTCTGTCGAAGCTCAGCTTCATCACGAGCCACTACGCCTACTTCATCATCGTCTGCTTGATAGCGTCACTCATCTTCTGGGGCTCGTCATCCGGTACCAGCTACGTCGACAGCCTGTTCCTGGTCGTCTCCGCCATGACTGCTACTGGTCTGACCACGGTTAACCTGAGCAAGGCGACGACGGGGCAGCAGGTTCTCCTCTTTTTACTCATCATCTTTGGCAGCCGGATTTGGATCTCGATCTGCATCGTGTACTCTCGCAAGCGGAGATTCAACAAACGCTTCGATGAAATAGTTCGCGAGGCGCGCATGAGGAGAAGGGATCGTTCACCGCCCCGATTAGCGCCTTCTCCGTCACCTCCTCCCGAAGGAGAGATTACGGGAGACGCTCGAACCCGGGAAAAAGACGACGACGAGGTTCCCTACCTCTCTTGGACTCCCACCATTGGCCGAAATAGCCAATTCTATAAACTCACTAGCGAGCAACGCGACGAGCTAGGCGGCATCGAGTTTCGCGCCCTGAAGTTGCTTCTAAGGATCTTGTTGTTATACCTCTTCCTTTGGCAGTTTCTAGGTTGCATTTCCCTTGGCTCATGGATTAACAACAACAAACCAGCCCTGGAGAACAGCCCCAATCTCTGGTGGTTGGGCATCTTCAACGGCGTATCAGCCTTCAATAACTCGGGCATGTCTCTACTGGACGCTAGCATGGTTCCCTTCCAGCGCTCATACTTTGTCCTCATCACTATGGGCCTGATGATCCTTGCCGGGCGTACGGCATTTCCCATCTTCTTGAGACTCATCCTCTGGTCTCTTGTCAAGATTATGCGCTTGGTGGGAAGAGACTATAATAGCTTAGGGGAAGCTTTGCACTTCATCTTGGACCACCCCCGGCGTGTCTATGTTTATCTCTGGCCTAGAGGTGTGACCTGGTATCTCTTGTCCGTACTCATCTTTCTCAACTCGGTTAATTGGGTCGGCTTCCTCCTATTCAACCTCAACAACCCCGAAATCGAGAGCATCCCGACGGGGCCGCGTGTTCTCGCCGGTCTATTCCAAGCCCTTTGTAAGTCTGCAAAACCCGTCAAAATTTACCGTTCAAACACTAACCACTGTCTTCTGCATAATAGCCATTCGCTTTGGGGGCTTCCACATCACCAATATCGCCAACCTCCACATTGGCTTACAAGTATTGTATGTAATCGCAATGCTCGTCCTCGCCTACCCGATCAGACTTGGTGTGAGGCGAACAAACGTATACGAGGAGCGGTCACTCGGCATCTTCAATCCCCGAAATGATCATGATTCCACCCAGGATGGGGGTCAAAACACCCTCATCGATGAGCTCAGACGTTTCCGACGACAGCTGAATCGGGGATCTGTGCGGCATGACGCCTGGGCCCTAATGCTTGCCGTTGTTATCATCACAACCATCGAGTCGGGCCAGTTCCGCCGGGATCCCGTCCACTACTCCGTCTTCAACATCATGTTTGAGGTCGTGTCGGCATATGGCTGTGTTGGCGTCAGTGTAGGGCTGCCGGACGCGGATTGTTCATTCAGCGGTGGGTGGCATGTCGCCAGCAAGGTAATCCTCTGCGCTGTCATGCTGCGAGGGAGACACCGCGGCCTTCCCGAGGCAATTGATCGGGCTATTTTGTTGCCGAGTGAAGGGCGGTTCAGCCGGGAAGAAGAAGGGGAAGAAGCAGAGGAAGAAGAGGACATTCCCCGGAGACGCCGCACAGATAGGGAGGATGGGATTTTCGCGGCAGACCCTGATGAAGTACGGCCCAGAAATCCACCCGTTATTAGGTTTTTAGCCCAAGGCCCTAGAGAAAGGGCGTGACCTGTAGACTGTATGCTCTATAATAATGTTGAATCATGTATGTCAGCATTGATGTTGTCTGTACGTATCTCTCGCGTCTAGAGTCTACCTCAGAGCCAGTTCTCAACTACACTACCTATTTAGAAACCATCCTCCAGAATCGTCCTGGGGCAGAAAGCCAAGAGCTCCTATTCGGTTGCTTCCGTGTCTGAGCCTCGGCCATCAAGCTTTGCAGATGCAGAGCTCTATCCTTCCCAAACACCTTGTCCATGACTCCAGCCACGTTCATCGATGCATCATTGTCGTCGAGCCAACACTGAGGGTCTGCGCCATGCTGACAGAGTAATTCACTTGCCTGGTACCAAGCTTCCCTCATTGGTGGGGTAGCTTCGCCTCTCGTTGTGCTTTCATAGCATGAAAGGAGGAATAGTGCCCAGACCGTTCGGCCGTCGTTAAGATGCACTTTTTGGTTCACGCTGGCGTCATTATCCAGCAACAGGCGAACCATGTTGACATCGATACTGGGATCGTCCCTTTGTGAGTGATACGGCATGCTAATGGCTGTTACTCGCCTCGGGCGTAGCGCATAGTCAAGCAGGGGTCGACCCGCCTTTTGCAGTCGTTTCGGGTCGGCCGTGATCTTCCCCTGCACGTACTTGACCAGACGGGCCTGCACTGTCAGTGCTAAGAAATTGCAGTTGCCACCCTCACGGTACTCTTCATAGCCACGAGACCTCGGCAGATCTCTTGCATGAGTCCAGTGCCTGTTGCGAAGGGAGCGTGCGTGTTCGCAGTTGACCCGGTCCAGTTCGTCTAACACGTCAGCCACGGGGGAATCAGCCGTATCTGGAGCCTGGCTTCGCTTTTCGACCTCGTGAGCATAGTAGAGAAGTTCGTCTGTGAGCCCAATGACCCTGTTGATAGAAGACTTCCGACGGAAATCCTCGTTTGGTATGCTTTTGAGCAAGAACAGTGTCATCCTGCAGAGTGATATCAGGGGGTCGAAGCTTGACTGGGGGGTTACGATTTCCACCAGTCGCTGGTGGTAGCAGTCCTGCAGGAAATCGCGGACCGTACGGTGGAGGAAGTCGACAGGGCTCCCAAGGAAGATAGGGTGAGGCATGTTGTTGACAACAAGGAGGTCACCGCATCGGTTTTGGATCCGACTCTTCCACTGATCCTCGGCCTCTGATAACTCCTGCTCCGTAGACGGGGAGATTGGAGCTTTCACAGCATAATCAGAGTCGCGGCTCTCCCGCTCAAGCAGAGAAAAGGCGAACAGTGGTAGTGGCTGAACCTCCTCAGTTGTGATCAAGAAGATTTGTGCCATCTCTACTCGAAACACAGGCTTGATGCCCTCGATGATGTGCTCAAAGTACGCCTCCAAATCCGGTGGAAATAGGCGGAGAATTCTCTGAAGAGTAGAAAAGCCCTCGTTCCTATTCACGGCGTGGACCAGGTCACGGGTAACGAGGAATACCCACAGCCAAACTCCCTGTGATTGATGGGCGATTTGTGCCATAAGTTCCTCGCATCCAGGCTGCGAGGCGCCTAGAGCCCTGAACTTTTCGTTCATCTGCAGTCTCTGACGGACATGGGTTTTCATATCCTCGCTTGTAAAGTCCTGGACCGCCAGAGAATAAACACTCTCTTGAAAGGGCTGAAAGACCTGTCTAGGTCGGCTTGATGCACATATCTTAATATCAGCCAACTCGGACTCGGAGAAGAAGGTCAGAAAGTTGACAACGTCTTCTTCTTCGCCGTCGTACTCGTCAAGACCGTCGATGAAGAAGCAGAACTTGGTAGACAGGCCACTATGTTTCGCGAGGGCTTCGAATGCCGTCTTCAGCTCGTTTATCTCCCATCTTTCGTGATCCAAACGGTCGTCTGAGCATACGTGTGGGATCAAAGTAGGGGCTCGTCTTAGGATCTGGTACAGCAGAGACTGAAGCAGTCCGACCTGGGACTTTTGCATCTCGAAACCTTGGTTCCAGAAGTAGTAACTCGCCGTGAAGAGTTGAGAAGAGCCAGCCCACTCTCCCAAGGCCTTGGCCGTGTTTTTGTGTTCGGCCGCGAACTTCATCAGTGTCGACTTTCCGCTGCCCGCCTGATACACGAGGTTAATAGTTTTCATCGTGTTGTGGCAAGCGGTGTCACGCACTTTACCGCTGATCCAGTAGATTCCATTTCCGTCCTTCAACCACTCTACAAAGTTTGTTCTGGTTGGATCGAATAGCCAGGCGTTGGTGAATTGATCCGCATCTGTTATCTGTGACCATCGGCGTCGTAGCTCCGGAAAGTATAAGCTTCGGATGACCCTGGATTGCCTTTGACAGGTGATGCGTTCTTGTTCTAGCAGGTCAAGGTGCTTCTTCAAGGCGACCAGTTGCTCTCCTTGTGCCTTGCGATTATCTGCAGCCAAGCGTAGAATGTCTTTTTGAATGCCATCCAGCTTGGAGTCATAGTTGATCCCCAACTGCCGCTGAGACTCTCGAAGAGCGTTGAGGTCAGAAAGAATCTCAGAGCCCCGTTCCCTGGCACAATCAAGTCAGTGATGGGCGTTCTTTAACAGCTTCAGTGACTAACCTGTCCAGAATCAATTGTACGTTGGCCCTTATCCTGACGTCCAAGTTATCGATACGACGACGTAGATCCTCTATATCCTTCCCTTTCCTCAACACACGCAGTGCGATGCGGCTGCTTTCTATAGTCCTGAATCTGGCACCATCTTTTATCTTGAGCTTCTGGACAATCTCGCCAAGCTCACCGGCCAATCTCTCACACTCGGTCGCCATGGCCATGATGTGTTTCTCACCCTGAGATAGCTGACGTCCAGGTGCCCCCTGAATAGCCTTGAGATTGGAATACCGGACATCTTCCAAGCACAGTTCGATCTCGTGGACCTCGGGAAGTGTGTCGTGAACCGAGTCTCGTGCTGACTTGACCGCCGAAACGAGCTTGATGCTGAAGTCAACGAATGCCACAATGCTGGAGGCAAGGCCTATGATCTCGAATGCCTCGGCCATGATGACTGGAGCAGTTGAGCTCTGCACGTGCTCGTAAGAGGCCAGGCCGCTACAAGCGTGGTTGGTTGTCAACTCGGCACGAGTACGAGAGTTGGCTTTGCTGCCTGAGTGTGACCTGATTCAAGCCCGGCTGAGGCGCTGGCTAAATTCATAGCCTCGCTAAGATTAGTGGGTACCGAACAGAAATAGCGCAGTTTTTCAAAGCCTTCCTGGCATAGAAATTGAGAAGTCGGGGCAGATGAATACGAAAGAGCATAGTAATGACATATCTAGGGAGAGTAAGTAAAGCATTCAACTCGATCTTTTTGATTCAGATTTCCCACTTCAATCCTCTCCATATCCATTTTTAGGGACATTTCAACTCCTCAATCAGGCTGTGGTGATAACCAATCAACTGCGAGTGCAAGCGCTGAGGCAGGGGTCAGTCTTACAGTACATTTCAGAGGAACGAACTGGGACACCAGGCAAAAATCGGGATCGAATAATGCCTCCAGTATTTCTTTATAAGAGCTCGTTTAGTTCAGTTTAAATCATCAACCTCACCATTCGTCTGAAGCACAGCTCAAACTGTCGGAGCCTCCGAAATGGACGTTTGAGTTTGCAGATTGTCGAGCCATTCGGGGGGGGGGGGGGGGGGGGGGGAGCCTTCTGTGACCTTGAGTTGCCTCAATATCTATTCTGCTAAACAACCAAAACAGTTTGAGACGTAAACAAACTTTACAATTCTTGGAAAACCCGCCGAAAAGTAGATAGAAAAACTGTACCTGCACAACGTGGAATCCTCGGCTCTCTTTCCCAACCTTAGTGAAAGGAATTGTCAGTAGACGTGGTAGTTGTCTATAAGTCGAGGACATATCCCAAGACGAAAAAAAGAAAAAGGATGAATAAGGTAACACAGCCACGAAGTAAGATGCATACATTGTTCTATGGGTTGAGTGGGAAAAGAATGTCGTGTATCATTTGGCAAGTGGTCGAGTGCATGCAGAGGAATGAGACTTTGACACAAGAGACGATTTCATTGACTCTCGAATGAATATTCACTTCAATTCTCTTCATCTCACTCCTATCTATACAATCGTCTACCATGTAACCTTCGAAACCATCACTTTCAAAAACAGAGAACAAGAGGGAGAAGGAACGAGAATAGTCGAGATGCCTCAACTGTCATCGAATGGTCTATCCCATGTATATAATGAACAATAAGCATAATTCAGTGAACCACTCCAACCGGAATCAAAGGTGCGGAGGCCATCATCTGGCCAGACTGCAGGGTGTCAAGGTACTGCTGCGCAGCACTAATTTGTTTAGCGAGGATGAGTCGCTGTGAAGCAATGACTTGTTGAGCAGAAATCAGTTGCTCAGCAGTGATGAGTAGCCGAGCAGCAAGATTCTGTGGTGTATCGGGACATGCTTGTGTATTGAGCCACTTCTGCATGTCCAAAAATTGGTTGGCGCCAACCGATGGTTGGGTGTTAAGAAGAGCAAGAGACTCTTCATTGAGGGCGAGTAGTTGTGGAGTAGAGGGAGAGGCCAGACCCCATGGTGACTGACCGAAATATTGATTCTGCGCCGGCGTATTGCTACGGCGAGACCCTTTGGGGTGATACCTTGCCTGAGCAAAGGTATTCTTCTGAGGACCCCAGAATATTGGACGTTCCGGATGGTAGATAACGTCGAAGCCTGTGCCACCAATTGCACTGACAACAACCCTGGCGGGACCGGGTAACCCTGAGATATACGGGCCATGCTTCAGGAGCGGATACTCCAGACATGGCCCAGAAACGCGCAGTGGGAGGTGTTCGGAGTTATGGTAGGTGTGAGGATAGCTGGCCACCCTCCTCCAGTTGGTGGGCACTGCCTCAGCCTGTTGCTTGACTACTGAAGCAGGGATGCGACGGACAGGATCTGTCTCGTCGAGTTCGGGGAGTGAGTAGTAGGAGCACTCAGATCGGCAGTCGTCCATATCGTCGTCAGTGACTGACTTGGACGACATCAGCCTAGCGAGAGAACACATTGTGACGTGATTGTGTGTGTGCTGTTAAAGGTGTAGAAAGAAGAGACAGCAGAAAGCTCAAGAAGGGATGCTGAAGCGTGAACGCGAGAAGGTGAGAAGAGTAATTGAGACAATGTAGAAAAGCGGACTGCAAAACTCTCAAGAGAAGTTGCTAGTGTGTACTATTCAGAAGACTGGACCATTGAATCATGACAGTCTGAAGAAATAAGCTGTAAAGCGCTCGAGAGACGTTGATGTGTGCTGTCCAGAAGAAAGGAAGGAATAGAGAGAGTTGAAAGAATAGGCTGTAAAACGCTCAAAAGAGGTTGCTGAAGAGTGCTGTGCAGAAAGCGAGAATAGTGAATTGAGACAGTCTGGAAGACTGGACGGTGAGATGTTCAAGAAAGGTTGTCGGTGTGTACTCTGCAGAAAGCGAGACAGTGTGAAAAGATGGGCTGTAGGATGCTCAAGAGCAGTCGTTGACGGGTACTCTTCAAGACGAGAATTCTGAATCGAGACAGTTTGGAGGAAAGGATGTGAATGAAGATGAAGAATGCGGAATCCAATGTCGATGACAATGTCAATGTGAATAGAATCCTTGACAAGAGACTGAAGCTTGCATGCGCTAAGAAGAAGGTAGCATAAAGTGACAAGGCAGCTTGAATGAAGACTCAGAACTGAAGATGAAAGGGAGAAAAACAAACCAGACATCTGAGGGGAGATCGGAGAAAACGATGACATTAAGTAGACACCGCGATACTTAGACTTTTTAAAAATCTGAGCAACAATGAACCAGAAGATTCTAAAATCGTCTCAACAATCGACAAGAGGTACCGGTTGGGTGGCCCCTTGACTTGTTGTTGGAGCTTCAATCATGACAGCCTAAAGTCAATACTCTAGAGGGGACTTGAGACATCTTCCAATAACTTTATCTTTAAAACTTAATGTTCTAGGCATGCCGAAGGGGAATGGGTTACATTGCCCGGAATAGAATAGTCTCAACTGCCTACTTTCGATAGAAGGAACTGGAGGCCTTGAATTTCGGATGACACGGAGGGACTCTCCATTATTTCGAACATCTGATTCACCCTTAAGTGCCAATTCGGATTGTGTATCAAGATCTAAGATAACCAAGGGACAGGTCGTTAATTTCAAGTCATGACCCAGTCTGACAGGTAAAAATGGTTCGTGACCCCGAGCTTACTCGGCGCTCGGAGAAATTCATTGTTCAACTGTTGAGTCAATGCAGCATAAGTCCTGCAGAGCAGCAGTCACACAATCCGAGAACCTAACTTGGAAAATTCTATTACAATTGGATAGTCGTCTACTGTTTGAGGCCGCTCATATCGTGGAGCCGTTAGGTTACCGGAGCAACTTGCACAAGAACGTAGGCCCTAGACAGAAACTTTGAGTTAGGTGTAGGCACCTGCTTTCGGGACGACAAAGTCTCTTGTCATGTTGAGGTGACCTTGGCAGATGATCAAAGAATTTTTCTACAGTATTGGGCTTTGATGCCGGTGGGCATCGATCATTATGTCTGTTTCTGTTGTGGCTGATAGCTTCTTGCCATCCTTGCAGATAATAATCATGCCCAAAGAAGGCAAAGGGATTTCTTTTGAGTTAATTCCTCACATTTTCACGAGCACATGCATCATCACTTGATGTTGATGGCTAATGGACCACAAGGAGCTATTTGAGCGCCTGCAGATATGAATTACGGGGATCTTGAACTTCTTACTAGGCCAATTACTGCTATGGTTTACCAGGTGGGATTCGGTGTGCCGAGGACCCAATGGTTTGCGCCTTTGGTAGGTCTTACTCAAGTAGGTAGACATGGAAAAGCACACTGCAAGAGGGGAGGCCCGATTCCCGAGACCTCTCGTCTGTCCCCAAAGTTCAATCTATTGCGATTATTTCTAGAAGCCTCCTTTAGGGCAAGTCTTCAGTCCGGTCGGAGAGAAAAATAAGGTTCTCTCCCCACAAATCCTAGTATGCCATTCGATAGGTAGAGTCACAGCTCAGGTCGCTTTCAGCGCGATAGCGGTCGGTTTTCCCTTAAGTTTGTAGATATGTGGCTTATGAAATTAAGTAGACCAGATCGTATTTCCTTCACCAACATGTTAGAGCGCTTACTGGTAAGTTCACATTGGCGATTTCTCTGCCTTGTCCATTCACGACCCACGTTCTGGCGCGATGCAACATCAAGTCGTTGCACCCTCAAAGTACCTCTAGGATAATAGCAGAATCCACTGCGGCATATGTCCCAGGGTAGATAGTGACCCAAATTATGCACTGCAGATCTCGCGAGCTGACCGCCTCAGATAGACGAAGGATCAAAACATCAAGGCTACCCTGGCTCATTTGCCGCACTCTAGCTCGTCAACCTCAATCTTTCTCAAGCACTGCCCCGTGGATTGGACACTCCATATATCATGCTTAATCCAATCTGGCATCATGTTCGTATTAATAAACCCTCGGTCAATAACCGTGAATCCAAACCCTAGCAACTCCGCTCAAGTGCAGCATCTGCACTCGCCTAAGCTCGCTCCACATTACGAGTAACCTAGACTGTTCCATCACGGGATGTGACCGAGAACAAGGCTCCATACGTAGATCCGAGAATCAGGGGGTTCATTTGCCCCTGTGACGAAAAAGAACTTCACATGATGTCCCACGTGACCCCCACGAGTAAAACCTAATTCACAGTCCCCGCAGTATCGTCCGATTGGTTCGCTTTTACCCACAAATCACCAGTTTGTGTCCACACCACCTTCGGCATTCATCCCCATCCCAGGTTCCACCAAAACATCATCATCCGCGGATCCGCGTCTGTCCAACCGACCCCGTTTCTGCCTCTCTATCAAGGTCCTCACTGCATACTTATTAATATCTCACAATGGCTTCCTGCAACAAGTGCAACAAGAGTGGAGATAAGTGTCCTTGAAGCACTGTGCCAAGTGCAAGCAGCGCAATACTGCAGCCGAGACTGCCAGAAGGCCGACTGGAAGGCACACAAAAAGATCTGCAGTCAGCAAGCTGGGTCTGCTTCTGCTTCTGGGCCTGGACACCAGGGCCTGTCTCCGCCCAACGGACTGGATGAACCCATCCGCGACCCATTCACTCGCCTCGACAATGGCACCTACCTCCACAACCGTCCAGAGAAGGATGTGTATCGACTGCTTCTTGACACATACCGTCTCCGTGTCGACGACATGTACACTCTCGATGGAGATGTCGACAATGACAACATCTACGCTGGCCGTGCAGATAGTCTACAGGGCTTCAGGCGATTCATGCGAAAGATAACCAAGTCCAAGAAGGCACTACTCCCTTCGTGGTGGACGCCTGAGAAACAACAAGAGTGCGAAGACTTTGGCATGGACGAGGATCAATGGCAGAACTTGATGTCTGGAGTTGAAAAGAAGGACATCATCGAACACTATCAAGATCACCAATTCCCGATGCAGTTGCGCATGCTTGGCGAAGCTATCTACGGCCGAGCACCCGGTGGTTCAGATGGAACTTCCATGAGGAAGATGCTGGCAATGTTTGAGAGTGGAGGCGCTGCATGATGAAGCATATGTGGCAATGTCATTCGCCTCCTGATATTGTTGAATATTCTCTTTAATAGTGCGTGTTGTCCGTCATGTATATGGCCCTCCCTTAGCTAAGTTGAAAGCACCAGGTTGTCTTGATACCACCCGCAGATGTCTAAGAGTTACTCCTTACGACCGGCTCGGGTACGCCAGCGCATCTCTTGCGTCAACCAAGACGGCATCATTACTGGCCACCAAGTTGACTGAATAGTTCTCTCCACTCCGGTTCGCACCAACCATTAGTTAAGTGGTTAACTAGGTACAATATCTTTCACGCCAAGAAGCTCAAGGGTAAGCCACAGCGTCTTGCGCGCGTCAACAAGGCTCAATTACTTTAGCGGCGACACTAAATAGATTCTTAGATTAACAAGCTGCCGCTTCGATTATTTTGCTGCTTGGCCGTCTAATTATTGCCACCTACTCACTGAGGGGTCCAGCTCATTCTCTCGGGACCAAGCTAGAGTTTCGTCATTCATCTACTCAAGAAGCCAGCGGTTCAGGTTCAACCTTTTTCATTCTTCAATAGGCCTCCATTAAGAAGCCGACCTTGTGGTCTTTATCTACCTAGCGAAAGAAGCTACGCCTACCTACTGGTATCCACCACATAGCGGCCAGCAATGCCGCCCTTTTGCATCAAGTCATACACATCCTGGAGCTCCGACAAGCCGACAACCCTAGAGTACAACAATTAGCAGAGAATTCGTGCTTCTTATCTGACAAACCTACTTGAATGGTGCCTTGATAAAGCCCTGTCGGAAGAACTCGATGGCCTCGGCGGTATCCTGTCGGTTACCGACATAGCTTCCCTTGATGTTGATCTCGCTGTGTACATGGTTAGCAGACCTCTAGGAGGCTGGTAATGGTGTTTCTTACCGAACGACGGTATCAAAGACGGGAGCCTTGATAAAGGCGTTGGCTGGTAGACCAACGCAGACGATAGTTCCCTTGCTCTTGACATACTGGCTCGCCTCCTGGAAGGGTTTCTCACTGGCAGCCAGAAGCAACACGGCATCAGGGCCAGAGCCACCAGAAGCCGCGCGGATGTCGGCGACAGTGTCCTTGGAAGTCCTGAAGTCGACAAAGGTGTCGGCACCAAGCTCAAGGCAGACCTTGCGCTTCTCATCGCCGCCATCAAGAGCCGTGACGTGCAGACCCATGGCCTTGGCATACTGGATAGCAAAGACACCAAGACCACCACCAGCACCGGCAATGGCAACATGTTGACCGGGCCGGACACCGGAAGACTTGAGGGCCTTGTACACGGTCAGACCGGCACACAGGATAGGCGCAACTCCAGCGAGATCACAATCCTTGGGGATGCGGGCAACATGGGCCGCCTTGCCGACGGCGTATTGTTGGAATGAGCCGTCAACAGTGTAGCCAGACAGGGAAGCTGTCGAGCAAAGTGACTCGTTGGACTGCCGGCACTGTTCGCAGCTCATGCATGAACCATGAAGCCACTTGATACCGACGTGGTCGCCAATCTCGATGTCCTTGACGAGCTCACCCCGCGCGACCACGACGCCCGCACCTTCATGTCCGCCAACGAGGGGCATCTTGGACTGGAGAGGCCAGTCGCCATTGACGGCGTGCAGGTCAGTATGGCAAACACCGCTATACTTGATGTTGATGAGGACTTCATCTGAAGCTGGCTTGGGGACGGGAATCTGCTTGTACTGGACAGCTGTTGGGTTAGGTAGTCAGCCTTTCTTGGTTCGTTCATCACATTGAGCAATGCCTCGGAGATAGAACATACGACCGCCCACTTGCTCAAGAACTTGTGCCCATTGCTCCTTGGGAATATCAGGTCCTGCTGTTGTCGCGTATGCCGCCGCCTTGCTCGCGTTGATGGTGCTGGTGTTGGGAACAACGCGACTGTGACGGGCGCAAGCCTGGCCGCTCGAGCTGGAGCTGGCACAGCTTCCGCAAAGACATTTCCGGGTAGAGGTAAAGTTCCGAACGTTGACTCGAGTTGCTGCTGACAGCGTCACGATAGCAGAGCTGCGCACAGCAGGTCTCACAGAGGCCCTGAGGACAGCACTCCTCATCAAGCTGCTCGTTGGTCTCATCATGTTTTTCCTGCTATTGTAATTATCAGACGCAATGTGATTTCTTTCTGCCCGTGCCGTGCCGTGCCGGCTGCGGCTCCGCAGTGACTGGCGAGCGGGCGTTATATATACTAGTGCTATCTCTGTCCTGTGGCCCATCAGACTACTCCTAGTCAGCGTGGTGCCATGCAACCGGAACTCTATCTCCAATGTCATACGAGCTAGATAATCTTGTCTAGCCCCAGGATGGGAAATTGCGTCCCCGAAGCGGAGTATTGTACCATGTCCGTGGAGAAACCCAGTTCGGCGACCCGAGGCCATTGGCCGATAGTCGACACGTGTTGTTCCCTCCACTGCGGGGCCGTTCCCTTCAAGGGATCCATTTCGTCATCCGGCCGTTTGCAGTAAGCGGAATTTGCTCCGGTTAGAGCGCTTGGAATGGAGTCCGAGATAGCAGCTCTGGTATTGGCTGAGATTGTTTGTGTGTGTGTGTGTGTGTGTGCCTACCCTGAGCTTGTCCTTAAAGGATTGATGGCCTGGGCGATGCCTGGGTGCGGCACTGTAGAACCAACAGTAGAACCAACAGCAGAACCAACGGTGGGTGACAACAATGGGTGACAGTGGGTGACAATGGTGGGTGACAATGTATTTCAAGGATATCTAGTGACTAATATTCATTGGAACCATGCACCCAACATGCCAATCCGAACGCGAGTATCAATCTTTGAGGTGATGTTGGGGGTTGTATTGGGGGTTGAACTTTGCCCGCAACTACGGCTAAATCACTATCGGCTCTGGGAACTCGCAACCCTCAGTCCAACGTTTCCTTGATCAATGTCAGTAAAGCCCTCAGTACATTCCAGGTTCACTTACACTGGTCTCATGCCCGCCTTGGTCAGATGCATATCGCCAAACTTGACGGTGTTCTTGAACTTGCACTCGTTGCCCCGTGTGCAGAATGGGTCCTGCGGACAGTGGTGGCTCATGGGGCATGCAAAGTCAGGGCACCCAGGTCCGACAAAGCACGGGCAACTGCGTGCCTTGTAGCGATGGATGACCATCTCGTCTGGGGTGAGCTTCGTGTCATGCTCCCTGGTGCATTGGGGTCCCCACGAGCAGGTGCCGCTGAGATAGTGACCATTGCAAAACGCTTGGTTTCTTGCCTCTAGCAGCTTTCGTTTGTAGCTATCTTGAGCTGGAGTGTTACCCGGCATCTTGGCAGGTGGATCAAGGCGGACATTGTCCTGATTGAACTCCATGATCTTGGGTGCTCTCGACTTGGTCGGACCGACATCAATATTCTGGTGGCTTCCGGTGCCACCAGCCGCAGCATAGCTCCCTTTATACTTGGTTGAAATACCACCATTACCTGATCTGATTGTCGTCGTCGTCGCCGTGACTGTCGTCGTCGCAACCGGCGGCTGAGCACGAGGCGGAGGAGGTGATGGAGAAGAAATCTGCTTGGGTGGAGATTGGGGAATGACCCTGGTCTCGTTCTGAAGGAGACCGCTGTGGAACACATTGTCAAAACTAATAATAGGAAGGCCGAGCTTCTTGATTCTTGCTGCTGCGGGGGTGGTCTCGACAAGTACGAGACGGCTCCCCTGATCGTCGATATACGGCCGTAGATCATGTGCATATCCGGCATCATGGCAGGCGACAAAGAATATCTTCTTGCAACGAACATCATCGTGATAGTATTTCAGCATTCCTACATTCCAAAGTTAGTACAGATGTGGAGCAGTGATCTGACAAGTAAGCAGAGACAGAAGCTCACGTCGCATCTTGGAGTCGGCATTCTCCTTTCCAGATCCGACATCGACGAAATCAAACTCGGCCCGAGCATTGGTGAAGTTTGTAACAAATTTCAAAAATTTATCTTCGTAGCTGACAATTCCCGAGAGGCGAAGGGAATGGGCGAGGTCCTTGACATTGGCAAAGACCCGGGCAAAGATGGTAATATCACTACTCAAGTCTGTATCCTTGACGTATTCGGCAACGTGTTGCCTGATCGCGAGAGCGGCATTCGTGGCACCTTCTTCGGGGTCTTGGAGGAAACTGTCCTGGAACTTTGCGCCGTCGCCATCGACGAGGACCGCGACGTAGGGATCTTTTTCTTTTTGCTGTGTTTTCTATGCCACGTTGCTATTAGCAAAGCGCCTGACCCGGTGGTGGTATCTGTACGCACCAAATGATTCTTCAAGTCCTTGTTCTGAGCCGTGAGCTGATCATTTTCCTTCTTTAGGTGGAATTTCTCCTTCTCGAAGGCTTCCAGAGTCTGTTGCAGCGTCTGTGAAAACAGTGCGGTTAACGGCGTCGGTGCGTACAAATCATCAGATATAGGATAGCCTACTCGTAGCCATGAATGCCTTTCATTATCCTGCTCATTCCATTTCTGGATCTGAGCAGCCAGCTCATCCTTGGAATTGGAACTATCTTGAGCACTCGGCATATTGTTCGTGTGTGCTACAGGCAGCAATGTGCCGTAGATTAGAGCGAGAAGCCGTATTTAATAGAGGCCACGGTTATGGCAATCTAGAATATGGACGAATGACGTGGAATCTGCAGCAAAGTTAAAATAAGCTTGTGTTCCGGCATTTGGCCCTTTCTGAAAAGTAAGTTGAACAAGGGGAAAATCACAAGATGGCTGTGTGGCCTATTTGAACGATCGAACAAAGCCAGCACGGCTGTGGAAAACGCATGTCTGCCTTGCATATGCACCGCCTCCCAACACTGTCGGGCAGAGTCCAGAAGCTTCTGCCACGAAGCCCAAATGCAAATGCAAATGTTTGCCTCGGCGAAACTGCCAAGCCAATGTTTGCCTACGAGCAAGGCGTGCAGGCCTAGATAAATGGCCGTGGATGGTGGTACGCGTGAGAAGGGGTGGGTCAAAGAGGAAGAAATCACCCAGTCTGCAATATGCATTTCAGCCATGATTGCGTGACCCCTCTTTGGGCCCTGCCTATTGGCTCTGTGGTGACTTGTCATAGGCAGATATCACGCATCAGGCTGCCTTTGTACAACTGTGAGGGGAGAGCCCAGTTGGGTTGCCTCCTGAACGTGGTTCGCCCAGCTGAGGCATCCGTTTCGTTAGGCGTCGAGGCTCAACTGTGTGGTTCTATTTTCAGGTGAATAATATTTCAGGCGCCTTTTATTGACCTGGAGCCGCCATCTCTGCTGATATTTGATGCTCCCATTAGTAGCACTCATGTGATTCTTTCTGGCGACCCAACAGATGCCCTGGCCTGGCAGAAGTACCATTGAGCAACAATAACTAATCGGTTGTGACTCGCGAGACAAGCTGGAAATTATTTTGGGGCAAACTCACTGTCAATAAGCGTGTCATTCATTACCAGCATGTCAGTGACGTCTTCACTCCATCATCCATGAAACCCAGAACCCCCCAACCTCCCGCGCATTCAGTATGAAATGAAATTAAATTAAATATTTAAGAATACAATATCATAAATTTTATGGCTGTTATTCGACACCCAAAGAGGCGCCTCACATCCAGGACGAGCGTTTTCGCAGCCCTGCACCCGGGCCAGTATGTACGCCAGCATTCCGCTTTCTAACGGCGCCTCATCAAACGTTCGGCGTGCCCCTTCGATGCCGTCATTTCTAAGGGGAGATAAAAAATACTTTCTCAACTAGTCATCTCTTTTTACAGTTTACCATCCTTTGAGTCATTGACCCGTAGCCAGCTCGCCTGCCTAACCCAACAACGAGCACACCAGCTACTTACCCGTGTCCACGTGCCATACCTACATATCAACGACCCTTTGAGTTTACTCATTGGTTCTTGCCAGATCAAGAAGGTTAATTTCACGGCCCCTTGGTGCGGCATTGCGCTCAATGCATCTGTCCCCTCTAACATCTGGATCTCGGTGGGCCGATTCGAAGAGACGAGGGTTCCCTTGCTTATCCCGTTTGCTTTCTGCCTTCTAAATGAAAGAGTTATCTCAAATTAATTCTCTTCTAGGCGTAAAATGGGATATCAAAGGCATGATAGAGTCATAGACCGAGCCGTCTGGAGGGCACGAGGGGCGAAATTCACATTCCGAAACCTGTTTATGTTGAACTGCTCCACGGCAAAGTTTTTCATCAAGGGCAGACAAGTCTCGAGTCAAGCAAGAAGTTCTGCACTAGACGGGCTAAACAAAATAAACCATGGATCGACCGGGCGATCAACACAAAAGAAAGAGCCGCTAGAGGAGATTCCGAGTAACGTTGTGTCTCTGGCGGAGTTCCAAGGGGCGTCCGTTTGGACGGCCAGGTTGATGGTCGAGCCGCTAGTGAACCTCAAAACTGTAGCCCAGTCAACTTTCAGAGCAGACTCAGCTATTTTATAACGATTAGAAACTCCGCAGGAGATATATATGTTTTGAGAAAGGCCTGCTTGAGCTTTGAGACAACATGCTATCGCCATCGTGGAAAGAATTGCTGATCAACCCCTCCACACGGTTGACGACGGCACTCATCAATCCATCCCCAGTAGTGGTTTACCCTCGGGAGCAGGACTTAGGCCCTCATATAACACACTCGATGAACAAGTTCTGAAGCATCGGTTCGCTTTCCCAGGTGCTATCGATCCAGGCTTTGGCGAAATCGTCGTTGACGTGTGGCATCTTCAAATACAAAGTGTCCAACACGATCAGAGAATATGGCAATAAAAGCGTAACCCAGGACAGAGCCGTAAGAAGCACTCAAGTAGTTGAACTTATGACCTTGGTCAAGGGTCTTGACGATCAAGAGCATATCTCTAACGATAATGGTGCTTGGATGAACCAGCCGAGCTATTTCTCAATTTTAGAACAGAGATAGACTATCACGCCTACTTGATCTCACAGGACACTGAGAGGCTTTCCTAATATATCAATCTCTGGGATGTCGATGGGCAAAGCGCCCGGTTCTGACTCGTTGGATAAGAACGGGATTGCTCGGCCAGTGCCCCTAGGTCGTATTAGACCGGCAATGGCACTATCTAGGCTGCCTCGCTTTACTATGTGTCAAAACTAATGATACCATAATGTCTAACAATGGCTCTATTGCGGCAGCTAGCATGTATGTGGCACTGTTTAACATTCTTATCCTACTCAAGCATAAATTAACCTGCACCAGCTACCAAACTGCTTAGTTCTATTAGGGCTGTAGAGAGGATCGCCCTTGGATGGCTTCTCAGAGGCTTTGGGCCTGATCAGGTCAAGTTAAATGTCCCCATAGCTCAACTCAGTGTTGTCTAAGGCCACTGAGAGCCTTGCGCAGTCAAAGGCATCTCGGCCACCCTAAAGTCGTCGTATTGAAGCTTCAACTTGCATGACTCCCAGAAAAGAGTTGACTTGCTTGACGAGACAAACACCTTTGAGTCTCGTTCATCGTGTGGCAAAGTTAAGGCCAGAGGAGGATGCTTTGGGGCTCCGTGATTGAACAATTACTTGAACGTAGGTGAGTGTGAGTGTGAGCGCATCGGAGCAATACTCATCTCGAGAGATTTCTTCAAGCCTTCTATCAACCTTGCAGAGAAGATGATGACTGGAGTAGTTGGCAGATTGAACATGGCACAGCCTTGATATCCAGGTCGTTGCGGGCTGATGATCATGGTCAGGCTCGGTGAGTTGATCGGCCGCTGGGTATGATCAAACCGGGTAATTTGCAAGCAGATGGCTAAGAAGGTCTACCCTTTTGCCACCCATCTCGTTACTTGGCCCGGCCTCCACATGTGCTAGCTAACTTCGGATATACGAGCGGTGTGAGCCAAATTACAATGATATCAATCGTAATGACAAAAGCCTTGAGGCCGAAGGTACTGGCCAGGGACATTGGTATACTTGCTCCTATAAACCAACTTTCCTGGGCCTGTATTTCCTGTGGAACTCGCATCATACTCACGATATATCAGTGAAAGTCTGTGACAAGCATGGAACAGGTGCTTGGGCAAGCTGGGCGGGTTGTTAGGCGCTAGAGAGAAGATGACAGGGGTTGATATTGATGTTTCACAATATGCACTTAGTCAGAGCACATGAAACGAGCAAGCAAAATTAGCCACGGGGACGGAACCGAGGTAATTTCCACCATCCTCGCTTGTGTGTGTGTGGATATTGTTTCCCTCAGTTATCAGCTTTACCACCAAACAAAGCCCAGAGAAATGGTTCTCACTCGTCGTCAAAGACGGACCCTCTCTGCTAGGCTTGAGAACCTAGCACCGGAACTACTACGCCGCATCTTTGAGTGCTTCTGTCTCCACTGTCATGGTCGACCTGACCTCCCATTTTGGAGCCTGCATGAGCCCACGAGCTTGGAACCAACGCCATCATCAGACTCGTCGTCATACTGGCAGGGTCGACAAGCTCTATGTAGCTTCTGCCTTGTCTCAAGGCGCTTCCGGCATGTCGCCCAGGGTGTCCTCTTCCATGAGTTCATCATTCCAGTCGGCTGCCGGCCCGCATCGCTGCATCGACGCGTAGAGCCGTTTCTTCGGACTCTAGCATCACGGCCAGATCTTGCCCGAGAGTGCGTACCGTAGCCTTGGACGACTACCTATCACTACGCTTGGACGTTGAGTACGCTCGAGAAGTGGCTGAAGAGGCCTTGCACTCTTTGGACACCAATCTTGCTCTTTTTTGGGATCGAAGAAAACAGTGCCAAGAGCCAGTACCCCACCCGTCATACTTTAGGATCTCTCAGAAGTTCATACTTGGACAGTTTCAGCCCGGAGAGTCAAGCAGTGAATGCGTACGACGGCTTGTCATGGCTGAGATTCTTGTCCTTCTGCTCGCCTTGCTCCCAAATCTCCAACATCTCATTCTTCACGATAGCCTTTTCCCGCAGCTAGTCTTCCCTGCGGCAGCCAGCGCACTTGACATCACCAGAATCCCTCTCAAGACCCTTGACGCAATGGTGATGCCTTCTTCGATCATCTCTGTCGCACCAGATGTCGAGACTGTTCATATAAGCCCTCAAGACTCTTACCCCAAAATGCCAGGCGTCAAAAGGGTCTACTTCCGAGGCTATGGAAGTGACGACAATGTTGATGTCAAGAAAGTCATATCTTCGTGCTCTAGCGCTCTTTCTACCTTTTCCTACCAAACAGCCTTTATCTGGTCATCTGTCGACCAGAGCGTGGCCAAGGTGTTGCAACCGCGAACAGCAGTGGAACTTCTCACTAACGTCTGCTCAAGTCTGCAATCCTTGCATCTTGACATGCGTTTCAGGGTTGCTTTTGACAGAGACTCACAGGTTGAGCCAATGCCGAGTTTGAAACAGTTTATCAGGTTGGAGGAGCTCTTCCTTACCACCAACTCGGTGTATAACGGGTCAAGCTCGACGGTATCCGACCAAGAATTTCTTGTGCATCTTCTTCCCCAAAGCATCAAATCTGTTACATTCGTTGATCCCGAATTTCCTCCTCCACCCGAACGCCTTCGTAAGGGCTTGCTTGGCCTGGCCGATGCCAGGAGAAACGATGGCTTGTTTCCAAATCTCAAAGAGCTGCGATGCGACTCAAGGCAGGTCTACGACGATGGAGCAATCAAGAATTCCTTTTACCAAGTAGGGGTAAACTTCAAGCATCAAGAGTTTCCCACACTAGACTGGAGCTATTCCAGATATCCCCTACCCGCCCAGTCTCCCCGGCTTGCGCTTGAAGCTTATCTGGAGGAGTTTGAGCACCACGTGCCAGGGCCTCTCTCTTATTACTCAGATGAGGATTTGTAACGACACAATGGATCAGGTATACACCAGAAGCCGGAAAACTGGGCAGACTTGGAGTATGTACAAACTTGATGAGATTTCGTAACAGCCACGTCTCAGCTTGAAATTTTTGCAATATGGGAGAGGTTCCTGCATGGTGGATATGAAGAAAGCCGTCTCATATGATATATTGTGCCACCCACTGTTTCTGGGTCAACAGACGGGCGAACGAGCAGCTTAGTGCATCATGCTGTGGACACCAGGAGTGGGCAGCAAGCGAGAGTAACGTGGAATCCTGTTAGTGTACAGCGACCTAGTCACTCGGACAATGTCGCTGAGACCACGAAGCGCATCCAGGCACTGCAAAAAAGGCCAAAATACAAGGCAGCCTCCAAAAAGGAGACTGCCAAGGGGCTATGAGCGTTGTCACCAGTTGCAAAAAACATACAACAGCGGGGATTCGCTGGTCGTCACCGACCCAACTACTAATCCGCCCCTCACTGGCTTATCTATGGGAGAGCGGACGGGATCCCGAGTTCTCCGGTGGGTATGGTCGTATGTGCTGGGAAGAGGCTAAGATTGCATCTATAAGGGGCAGGGGGGCTTCACGATAGTCATGCAGAAAATGCGGGACCTCATAGCGGTTGTCCGCCCAGCGCTGTTTCTATCTCTTTTGATTGACTTAAAAATGACTGTCCCTTTATTCGATTTCCAACAATGGATCAATCAAAGCAATATGACGGTCTACAGTTGAGAAAGGGCGGCAGCTTTATCGTTGCGGACGCTCCCATCCAATGGCGTTGAAGCCTGAGCACAACATCAACCAGACACGGGTTGAAGCGGCTCAAACGCCGAAACTAGGAATCATTTGTTCGTGGCGTTGATTTACCATAAGTTAAAATACCACAGTTAGCAGGTTAGAGTCCACAAACTGAAAGGAATCTCGTATTACCTTGATAGGTTCCCCTAGAGGATCAAGTCCCACAAGCTCTAGCTCCTTCGGGGTAATATTTTACCGCTGTCCAGAATCCTTCATGTTGATCTTCGCAACGCCGCTTGCTTTAACCCCTCATTATCCGCCTACGCCTCCTCCATCGTTATCATTACACAACACCAAAACCAACTTCACCGAGCCATAGCCATGGCGTTCTCATTATACGATGCAACCATTGTGGATGCAAAGACCATCCTTGAGACTTTGGACGGTCTCCTCAAAAAAGCAGAGGAACAGCCCAACGCGGAAAGCTTCCTAAAAGCGCGGCTCTACGAGGACATGAATCCCCTCACCTTCCAGATCCACGCAGCTACAAGGTTCGCAGAGCTCGTCCTTGCCAGGCTCACCGGAAGGGAAGCCGTGCAGTACGAGGACAACCTCGTCTCATACGCCGACATGCACGCACGCATCGCCGAGGTTCTGGCGGCCCTTGAAAAGGCGGACAAGGATACTGTCAACCGATATGGAGAGGAGGTTCTGCCGACAGCTTTGCCATCTGCAGGGACAATGAACATAACTGGGAAGGCTTTTGCCAAGGGAGCGGCGATGCCCAACATCTACTTTCACCTAAACATGACTTATGCCATCTTGAGAAAGGAGGGGGTGCCTTTGGGAAAGAAGGACTATGCGATGGGGTTTGCCATGGATAATATCCTCAAGCCGCAACAATGAAGGAGATATTATCGTTTTGAAGGAGAATAGCCCAGATAAATGGGTCTTGTCTATAAAAACACATCCATGCTTTACCGCTCCTCACTGACCAGATTACTATTCACGGAAGATTTGACACGAGTAAATACTCGGTGAGGAAGAATTGCATTCCACATCATGTGCTGTTTATGACAACATGGGTAAGCAAAGGCTCCGGAGCGGATGCTCTAGAGTAAGCGGAGAATAATGTTTATGATCTCCGTCAAGATATAGGTTCTCGACCCTGACTCTATTCACACACAAAGGATGGAAGACAATGAGCCTAAATAAGAACAAGGCGAGAAGATGGAATAGTCGACTTTACTGTATAAATCATACTCAAAATACGATTATCACTGATATTATTTGTCTTGGACATCGACCATGATGTTATTCCTCTGTTCCTCTCAAAACAACAAGAAGTTGCCAAGGTGTAGGGTAGCCATCGGCCTCGGAGCCACCGCCTTAAAATGGAGTCGGTCGGAGTTTTTTCACCCCCACCGACAAAAATCGGGCCTCTGCCTGCACTTTACTTCCTCCAATCAGCAAACAGATGTGACAGTCAAGACCGGACGATTGTGAGGCGGGAAATCATTCAGGGGTAAGATTGTTTCTGTCAATGCAGGCGCAGGCGCAGGCGCAGGCAGGCCGTCAGCTCAAAGTGCCGTGTTCATGGGTCGACCGTGGAGACGGGACTGTAAACTCCACTGTGTTTATTTGATCAATATTGCGGTGTGAAGAGAAGATACCTTCTACACGCAATTGTCCATCTGCTTGACACTGTCGACAAAGATCATCAAGCTTAAACTTTGCATCTACACTAGGGACTACCCGTGGTCGCTGCATCGGAAGTCGGTGCATCGGTCATCTCTTAGCGGGCACATCTCGGTGAACCTTTACTTGAATAGAGTTCAAGTGTCTAGCGGTCTGCCCGAGATGCATGTCAGCCTCCCAAGAGGTCCAGGATCATCCAGACTGGGCGGTCGGCCGTGAGAACCCAGTTCACTGGTGGAACTGTCAACGGCTCGACGGCATGCAACCACAGACGTTGTATTAAGGAGTCAACCGTATTGACGGATGGATGGCTGACCTCCGAAGCTGCCGTTTACAACAACAAGCTTCTCCAGGGCAATACCAGGCGACCCAATCGGTTCTCTCAGCTCCGGGAACCGTGTGGTCGGGCTATCCAAGCCCCCTGGGCTGCCACTCTCGACCTACCGTTTTCTGCATCAGACCGGCGTCACGTCGTTGGCTAATTCAAGGGGGGACGAGCGTGGCATGGGGCTCAAACATGGTTAACCTTAACAAGCTTAACCCTTAGCACCAATAGCTTATCCATGCGTAGCATGGAACCGACAGGGGTTCCCGCCCGATCGCGAAGCTTATTTCTCACTCTAGTGGTGGAAATACTGTCCCGGGGGTCCTCACAGAGTAAACCAGAAACACGGCCGTGCCACGAGTTCTTCCGCCGTGTCCCTTCGCCGAGACTGGAGATTGCTGCGGAGCAAAGGCCCGCCGGGAGGACCGATAGGCACCGGGCACGATGGCTGAACGAGGAGCCATCGTGCGACGCCGACAGTCCGGAGGCTCGATATAAAGATGTGTGAATGTCGCCTCGATAGCTTTTGATTCAGCACTCAACTCAACGCACTCTCATCAATCCATTCACTTGCCTGCTTCTTCAACCACTCAACCAACAACCTCATCTCTTCTACAACCGCCAACATGCACGCTCCCAGCATCGTCACTGTCCTCGCCGCCCTCCCCGCGGCCATGGCTTGCCTCGGCTACACCGGTGGTGTTCCCAAGGCTACTGGCAGCAAGTCTCTGAGCGCCCCCAAGACCCTCAAGAAGGGTGAGGTTTTCGATGCCGGCTGGGTCCGGTACGACCGTGGTGTGAAGTGCTCTGGTCAGGCTGAGGGTGGTAAGTTGTCACTTCTCTGAAAACTTCAAGCAGCAGGTTCTAATTCCACTTCTAGGTTCCAAGGACGCCGTCTTCATCCTCGAGGAGGGTGCCACTCTCCGCAACGTCATCATCGGTGCCAACCAGCGTGAGGGTATCCACTGCAAGGGCTCCTGCAACATCGAGTTCGCCTGGTTCGAGGATGTCTGCGAGGATGCCATCTCCATCCTTGGCAGCGGCACTGCCAACATCATCGGTGGTGGTGCTTACCACGCCTCCGACAAGGTCATCCAGCACAACGGTTGCGGTCACGTCAACATTGTCAACTTCTACGCCAACGACTACGGCAAGGTCTACCGATCTTGCGGTAACTGCAAGGGCAACACCAACTGCAAGCGCTCCGTGCACATGGAGGGCACCACCGCCGTCAAGGGTGGTGAGCTCATTGGCATCAACACCAACTACGGTGACAAGGCCACCTACTCCAACAACTGCTACCCTAAGACCCAGTGCCAGGGTTACAAGGGCTGCGACAAGTCCAAGGGCGAGTGCGAGCCCTCCAAGGCCGCCAAGTGCTAAATGACTCGTTGACGGGCAGTGCGCTTTGAGTTGTTCGTTTTAATTCTTCTTTGATACCGTTGCCGGCATCTATGTATCTGTTTATACACTATAGAATGGTGGATCGCTACCTGTACATATTACCTTAGCGAAGTACATAAAAAGAGTTGAGCAGGCTTGGTCCTGCGTGTGTCTAAGATTGTTTCACTCGATATTGCAATGTGACCCAGCTTATAATTGTTCTTGCTCCACTGGGATGAATGGCGACACGACTTAGAACTCTCATCGCCTCCCCTTCCGTGCTATTGACTCCCCTCTACTTGTAATAACGGGATCTAGACTTAATGTACCCACCCGAAAAGTGAAGGTTGGACAAGGAAAGAAATACGATCAATGTTGGAGAGCTCCTCGGTCATCAGGTTTATCCAAGTTACCATTTGTTGCTTAACTTTTGCTCAGACAAACTTCAGGGAACAACTTGTACAACAAGTCCAGACATTGTTAGCACCTCCTCCCAGAGAGCAATTCGAACATCTAGAGATCCTTTCGCTCTTTTTGCATTTCCTTGTCCCAAGCGTTGGCCTGGTCATAGTTGCGGATAAAGTCATAATAAAACTTGACCATGTTGACGTGCTCACTCATGAGAAGCTTCTCATTAATAGTGTGGATGCTACCGAACGACTTGAGGCTTCCCGGAGTCCACCTGTAAATATTTCTCGACAGGTCTGTAACGGTTGATTGTTAGCTTGAAGAGAGTGTGCGACCGAGGACTAAACTAGTCCTAGCTCTCAAAGACTCACCGAGGTAGTGGCGGGTGTCAGTATTATCAGCCATGGCACCGGGGGCCGGAACGACGGTCGAACCTTGACGGCCAAACGTATAGCGAACAGTGCCTGAGAAGGTGTCCCAGACCGAGCCGCTTGTGGGGGAGCTTGTTGTGGCGTATGAACGCTTTCGCGCCTCCAATTTGAGTTTGCCGCTGTAGATAGGCTCCCAGGAGCTCCTTGGCTTGTCGCTCTGAGGGGTGATTCCATTAGCAGCAAGGTAGCTCTCGTACTCTCTATCGCCCTTGAAGGCCTCGAGCTGAATGTTATATTTCCTAGCAATTCCCTGAGTAAGTTGCACCATGCGGTGCTGGATTCCGCCCATGCTGTCTTGCGGCGCAACGCGATAGTTGACTCCCATGCCGACAGACTCGGGCAGGGTGTTGGAGCTCTGACCTCCGCAGATCTTGTTCGCGGCCTGAGAGGTTTGAATGGAGAACCTCTTCTCAGGAGATACCTTGGCCCAGAGCTGAGCCGCTCCTCTGAGATCGCCCCAACGGATCATCTGGGTGAGGGAAGGTAGAGCACGGGGCGAATACTGGGTGAAGCAAACCAGCCCCTCATGCACTGGGCTGTTCCTGATGACCTCGGGTTGGAAGGGATTCGACTCTAGGGCCGTTGTGATTTCTGACATGATACCAATAGCGGTGCGAGGAGGGGGAGTGCCACTTGAACCGCCGATCATGCCAAGATCGAACCACACATCCAGATACCCCTTTTCATACACGGCTGGGAGCACGTATAAAGTGTCACCGACGCTCTCCAGGCCTGCACCACCCTCATTGAGGATCACGGAGATTCCGCCCTTGCCGAACTTCAGCTCGAGGAATTCTGCTATGGCGCTGGCTCCACGAGATCCGGAACATTGCTCGTCAAAGCCAAATGCCAGAATGATGGTGCAGTCTGGCTCAAAGTCATCCTAAGACAAGAGGGCCTCCAGAGCAGACATCAAGGCTGGAGTGACAGCCTTGGAAGCGGCACCACGGCCAGTGAGGTATCCGTCTCTTGGGTTGTAGTGGGCATCGAATGGAGCAAACTCCCACTCGTCAAGGGTCTCGTTCCCAACCGGTACAACGTCTTGGTGGGCAGTCAAGAGGATGGGCGCGAGGCTTTTGTCTGATCCCTGAACCGTATAGACAAGCCCGTCCTTGTTGATTGTGTCCAAGGTTGCATGTTCATCTCTTAGTGCCGTGCTGTCAGCTCCACACTCTCAATGGTACCAGCAGACTTACACGTTGGGGTATGTATTCTTGATGTGTTCAGGGATTTCGTTGAAAGCTCCCCATCTCTCATCATCATCGACATCTCCCATGTCATCGTAGCAAACCGAAGGGATGCGGACAAGTGATTGGTGGCGCTTGACTAACGTGTCAATAATGTCTTTGCCCGAAAACAGATCCCACGAGCTTGGTAGTCCGTCGTGTGAAGGATCCATGGGCCGCGAGAGTTGACATCCAGACCATGAAACGTCGGGCTTTTCTTCAGACCCTATACCGCCCGTGACCTTCTCGTCATGGCCAAGACGATGCTGGTTCTCGTTGACGAGTGCAAGAGAAGATACCTTGCCAGCAGCAAGAAGGGTGGCAAGGTTCCAGATCGAGGATCTCATGCTGAACAGGATGACGAGTTGATGCTGTTGAAAGAAGCAGCACAATGAACATGTCAGGAAGGATGATGTCTACAGCGTCAAGGGCACCAAGTGAGCTACTCTTATACTCACCAGATGTAAAAGAAAATCCTGCATACGGTCCATCGGCCCCGAGTCAACAGGTCTTACCTAGTGGCTCGTACACTGTGGAGTTGCGGTGTCTCACATTCAGACCGGGCCGCTCAACTGCGCGTTGTTGTGATCTGCACCCTGTCCGATGTTCCACCACAGAAACTCGGCAGACGGAAAGATGCTACGAGACCCAAGATACGCGTAGATGACCTATCTCAAGGTGATCTGTCTGCCACGTTCTGCAAGACGGTCCATGACGTGGCGGACGGCCCGCAAAGAATCTGCATAATGCGTCGACTGTGTCTCATAGCCCCTCTCTCCGGGGGCGAATTGCCATGCCAAAATGATGCTGTTCCACTGAGTGGTGATGGATGTGCTTCCGACGATAGAACGCGGAGTGAATATTCTCTCATTCCCCACCGATGCACATCAACCAATGGGTGCACAGCCATCTTATTCGAGCCTCCAGCCTCGAAGATGATATTCTCCACCTTGTATGCATGCAATTCAAGATGGGAGAGCTCATGTCGAGCCATTTCTGCCGACGGCCAACTGCAGCGGAACTGATCAGACAGGCAAGTCGATCGATTCGGCTCCTGTCTTGGCATTGGAAGCGACGTCAACGATGGATCCATGCCCTTGTGATTGGACATTATGGAGGCGCGGGGGACGAGATACACATCCTTCGGTCCGGGACGAATCGTGAAGCGGGATGGCTGCATGCTCGCATGTTCATCGTTCCGTCCCGTCTTGGCACCTCCACTCAGTCAACGCTGACAAGATGCTGGGTTTGGCAAGATGACCGGATTACTTCTTGAAGGCCATGTCCTCGAAAGGTGTCTCAGCACCATGGTCTGTTGAACATTGTCTAGGTGAGCTAGATGTACTACGTTCCACCATCAGGCACAAGAGCTCGTCAACAGCTCGGCGATGACAAGCGGGATTATAACCGCCGTGCTAAACACACAGACAGGCCTAGCCTGCAGATGGGAATGGAGAGGTAAGGGTACGCCCCTGCCGCCCCGGCTTCTCCACAGTCATGCAGCGTCAATCGAAAGCTCGTGTCATATCTGCAACATGTGAGATACTCGCTCTGCAAAATATGACGAATCAATCCAATCTTGGTGCTACCCATGTCAGTCGAACTCAAGGCTCGTCATATCCACTATCTTTTAGCGTCACGAACAAAACCCTGCAGCTACAGGTTTGCCTACACACAGCTCTTTTCGGCCACAACGGGGTAATTCTTGACCGCTATCATGAAAGAAGGTGAAGCAGAGATCCGATTCCCCACCCCGAGAGAGCTCAGCATCGTCTTGGTGTTGGTCTCGACGTCTTTAGCTGAGCCATTGTTTCCTCAAACATTTCTCTCCGCCGTATGGGGTCCCGGAGTTTGAACTGGACGAAGAGGCGAGGCATCTTTTCTTGAGCATTATTTTTTCGATACGTAGCTGTTGGTCATATGCATCCTCACTAAATGGGCCCTTGCCTGCACCGGCACCGTTGAAGAGGGTCTCATGATGTTGGTAAAAGCTTGTTAGACACTATACCCTCGGATTAGGGTGGCTTCGAATACGGCGTTTCTGCGAAGAACATGGCGAGAAAACTCCAAGGCGACTGGATTACTCCTAAGTAAAAGATGTATCAGTGATAAATCTAGGCACCACCCATCGTCTAGGATCGTGTTCCATGCCGTCCTAGAGTCCGGGCCATGTGTCGTCCATGTCTCGGGTGCCTGTCCTCTGAGACTGGTGGAAGAATGAGGCGGAGAAAGCATTATCAAAGCCCGTACAATGTACTTGCTAGACCTGGCACAATCTGAACGACGTCGACTTCTACCGACTCTTGCATAGTCGACCGAGTCCACCAACCTCGTGAGTGCATCCTGTTGGGTCAAGCGCAGGCTCCGTGCTAACTATCAAAGATAGACAGCCAAGCGCGACGTGTCCTCCGATCTGTCCGTGGTCCATGAAATTTTCACACTCTCGACTCTGTGTCTGATAGATCTTGAAGTCACTGAACAGAGTTCTCCTGGCCATCATATCGCGTCTGAGGCCCATGGTGAACATTGTTCAATAGAGCTTCCACGCCTCCAAAACCGGGCATCGCAGCGAGATGGCCAATAAAGAAGGCCTAAGTTTTTGCTGTTTCTTCATTTCTTTCCTCGCCCAGTTGTACCTCTCTCACGGACTCTTGGTGACGAGCCTGTGCAGGGAGCAAACGCACCTCATCGATCAAGACTTGGTTTCTAGCGCCAGGCAGAGCCTCAATTCCGGCCCACAAGGCCTTGACACGCTGGAGTGATCTCACCAAGTCGAGGATGACCTCAATAGCTAGGACTTTCATGGGGTTTACCCCGGCTCTGATGAACAAAGCCAAGTCTGACATGCAGGGAACTACCCAATCAGCCTTGTCCGTCGCCGTCTTGATTATCCCCTCTCGCCGGATGCGACAAGGATCAGCAGGCGAAATCAAGGAACAACCAAAACACGCTGCTCGAAATCAACGCCATGAGCCATCGCTAGCAGTAGTATTTATCAGACCAGAGCAACTGTCCATGCCAACTTACCCAACAACTATAGTCGGCAAGCGGGAACGCCAGAGGGCACCGAAACTGTCATCAAACGCCGAAATGCCGCAAAACTTGGTTGAAGAGGCCGAAGGAAAGGAATTTCCTGAGAGGGTCAGCCATGAGAAGGATATCTGTGCCTTGGGCAACTCGTTCCTCGCCGTGCTCAATGTAGTGGCGCTCATTCTAGCCTCCCTCGCATACAGCCAGAACAAGTCGAAAAAGCCTGCTGAGCTTGCACTCTGCGTATTGGTATGAATCGTGTGTTCGAGATTTTTTATGTACGAGCTAACAGAATGATGAGACGGGCATCTTTGTTCCCCCTATCTTTGCTTCTGTGTGGCTCATCATTAGTATCAAACGAAATGATAGAAGGGCTGTGGCTAAACTCATCTTTGTGGCGGTTGTTGTCGCCTTCTACTGCCTCCTATCGTGGGTAGTCCTTGATCAAAGCAATACAGTCATAGCTGACAGGTGACAGCTTCGGCTTTGGTGTGGCTTTTGCAAAGCGGTTCATCAAGAATGAGGAATGGGGGCCCAAGATTACATTTCGGATTGCGTCGACTGTGATCAATCTGGTAAACGTGTACGTTTCTCACCCTGATATCCGCCGTGGACTGACACTGAATTGACGTAGCCTTGTCGGATTCGTTATTCTCTGGTTTCACCAGCGTCTGGGTGCTGCTATCCCGAGTTATCCTGTCACGCCAGGTATGGCAAGGTGAAGACATTATGAAGAAGCAGACGGGCACTTACGGCTTTGATAATAGTCATAGCCTCCAATTTTGTCTTTTTCGAGAAGTCCTTTGTAGAGAAGCCTAGTTCGAGACCAGATCTGTGACGCGTCGTGGGATGTTATCAAGGATCTTTGTCAAAGCTACAGCGTACCGAACATGATAGCAACAGATGAGAAATGTTACGAATTGAAAAGGACAGGGAATTGGAGAAGCTATTATTGTTTTGGAGCGAGGTATGCTATACACGATGTTATGATGCGGTCACCGCATATAAAAGAGAGACGACATCATAATACTGGTTGAACATGAGAGGGGTGAATAATGATTCTTTTCTCGTATCGTAGTCTAGCATCGGTACGGGACATCAACCACATCCTCAAAAGTTAAAGCGTTCTAACCTCCTCAGAGCCAGTCACACCCTAGAAGCCCGATACGGATCAGTGCTGTCGTCCCCTGGTACTCCTCAGACAGCTCTTCATAGTCCAGGAAGTGCCTCGAGACATCGCGCATGAAGTTGATCGAGCTGCTGCCTGTCCATTTATCCTCACCCCCCCACCAATCCACCTCGACCAATCGCCGACCTTTCAGGTAAAAGGCCACATTCTCTCCGCACACGTCTGTGACTCACCCAATATCCTCAGAATGCCTTCGTCTGAGGCGGCGGTCGAAAATCCAAAAATTGACGAGACCGTCCTCAAACAAGATCTCAAACAACTTGTCAATCATCTCAAACCCCCATTCTGCATTGTATTCCAACGCGATGTTTCTGGCCGGCCCAAGACCATCTGTGGCGGATGCGAGGGGAAGACGAGAGGTTAAGTCATCCCAATCAATTGTGTCCATATTTTGCGGTCGGAGTATAAAGAGATCTCGATGTGGGAAAACAGTCAAGTAATGCACATCCCCATGTTGGGCAGTGAAGTAGCCTGTTGCTGGTACGCCGAGTTCCCACTTGAATAGCATCGGCGTGGAAGACTTATAGTCGTCGTAAAAGGTTCGTCCCTTGACGCCACTGAACTTGCGCTTCATAACGAGCCTAGATTCTTTGCAGGCACTCCATAATCCTCCGTCGATGAGGTATGTTGAAGGATTGCTATAGTCCTCCGTGACGCCGGCAGAGAACTCGCTGGACCTTGGGGCAGCAAGGCGGTTGCTATCATAACATTCATGGGGATGGAAGATTTCCATATTTCTGTTGACACCGTCGTCTTTCTTGGGGTGATAGACGTTGAATATGTGTACCCCCGGAAGGGCAGGTCGGATAGCGAAATTCCAAATCATATCTCGAAGCTCCCAGGGGAGGTCGAGGAAGCGGTGGAATGTATCGTTCATTTTGAAACTCGGGAAAGGCGAATGGATTTTGCGCAGGAGTTTTGGAAACTGATGATGTGAGAGGGGAGCCTTTGTTTACTAACTTGCGGAAGACGACATCTTTTTATTCATCCGCCCAACACTTTGAAAGCCACTCTTGTCCGTATGAGTCACAATGATTGTTCAAATTTGGCACGTACCAAGCTTAAATTCACCGAAAGCTTCTAAACTTTGCGTCGCTGGGGCAATCTAGACTTGAACATTGCGTATCTAGATAAGGTTGCTTGATCAGGAGACATCACAGCAATTTCATTTGGAAATGAACGAGACAATAGAGCAGACAGTAAAGAAGTTAAATTGCTTGCTCATTAGTAGTATGACGTATCTATACAAAACATATCATTAATCGGGGGAATATCCTGAAGGAGGTGTTATTTGGGCCATCCTCTACGCAGTACCTAGTTAATGCATTGCTCTCATTAACTTCATGTCGAGTGAAAGCTTCTCAGTGACTCAGTGTCGCACTCTTCATCGACTGCCAGAAAGCCAAAAACGTCGGGCATTCGGGCTCAGCTGATCTGCACAGCCTGAGTAGATATTAAGAGCCAGGATCGGAGTACTTGCTCTCTTCTCTCAATCAACACAACCCAAAAGCAAACACAGCTATGAACCTGGTCAAGATCAACTTGGTCGACGTCACAGACGACTGCAAGGATGGTCGTGCTACACGTTTCAACACTTGCTTCCATCCGGCAGATCAACTCCCTGTCGCCGATCTATCGAAACCCTCAGAGGCGCCTTATGCTTTCAGCCGCTGGCTTCCACTGATTCTTCAGACCCGAAACGTCGATCCGTCGGCCGTTCAGACGGTCTGTCTATCGCGCGCCCAAGCCCGCCTCCTCGTGGATGCCTCAGCAACTTCCATTATCACGGGTGAGTTGAGCCGCGCGCTCGGGGAAGATCTCGAGGATGAAGTGACCCCTGCCTTTTCGTCTCTTCACTTCCCACCCGAGGGGCTCTTCATGCGCTTGACGGGCTGTTCGCCTAAAGATGGAAGATGGAGAGATCCCACTCGACCATCACTTCACTCCACGGACGACATCATTCTTCGTCTGACAACCTCAAATCGTGCACGTAACGACATTGTGAACAGTCTCGAGACCGGGTCGGAAACCGTTGAAGTCACACTATTGCCTTTTGATGCTCGGATGGACAGTAGGCACGAATACCGAGTCTTCTGCTGTCCAAAGAGTGGAAACATCACGGCAGTGAGCCAATACTGCTGGCATAAACCTTGGCTTTTCCACGGCAGACCTGGTACGGCGTTGAAGCCAGTGGCGGACAAGATTTGGGCCGGCATCGTTGTCCTTCATCAGCAAATCATGCATGATCTCAAGCCGGATGCCGAACTCGACAATCTCCTGCTCAGGCAGGGGTTCACGTTTGACGTCTTGTACGACGAGGACAAGGGAACAACGGAACTCGTTGAGCTGAATGTGTTTGGGGCGAGGAGTGGGTGTGGATCTTGTCTCTTCAATTGGGTCGACGACTTCTCCCTACTTTACGGAGAAGGCAAGGATGTCGAATTTCGGGTCACTTATTGAGGTGGAACTGGTGGTTAACTGTCAAAAGAGAGAGCCATCCAATTATCTGTGCAAGCGAGCGATATCAAAACTAGGCAGGTATTAGGACCAACTCTTTTGTTGCGCAGTTGGACCTCGATCATTATTACAAGATCCGCGATAGGCTGAAAAGACAAATGGGTGAAAAATAAAAGAGCATTCACATCCCCCTTGTTAAACTCCTTTGACTTGCAGTTTCATCCTCACTATCAATCGACTTGCGAGTTATCGCCGTCTCGACCGTGATATGGATGCGTCCATCTGCGGGATAAGAGCGTCGTTTCGGGCCGACCTCAACCACACTTCCATTGCCAGTTGGTATCTGAGTTGCCCTGAGTCTTCCGGGCGCACTTTTTGTTGTCAGAGATAGGGTGTGGTCTGCCGGTGGTGTTCGGCTGTTTCTGTCTGAGCCGTTGCGGCTGCGGTCTTGAGCAACCTTGGTGATGAGATCTGACATGTTCATTTCGATGAACAGCTTGACCAAAAAGGCCAAGGAATGGAACTGGAGGTAACTACATGCAACAGGTCAGCCATGGCTCACGTGTAGGTCATCGACTTGGTTCTTACACAAGCTTGCTAGGCAAGGACATGAGCCCGATGAGAGCGATCTGGGTACACGTTTAGTGAATGTTCTAGCAGCAATAGAGAAGGAGACCATGAAATAATCTTACGTCGAGAGAAATGGAGGCCAAGATCATGCCACAGTTGAACTGGAACAAGGAGAGGTATTTGTCGTTGAGCCCGTGACTGACCATCCGGTTCCGGACCAGTTGGACGAAGCGCAGGTTAAGCAATAGGTCAATGATGGAAAAGATGGCCATTTCGCATCTCTCCCAGATCTCGCTTATTCGCATCCACTTGTGCGAGATCTGAAGCTGGGCGGGGACCCAGGTGACCATGACACTGATATTGACCAGCAATATGAGGAAGAAGACTGCCCATCTTAGTCGGGCGACGGCGGCGGGATTGGGCATCAGAAGTGCGAGACGGTTGACGATGATCTGCGTGAGAAGTTGGATCTGGAGTGACCAGAAGCAGGCTTATACAACAAAGTGGTAAGCGGATGGATTCTCAAGGAACATGGCGGTTCGGTGCTCGTTTACCTATAAGGAAGAACAATTGAAAGCTGCAAGAGGGTCATTGGTAAGTCTCTGTGCCACCAGACGGATGGTATACGAACCTTGGTTTAATAAATCCACGTTGGAAGCACCAAGCGAAAGCCCCAAGCACGATACTCACTGCCCATCCAACCCAGATCATGACGAGGTACGCCGTAACATGGCGCTTTCGTCTCCATATCTCCAAGGTCTGGATGGAGGCTCGGAGGGCGGCGAAAAAGACAAAAGCAAAAGAAAAGCCCCAAAAGATGCTGGAGCAGTTCATATCGACATCGTTGGGGGCGTGAAAGACGTATGAGTCTGGGACGAGGAAGCCATTGCTCGACATATTGGCCAGATTTGGCAGTACCATACAATCACGAATTGGCGGTACAATACAAAAACAGAAAAAAGACTTGTTTGCCTCCTCGAGGCGGGTGACCTCTCAGTTAAGAGGGACGAGTCGCCACGAGTCGCCTCCCACACCCTCTCAACCTTGGGATTGCGGGGTAGCGGTTGTCTAGTCTAGAAGGCGGATAGCTCGACGCATTCCCCAGACTCGTTTTGAAGAGTGAACGCGAGTCATGATGGGAGAGGCGTCAGCCGCAAAGTTACACAGTAGCAGGTCTGGATTCCAAGTTGCGGGGAAGAAGAGTCAAGTAACGCACGAGCGTTGATGATTTTGCTGATGCTGATGCTAATGTTACCTTGGCTGGTGAGCAGAGGCAGAATGTAGACAGTGCGTTTTTGACAGCAGTCAGTGAGAAGCTTAGCTTTAGAGGCTTGAACAATAACATGTGGCGGAGGGCAGTAACATGTGGCTGGTGGGAGGGGAGTTTTGGTCTTGATTTTAGCATACAACTTTGCCGATATGAAGCAACAATCTTGAGAGAATGATTGACATACTTAATACTCCATATTCAATTCTTTTAATATCATTTTAATCCCCTTTTACACATGTAATCTCGTTCATTCGCGTCTGCCCTGCTGCTCTCTTTCCAGCCCCGTTATCCGCTAGCTCGCATGGATATCCCCGGTACAGAAATACTCGCCTAACCACCTTAGTCAGCCGCCTCATTAGACAGCTGGCCAGGTACCCACTACACCTCCTCGTTGTTCACCGCTCCCGCGTTCTTTTAATTTTCACACGCCGCCATCAACGAACCTCTTCCTCCCTTACCCAAACACCTTCACGACAACCGATTAAGCTCTGCCCACCATGCGCGAGATTGTGAGCTTGCCTTCCGTCTGTTCTTTCTAGATCATCTGTGTGCTAATCAAGCTCTCTCCGCCTCGCAGGTTCACCTCCAGGTCGGCCAATGTGTACGTACTTATCTGCCCCTTTCCATGGTGCCACCTTTGTTTGTCGCGCTGTTGCTAACCTTCACAGGGTAACCAAGTCGGTTCTGCCTTCTGGCAGACGATTGCCGGCGAGCACGGTCTCGACACCAACGGCGTGTAGGCATCCCCCTCCAACCGACCGTCTCGTCTCGTCTCGTCGTCCTTTTCTCACGCTTCGACCAGGTACAACGGTAACGACCACGTCCAGCTGGACCGTATCAATGTCTATTTCAACGAGGTACACACGACATCGCGTGACATGATCCAACCCATTCCGTGTCTCGGTCTCTGATCGAGCTTCCCATAGGCATCCAGCAACAAGTATGTTCCCCGAGCCGTTCTCGTCGACTTGGAACCCGGCACCATGGACACCGTCCGCTCCGGTCCCTACGGACAGTTCTTCCGACCCGACAACTTTGTGTTTGGACAATCGAGCGCCGGCAACAACTGGGCCAAGGGCCATTACACCGAGGGTGCTGAGCTGGTTGACCAGGTCCTTGATGTCGTTCGTCGTGAGGCCGAGGGCTGTGATGCTCTCCAGGGCTTCCAGATCTCCCACTCTCTCGGTGGTGGTACCGGTTCCGGCATGGGCACGCTTCTGATCTCCAAGATCCGTGAGGGTAAGAGCTCAATCATTGACATGACGCGTAGTTTCGTCTACTAATCTCCTCCCCAGAGTTCCCCGATCGTATGATGGCTACCTTCAGTGTCGCCCCTTCGCCCAAGGTGTCCGATACCGTCGTTGAGCCCTACAACGCTACTCTTTCCGTCCATCAGCTGGTCGAAAACTCGGATGAGACCTTCTGTATCGATAACGAGGCTCTGTACGAGATCTGCAAGCGTACTCTCAAGCTGGCCAACCCTGCCTACGGTGACCTGAACCACCTCGTTTCCACCGTCATGTCTGGCGTTTCCACTTCTCTGCGCTTCCCCGGACAGCTCAACTCCGACCTGCGCAAGATGGCCGTCAACATGGTAAGCCATGCAACTCGATTGACCAGACATACGTTACTGACATCCTTCTCCAGGTCCCCTTCCCTCGTCTCCATTTCTTCATGGTTGGCTTCGCTCCTCTCACCGGCCGTGGCTCGCACGCCTTCAGCGCCGTCTCCGTCCCCGAGCTCACTCAGCAGCTCTTCGACCCCAAGAACATGATGGCCGGTTCCGATTTCCGCAACGGCCGTTACCTCACCTGCTCCGCCATCTTCCGCGGTCGCGTTTCCGCCAAGGAGGTTGAGGATCAGATGCGCAACGTTCAGCAGAAGAACTCTGCCTACTTCGTTGAGTGGATTCCCAACAACGTTCAGACCACTCTGTGCTCTGTTCCTCCCAAGGGTCTCAAGATCTCTTCCACTTTCGTCGGAAACTCGACTGCTATCCAGGAGATCTTCAAGCGTGTTGGTGAGCAGTTCACCGCCATGTTCCGTCGCAAGGCTTTCTTGCATTGGTACACTGGCGAGGGTATGGATGAGATGGAATTCACGGAGGCTGAGTCCAACATGAACGATCTCATCTCGGAGTACCAGCAGTACCAGGAGGCCGGCGTCGATGACGAGGCCTACGACGAGGAGTACCCCCAGGAGGAGTATGCTGAGGAGGAGCAGTAGATTCGAGTCAGATGAGGTGATTTACTTTCGACCACCAGACTACTTATGTCTATTCTGACCTCGCCACACATTTTATATACCTAATTGGCGAGCCCAAAGATTCTCATGCTGGCTTTGTATTGTGATGTGTATGATCCAGACCGAAATCTTGACGAAATCTTTCTGACCTGCGCCTTGCCCCCTCCATCATTGGGAATTACCTCGGTGGTGTCCTGATGTACCTAAATGCCATCTAGCCATGCAGGTCGCCTACGTGACCCTAAAAAAAACACAAGATACTATACTACGGCAAAAAGACTAGTGATAAGGCCTAAAAATTTGAAGAAAATTATCATAAGTAACTTAACAAATTTAGAAAGCAAATGCCCTGTAATTTCTTTTGTTTACCTCGTGGTTTACCTGTCATAGACTGTTAACTTGCTCATTACTGCTATCCAAGCTGATTGCAGGCGTGACGCCGCGCTGCTCACGAAGCAAACTTTGAACAAGGTTCTGGATTGGCTTATCCCAACAACAAATAGAAGAAAAGGACATCCATGCTTATGTGCTCTGAATTGTTATGCTCATTTAATTGTATACTGGCCGTGCTGTCACTTTTCTTGTCTTCTTTGGTTCAAGGTTATTATGACAATGGAGGGGAGGTTACCTAGGTAGGACTTGCATGGAAGGAGGTATCGGTAGATGAGTGTGGAAGGAACCTACCACGTGATTACCAAATCTGTTGGCTGGATACCTACCTAGGTAGGTTGCTGCGAGTCTCAACTCTCTCTTTTGATCTTCGTTGAGCCCTTTTCTTGACCCTTGCCCTTGCAACCTGCGTATGATTTCTATATTTTCTGGCCCCCCGTTCTCCCTGAACCGCTTCGCACCTCGCACATTTGACCCAAATGGCATCGCGTTCGCCATCTCGCGGCTGCTGCCAGTCGATACCTTAACCACCTCACGCAGGTTACGGCCATGGAGGTTACCATTTTGGAGGCAACGCCAATATCAACTACCAGGACCAAGGACAGTTCTCCCAGTACGGATCCAACGCTCAGGGGCAAGGCCGGCAGCAGCAGAACGGTCAGAACGAGTCAGCAGATGGCCTACAGCAACTGGATGACCATCAAAGGGAGGGGGAGGGGGCGGCTGATCGGGTTGAGGCCTCCAGCTCTGGACACCAGGGCGCATCCCGTGAGGCCTCGCATATTCAACCTAACTGGCATCACGTTCACCATCGTGTGGCCGTTACCGGTCTCGCTCGCGATCTGAGTACTCGCGTTCTCCCTAAAGCCGTTATAACTATGACTCCCGCGTTCCTACTTAATCACTAATACTGCGATCTAAGTATTTGTGTTCTCCCTAAAGCTATTACAGCTATGACTCCCGCTTTCCTATTTGATCGCCTACCCCTATGCCGCAACGGCCATTACAGGAGTCGTAATCGCACCCGTCGCCGGCGCCATGACCGTCGCCGTGACCGGGACCGTGACCGTGGTCGTATTCACAGTACCAGAAGCCGGAGTGGCTCCCCACTCGCGAAGAGCACACCTAGGCATCCCAGCCCGTGACGAAGTCCCGTTGAGGATGGTACGGAAAGCACCACCTCGGGACGAAAACAACATTTTCATCATTTTCCTCCATTGCCCCGTCCATCAAGCATTAATTATCAGCTTCCATCTCTGTCCCCCACACCCCAATAACGCGACACAGTCGTCCCCAGTCACCATGTATAGCTTGGGCAGAGTTGTTGATCAAAGTTTTACAGATGTGGTTGATGACCTTGCGTGCAGTGGTTACTCGAGAGCCCCCTTCGGCCGAAACCGACTATACGGGGAGATCAGACGAAGGGACCCAAACAGCTACTAAGATCAGACGAAATGACCGAACGCCTTGCTTACCTGCCTGTCGCTATGCTGAGCCTGCGGCATCTCGTCTGCCCACAGCCTAGCCTTCACATCATGAATCCTATTCCGGGTGATCAAATGGACGGACTCGAGTGGCTAGATTTCAAACAAATTCCTCGAATGACATGGCACGGCCACGTATGAAGCGATCTCACTCGCCTGGAACCCACAGTATAGGCAATACGAGTGCTACCTCTACCATATCTTATTTCCGGCACTCATCAAGCCTTAACTAACCTTGAATCACCGCGACATCAATGGAACCTACATCACTACCTCAGCCGGTCATGTTTCAAGGAGTTTACGGCACTGGCAGGTTTGATAAACCATTTGGAGAGTGAGAGCTGAGGGCTTTGAAAGAGATAGACCCCGGCGGAGAGGTCGCAACCTCGCGCGCTACAGCCAAGAAGGGCGTGGCCATGGCCTTGTCATCCTACTCGAGTATGAATCTTGAAGATGTCGCCGCAGAAAGTCAAGGTAATCCGTACATGATTCACGTTTGCTTCTACAAGGATCGTAGAAAGACCCTTGAGATCACTAAGCGTGCTGAAAGTAAGTACCGAAACGTGATCTGGCTCCAGATAAACTAACAAGGGCACAGCCGCTGGCTTCAAGGCTGTCTTGGTTTCTGTTGACATTCCTGTGTTGGGCATCAGGCCCAACGAACACCGCAACAACTGGGGAGTGCCCGAGGGTATAACCATGCCCATGCTTGCTGACGAGAACGGCATCATGCATCATGACGCCGATTATCTCAAGGTTGACCCTGCTGCCGATGCTGATGAGGTACTCGGTGTGTTTATGCATGTCGTGGAGGCGGTAGTCTTATCCTTCTTGGATCAGTGGTGATATTCCCTGAGCATATTAGAAATTTGTAGTATAGTTAGACTGATGCAATAGATGAACAGTGAATTTGACTGAATTTTTCTTTTGCCAAGTTATCAGCAAGGCCTATTGATTGACCAAGATCAAATGTGGCACGTCCAGGATGTATGAGGCAAACAACATGTCAGTGTATTGCTCCCAGGGTCTCCTATTAACCTGACCGGAGCTTGACTCTGCAGAAACATCGACTGTTATGTATCCTATTGTTCTGCTTCTTTGCAATGCTTATCAGGTCGCCGGTGTAATGCTGGACTATCCTGCTTGTCACCAGCAAGTCATTGCAGTTCATCGAAAGACATACCACAACCAATCTCGACCCCAAGAACGCGGACATAAAGCAGAGCGAATGAGCATCAGCTACAGTGGCGAAAGAAAGTAGAGACTGCATTCAGTATCTGGTTTGAATCATCGTGTACATACACCTCGATCCGCCCGCGATCCTTCCCCGTCCAGTCAAAGCTCCTTTGCAATCTTGTCAAACACTCCTAGAAGGATGTCCGCATGATGCTTCTGGAATATCAGCATTGGTCGCAGCCGAACTGACGATGCCCCACAGCCGCCAAGGTTGATGCCATGGGTTTTAGCTAGAGCCAAAAACTCGTCCCGCCGAGGGTTATCGAACGCGATAAATGTTCCCTCTCCCTTGCCTCGTAGGTTGCCAAACTTTCCGGGATACTTCTTGGCCAGCTTCTCTATTTCGCTGTAAAGATAATCCCCAACTGTACCTGTGTTCTTCACCAAGTCCAGTCGCTCAATCTCGTCGATAATGGCACCGAAGAGGATGGCACGGGCTGGGTCTCCCATCCAAGTGTTGAATAATCGGTACGGCTTATTGGGCCTCAGATCAGGGTTGCCAAAGTAGAAACCGCCTGTTTGAGCCTTCTTCGAGAAGGTAACCATATCAGGATCATCAGATAAGCCCCAATGTTCATGCGCCCAGAAACGGCCAGTCGCCCCAACACCGGTTTGGACCTCGTCAGCGATCAAGAGAACCTTGTGACGTCTCGTAATCTCTCTAAGTCCCTGAAAGAAGGCAGGACTTGCGTGATTGTCACCACCTTCCGACTGGATTGGCTCCACGATGACAGCGGCGACTTTGCTGGGGTAGCTCTTGATGATGTGCTCGGCTTCCTCCAAGCACCTCTTCTCCTCCCACTCGTTTTCCTCAATATGATCCTCAAGGGGATACCTGATGGCTGGGAACGGGCACTGAGGCCAGTCAAAGGCAGGTATGTCAAGCTTGTGGATCGGCTTGCTGCGAGTGGTGGACAAACTGCCAAAGAGACGGCCGTGGAAAGCGGCTTTGAATGACATGATGGAAAGATTGGGCGATCCTGGCTGATGGTTGAGCATGGTGCTGTCAAGCTCTTCCTGCGTGAATCCTGCATCGCGCTGACCTCGTTCTTGCTGCCGTTTCCAAATGAAGGCAGCCTTGTAGGCCAACTCGTTTGCGTCGGCTCCTGAGAGGGCCATGTAGACTTGGTTCATGCCCTTGGGTGCCACCTTGAGCAACCCCGTCTCTAGGATGCTAGCCCAATCGTTCTGAGGGAAGTTACCCAGAGCGGGACGGTTGATAAGCGCGGACGCCATAGCCGGAGAGGTTGCAGCCTTTAGCAAAGTAGGATTGTTGTATCCCACCGGGATAGAGGCGATTTGGGCGTACACATCCAGCATGACATTGCCGTCAACATCGGCAATATAGTTGCCATAGCTCTTGTGGTAGTCTACCATGAGGACCGCCGCGCTAGCATCAAAGACTTTGTCAAGTCTTCGTACTGCCTCCTTGCTCTTAGGACCCGGAAACGCAGTGACGACAGTGGGCCCTGCAGGCTCATCGGGGAGGAAGGGAGCCTCGTCCTTGGTAGCCTTTTCAGGCTTCTCGATAAAGGTCGGCATGATCTACGGAGGGGTGCGATGATGGTGATGGTTGAGAGACTAGGAAATAGCTCTGGGTTGAAGGAAGTGAAGTGGCAGGTTATATCAACATCGCCCAAGCGGCTCTCAGGCTTTCAGTCAAGAACAGATGAGATGCAAAGAGTCCAAGCACCCCGCAACGGTTGATCGAGGTTTGATCAGATGAGGGGTTCAAACGTAACTAGTGTCGTCATTGTCTATCGCCTTTCCCTTTGACTTTCTGCTTCACAAGAGGTAGTGTCACTAATAGACGACCAGCCAATCCAGTGTCAGACGGGATGGCCTTCCTAATTTAGCCCCCCACCACTTCTAATACTGTACCGTCACGGTCCGTCAGCAACCAAGTTAGTCATCTAGTCGGCGTATTGAACTGTGGCTGCATGTCTCACTACCTAGTCGAAGGATCTCCTGAAAATGCCGACTTGGTGGCTCATATAGCCGACTTCGCGATGGATCGTGGGGACCGTTTAAATCAATTAACAGCTAGGAAGTCCCCATTCAGAGTTGAACCAAGTATTGGCCCCGTTCCGAATATTTCTTGTGAGAGTCCTTCATAATCTATCGTTTCTTTCGCCCTCAGCACAACACGTCGGCATAGAGCTCGCCACCATGGCACCCAAGATTCTTGCCAACCTTGCCCGAAAGGACCTGTTCCGGACCCAGGGTTACATCGATGGTTCTTGGGTCAATGCAGCTTCAGGCAGGACCTTTGACGTCCTTGATCCTGCTACCCTTGACAAGATCGCATCCGTCCCAGAGATGGGATTAGAGGATACCCTCAAGGCCATCCAATCAGCACAGACGGCCTTTCAGTCATATAAACAGACGACGGCAAGACAACGTGCGCGATGGTTGCGCAGGTGGAGCGACCTCTGTCTGGAAAATGCCAACGACCTTGCCCTGATTCTCTGTCTTGAGAACGGAAAGACCCTGGCCGAAGCCAAAGGAGAAGTCACCTACGCAGCCTCTTTTCTGGAATGGTTCGCCGGTGAGGCTGAACGCACCTATGGCGAGGTTGTCCCGTCATCCAACCCAAAGCAGAGGATCCTAACCTTCAAGCAACCTCTTGGTGTTGCCGCGTGTATGGCTCCTTGGAACTTTCCCATCGCCATGATTACTCGGAAATGCGGTGCGGCTTTAGCTGCGGGTTGTACGACGGTGTGGAAACCAGCGGGAGAGACACCTCTGAGTTGCCTGGCGCAGGCTGTGCTCGCTCAAGAGGCAGGTTTCCCCAGGGGGTGCATAAACGTCATCACCACTCTCGACTTGGTGGCCGAAGTCGGCAAGACTCTTTGTACCAGCAAGACCGTGCGCAAACTGAGCTTCACGGGTAGCACGCGAGTTGGAAAGCTCCTCGCGAGCCAGTGCAGCGGCAATCTGACCAAGCTGTCCCTAGAGCTCGGCGGAAATAGCCCCTTTATCGTTTTTGACGATGCCAACCTGGAGACAGCCATCGAGGCTTTTACCATGGCCAAGTTCAGAAACTCTGGCCAGACATGCGTAACTGCCAACCGTGTCTTTGTGCAGAGCCGCATTTATGATGCATTCGCCGAAGCTCTTGTCGCCAAGGTCAAGACGCTCAAGGTCGGCCCCGGTACCGAGCCAGACGTCTTCATAGGGCCACTCACACATGAGCGCGCGGTTGATAAGGCCATGAGTCACATTCAAGGCAGGTAGTCTAGCAGCTCTCAAGGACCACCCATTCTAATTCTCTTTAGATGCAAAGACGCGTGGCGCCCAGGTGGTGTTAGGAGGAGCACCTCTAACCCACTACAAGGGATACTTTATCCAGCCGACTATCATCAAAGGCATGAACCATGACATGCTCATGACCCAAGAAGAGACCTTTGCGCCGGTAGTTGGGTTGTATAGGTTCGAAACAACTAACGAGGTTATCGCACTGGCCAATGACTGCAACGTGGGACTCGGCAGTTTTATCTGTACCGAGAGCACCCCTCGAATGTGGCAAGTGGCAGAGGCGCTCGAGGTTGGAATGGTGGGCGTCAACCTCGGAGTTCTTAGTGCGTGTGAGAGCCCATTCGGTGGGGTCAAGGAAAGTGGCTATGGTAGAGAAGGCGGCCGACATGGCATAGATGAGTATCTGACAGTCAAGTCGATGCTCATCAATGTGTCAACCAAGGAGTCAATGGGTTAATTTCATAGTAAGAACAGCAAAAATATTTCATTATTCGCGAGAAGAGTCTATCCAAATTGAACGTGATCCGTCATGGCAATTCTTTTGGTTGTATATATGAGACAGTGGGATAGAAACTAGGTACCAAGTGACGCATCTTGGACCTCCTGGAATGGGTGATTCAAATAGGGTCGCACCCTAAAACCATAAACACCATAGCCTAGATATTTCAAGCTTCTGCAGTAGTAACTATAGAACCTGAAAAAAGGCGAGTCTTATAGCATGCGGTACTTCTTTTCTTTATCTCAAGGGGAGACGATATCCTCTGGTTTGCGATTAGCGCTTTTGCCCTACCTCCATTGGCCATCCCCCATGAGCCGAGCGCCAAGGCCAACATGATCTCTCTTCTTCAAGTCATCATGGCTCAACGACAAAGAGCAACCAAAGGGGTCACCTGCTTTAAACATATCCATCTGGCCTTCTTCGCCTTAAATCCTAATTCGACGATTACTCCTTCTACTGGTTGCCAGAAGCGAACTCAAACCAAATAGAGTCACCTTCCTATCTAGGATAGTGGCACTAAGAAGACCACGAGTTAGTTAACTAACCCCTTTCGATCCATATCCTTCTTGGGAACACAAGAGACTTTAGGGCGTGTAAGTTTCCAGTCGCCGCAGACCTGTTGCATTGGACTTATTCTGGCCTTCAATTCGCTCAGACTGATCCTTCTCATGTGAGAGATGATAAAAGACCACATGCACACAACTTTGCCCATCAAGTCACTTCTCGGCATCATCAAACCCGTACACAATGGCCACCTCCGTCCTTAGCAAAGATGCGCCAGCTCCAAGCCCTCTCATGTCACAGGCTGTAGTCTACAACGGCATGGTATACTGCTCTGGTTCTCTCGGGATTGACCCTGCCACTGGGAAGTTTGCCACGGGTAGCGTCGCTGACCGTACGGTATGTACTTGTCCTTCAACGTTCCAAAGGAATTAGATTTACAAATTCTACCAGGCACAAGCCCTCAAGAATCCGGATGCTGTCTTGAAAGCTGTTGGAAGTGGCCTTCATAAGACAGTCAAAGTCAACATCTTCTTGTCCAGCATCAACCACTACAGCAGTGTCAATGATGCCTATGCAAAGTTCTTCACGCAAGAAGTCAAGCCTGTCAGTCTCCTCCAGTACTCCTGCAAGACTTTTTTTTTTTTGGCTGACCTAGTGATGCCAGTGCCGGACCTGTGTTGTGGTAGCCGAGCTACCGCTGGATGCCGAGGTGGAGATTGAAGCTACAGGATTTATTTGAGGGCTTGAGAACATGACCCTTTTGATAGTGCCATTTGATAGTGAAACCAATTTCTCTTCTACTGTGAGATGTTTGGAAATTCCATAATGCTTGGGAAAATCCAACTCTTGTTCCACAGTTCTTGACGGTCACACAAGAGCAATGCCAATGATTGTCTGTTTTACAACCAAGATAGCCAAGGAACATCTCACTTCTGTGCCACTGGGAGTTCAGCTTCAATAGTCCGAGAGTATCATATCTCTTTCACATTGCTCGTCCCATCATTGAAATCTGACAAGATTTCAGACATGCGCTGGGATGATGTTTTTCTTTTCTTCAAAAGCTTTGACTTTTAAACTGTCGCTTTTCAACCACACGCCTGCTCTTTATTTCACTTGTGTTGATGAAAATCTAGGCTTCTTCTTTTCTTTGATGTCTTGTGCCGCAGTGCGTTGTTCCGCCGCCGTCACTACACTACGTGAGGGAAGGGAGGTGAGAAGAAATGGACACCAGACATGGTAAGAAACTATTGTGTTGTGGTGCTGAGTGATAGTATAACCGAGCCATATTCATCCACATAGTACCAGGGCATATAGAAAATGTTGGGAGGTCTACCCAGACACCTATCTACAACCAACATCACTCCAAAAATGCCCCATTACAGGCGGCTAGCTCAAACTCGTAGTCCGGCTGGAAGTCTGTGTAAAGTCCATCCTTCAAATAATGTCAGCTGGTGCAAGGGACCGTACAAGGAGACTCTTACCGGGTTGCTTGTAATCTCGTAGGTGTACCTTGCTGCCTCCTCTTTGACCAGAATCTTCTCGAGGCCTGCGGCTTCAACCTTGAGTTGAATCTCACAGCAGGCTTCTAGAAGAGAGAAGAGGTAGGCTGCCTCGACAACCGTCTTCCAAACAGTCAACAAGGCGTGGTTTTGCAGGATGAGTCCTTTGCCTCTTGGGCCAAGTGTGGTTGCCAGCCTATCTCCTTCTTTCGGATCTAAGACGACTCCACCGAAATCTTGATATACCTGATGCGCATCCCCATAGAAGTTGCAGACGTCTTGATGAAGCATATCCAGCCGCTTTCCAAAGCTTGCCCATGCACGACCGTTGATCGAGTGGGCGTGACAGGCAGCGTTGAAGTGGGGGTGAGCGTGATGGCTGTGACTGTGAATTTGGAAGCCTGCTGCGTTGGCTGGCTTGCGAGTATTGCCGCCAATTGCCTCTCCGTTGTGGTTAAGCAAAATTAGGTCGGAAACCTTCATGAGACCAAAGTGATGTGCAATACTAGACAGTAGGGAGAGGTAAGCTGGTGTCGTCGATTTAGGGATGCATGGATGAAACAACATACGAATTCGTCCAGAAGCAATCTGAATGTTCAGGGTCTCTCAGAGAGATGTGGCCTGCCAGTCCTTCAGTATAGCCCTTACGGGCAAAGACTCTGAAGGCACCAGCCAGATGTTCAAGCATCCATCGTCGTTGTTTCTCAAACGAGTTGAAGTGTGGTGGCCCCTGAAGAATAGTTCCCTGGGAGAGACTCTGGAGGGCGTTGCCTTCATGGAAACCTGTTGACTGGTCCCTCAGCTGGTCTTGCTGCCGTTCATTCTTGGCGGTCTTGGTGATGACGACGGTAGAAGTTGAAGACATCTTAGAGGCTGGATGATAGTTTGTGCTGTTGAATGTTGTACGATTCCTCGAATGGCTGGATGGCTTCACGCGGCCTAGACAGGGGATTGTTATACATCCACTTGGAGAAGAGCCAAGGTAATGACTCAACAAAGGGGATCAACATACCGTGCACAGCGGTATACGGGAGTCGATTGCTTTAAGGGGTCACATGCCAAAATTAAAATCAGGATTAGATCAATGGATTGCCAAATTGATGGAATTTGATCTGTACATGAAGAGTGATTACCTATAGATGGTTAATAATGGATGTGATTGACATTGATCCACGTAGAAACGGCGAGCTTCTGCGGCTTGGCTATGCTAGGGTCTCTTCTAATGAAGCAAGCAACCGCATGATAACAAACGGCTTTGGCCATTTGAGACTTGGATAGTGCATCGTCTCTTGGCCAAAACGGGACACGACATACGGCATATTGGTGCCAACGAAAAGCGCAGCACATGGTATCACCTACCCAAGGTGGTCTACGGGAGCTAACTTCCTCATCTTGGAAGATCATCGAGGTCTCCGGTGCAAGTATCGCCTCCTATTGGCTAACAAGTCCGACGCCGTGGCGGAGCCGGCGTCACGGAATACACAGCCAATCAGCGATCGACGCTTTCAGCTTCCCTCTTTCGCCATGCCTCGTTATCTTGAACATTTTACTAGAAACAATGCTCTTGATGACACGCAGTAATGACAGAGGGGCTGGGGGTCTTAGCCTGTAGAGACGCGTAGCTCGGCTGTCTCCGAAGTCACGGGAAGAAGCTGCAAGCCCCCAGTTTGACTTGGAAACAGAGGACGATATGGGACAAGACAATGTTTTACTGTTATATAGACTATGCCCTGTCCGCTCAACTAAGACATCACTGCAGGTCTCCTTAGTACGTATACCCCAACAACATCATGGTTTCCGCTAGAAAGGATAAAGCCAATGTGCTCCTCATCGAGGGCAGAGGTGTTAGAGCGATTGTGGCACTCAACATCGAGACCGGCGGACGAGGCGCTGTGACCTCGGTGTTGAGATCCAACTTTAACATAGTCAACCAACAAGGATACACCATCAACAGCATTGATCATGGCGACATTCCCAGCTGGAAGCCTACACGAGGTGAACAACTCTTGAATGTTTCCTTTATAGACACAGACTCACTAAGTCATTCTCAGTCGTCAACTCGGTGCCTAATGTCGCGAAAGACTCGTTGCCGCCTTTCGACTATGTCATCACGACGACAAAGAATTGCCCCGATGTGCCCCCCCACGCTCCCAGAGATCATCGCGCCAGCCATCACTCCTGGCCACACTGTCATCGTCATGATACAAAACGGGCTCAACATAGAGAAGTCCGTATTTGAGAGGTTTCCACGCAACATGGTCCTCTCGGGTGTCTCCATGATTGGTTCACATGAGAGACAAGTGGGCATCATCTCCCACGTCGACCCCGACATCCTCTATCTAGGCGCCTTTCATAACCCCAACTTCGAAAATGACAAGGACGAGGTTGCAGCTGCGCATGAGTTCATCAAGATCTATGGAGCAGGGGGCAAAACAAACGCCCAGTTCTCCAGCGACGTCCAATAGGCGAGGTGGCGCAAGATCATCTTCAACGGGGTCATGAACCCACTCTGCGCCATCACGAACCTAGACTCGTCGAGAGTTAGGCTGACTGACACCCTTGTGGAGGGTCTTGTAAGGCCAGCCATGAAGGAGGTGTTTGAAGTTGCGAGCAAGTGCGGTTACCAGTTGCCCGAGGATATCATCGACACCATGATCAATCTGGATCCTATGGATCTGTATCTCGAGCCCAGCATGCTTTGTGATTTTCGAAATGTAGGATCCAACTTCTAAAAGGGTCACTTGGGCCTATATGATGGCTATTGGAGGGCTAACTGTTCCTTCTTCTCTAGGGAAACCTGATGGAGGTTGAGTACTTGGTAGGCGAGCCCCTGCGGGAGGCTAAGAAGGTCGGAGTGTCCACACCAAATCTGACGGTCATCTACGAGATTTTCAAAGCGATACAGTGGAGGATGAAGGAGGGAAAGGGGATTGTAACGATTCCTCCGAAGAGGGTAGATTGAGGGAAGGTTGCTCTCAGCGAGGCGTGACATTGTCTCGGCTAGGTGGATAGAATTTAGGAGATACGCATCAAGCAATACAATCCCACCTCCAGTGGACTGAACAAGATAGATGGTGTCGACGTAGATGCCTCAAAAGGTTGCATCGGGCTGTTATTACGGAGGTGGCATCTGGCCTTAACGCTGTGTCGATAACAACCCATGGATGAATAAGGGCCATCTAGATGCAATGAAATGAAATGAGAAGAAAGAATTTCCTATGATTTACCACAGCTCAAGGGCATTGACTGTTGTTAAACAAATTACGGCCAGGGATTAAAATATTGCTTATTCGTAATGCATTCCCACAAATCACCCATCTTTCGCCTAAACAGTAAGCCCTATAATTCTAGTCTCCCATGTGCGTCGTCAAGTGAGAACAAGATGCAACTCACCCAAAGCTGGGAAGCCAACAGGGGTATTAGTCTGGGTCCAGATACCTAACAGGGCGTCTTTAGAGAGCGTAGAAGTCCAAATCCCCTCAACAGTAATTTTGTTAAACCATGCGATGAACCGATCCTGCGTAGGCTTGCTCATGGCCTGCGAACCCGCGACAATGGCCGGCCAAGGCATATGCCCGGTCTGAAGTGAGTGGTTCTCCTTTGCTCGCTCAATCTCCTCGAATTGACGGATAGCCTCATGGACATAAGGCTGTAGGTGCCTGCGGTGCATGCCTTGGGCTTTGCGGCTATAAAAGATAATGATCGCTTGGTGTATCGCTCGCGTATAGTGCTGCATCACTAAACGGTTCCCTTCTGAGACTGGTGCTGCCTCCATTCGAGCAACGGCTTCATCAACTGGCCATTCAAGAATCTCATCTTCCAGGTGTCTAATTTCTGGGTAAGAGGACTGGCTGACTTGGCTTCGTTACCTTGTTCCTGTTGGTAGATAGTGCGCAGGATTCAGGTTGCCTTCCGGAGAAGAAGTAGCAGGCTTCTTGGGAGACCAGATATCATCCCCAAAGACCCTGATTCGAACCCTCGGCCCGTGTCCCGGGGGACCATAAGGTCCGCTATATCTTCCAGCTTCTCAGCATGGCTTGAAGCGCTACCGGCTGACCTTGGACTCTGCTGGGGCCGGTCAAACAGCAGGTTGGTGGCTTCCTGCATCGTCCTGAGGTAGAGAAAGATGACATAATGTCCTTTGGTCGTATCGCAACTGGGGGTGCCACACCTGGCAATACGGGCTCTGATCAGCGTTTCAGAAGCCTGCAGGTGGATTTTGGAGGTGCTTGTATCACCCGAGATTACCTGGGAATAGTCAGCACATGGGGCTTGTAGATTTCGTGAGAGGATCCCTACATCGATTGTAACCATGCACAGCATAGCTACCAGAAGCTCGTTGTAGACGGAGTCGGTGAGGTCGGCGTACGACTCTCCTACGCACGTCTCGAGCAACTTCAAGGCCTCGCACTTGTAGTTGGAGGCCACATGACCTCACCTTCGACTCACCTCGTGGTCAGATGAGTTGACATTGCGTAGGTTGTAGGCACTGACTGTTAGGATTGTCTGGAGAAGGGCTCTCCGTGACCGCGGTGCGTGGTCCATGATCTCTAGTTCGATACTGCACTGAAGTGCGCGACGCAGGTGGAAGTCTTTCCAAGGAGAGCTCGGGAGATCAAGGGGACTGAATATAGGAAGAACGTTCTCAACGTAGTTTCGAAGCAGGTGTCGAACTTCGGCCTTGAGGAAGACCTCTACTGATGGGCCGCCTGCGGGAGAGTACACTTTGGGAGAGTGGTAAGTGTCAGGCGACGTAAAAGCATCATCTGCCTCCATGTCCTCGGCATAATCCTGGTCTTGAAGAACTCCGACCATGGCCGTTTTAGTAGGCGGGAGGTTGGGCTGCGGCGGGGTTTCATTGATGGGGATAGTTCTTTCAAGCTCAATACCTATGTTTGCATGGCCCATCAGCTGGTGCTGGGATGCTGGAGTAGCAGGTTCCTCATGAAGGGAAAAATCCAGTCCGCCAATATCTGGGCCATCATCCAAGGCTCGGTCGACCAGGCTAGGTACTTGCACTTCATCCTCTGTATGCTCAACCAAAGCCTCGGGCTCTTCGCAAGTAAGTGGCAGTGATTCGGGTGCACTACTGCTGCTCTCAATGGCAAACACTGAGAATGGGCCACATGATTTGGACGCCGAGCGTGCTGCAGCTTTGTCAATGTCAGACAGCGCCGCCTCGATGCCCAGAGATTTCATGCGAGAGGCTGAGACCAGGTTAGCCACTAGACATTGTGGTGTGAAACGGCCACTGTGACTTGCCAGGAAGAAGCCTCCTCCTATGCATGTCTTGAGGCTCAGTTGGTGTGTCATTGTCCAGATGGCCGTAGATGGAGGCGGGGTGCATCCACTGAAGCCTGGTATGGTAGCCTCCGCAAGAAATGCCCTTCAACTGACACTGAATGCACTCTGGCTTCGTCTCATCGCATTTCAACCGACGGGACCGACATGTCCAACATCCTGTGAATGTCTTGCGAGGAGGCATCCTGATTTGGAGGTTGAGTGACTAGACCCAGGTAAAGCCAGAGGCTGCCGGTTGAACCTGTGATGCAGCAGCGAAGCTCAAGTTTATGAGATTGAGTCAACAATCTCTCAACACGGGATTGATTAACGAATCAACGCGGTTCCAATGATAAACAGCTGAACTTGGTATAATGGGATGGAACTCCTTGCAACCTGAATGCAAGGGTCCGATGATAAGCGTCGTCACTCCACATAGGGGCGTTTCTCTGGTCAAAGTCCCCGCATTCTGGAAACATGAATTGGTGGCTTTCTATTGGCTTAATCGGCCGAATTTCCGGGATCGGGGTTGATAAAGAGGACTGCTAGCTGCCACACCCCGCATGGAAGCACGACCACACTTGACCATCTTTATCGGCGAGATCGGAGCACGAACCGAGAGGCTGGTGAGTCAAGAATAGCCGACTGAAAGGTGTGGTCATTGAATCAAGTTGCCGAAAGATACGGTAGCACCAAGTCAGAGTTCTTCCCCCACTGTCAGCTCGCTCTATCTTGTCAAGAGCCATGGCCTCCAACCAAACCCTAGCCATTGTTGGCTGCGGTAAGTCATGGTACTTGTAGACGAGATATAACGAGGAAACTGAAACCATAATGCAGGCAACATGGGCTCTGCCATCTTGAGCGGTTTGTTAGACGCCACTCGGTCAGACCCGCATCCCCGGATTTCGCGATTCATCGTCGTCACCAAGACGGCCGAGTCTATAGATCGTCTCCGGTCTCAATTTAAGGACGAAGAATCACGGATTGAGCTAAGCCATGGAAACACTGTTTGGGCCATGAAAGAGGCCGATATCATCCTTCTCGGCTGTAAGCCACACATGGCACAAGACATCCTGAGTGCCGAAGGCGTGCAAGAGGCGCTTTCTGGAAAGTTCTTGATCAGTTTTCTAGCAGGGAAGACACCTCAAGTTCTGGAACGCTATATCGGCAAAAACAATGGCGCAGGCTCAAGTCCCTATGTTGTCCGCGCAATGCCCAACGTCGCAGCGCGAATTCGCAAGTCAATGACCATTGTCGAGCATAACCCCTCCCTCCCCGATGAGCTGAGCGACACCTTGCGCTGGATCTTTGAGCAGATTGGCAGCGTCAAAGTGTTGGCTTCTGAGCTGTTCGACATTGGCTCACTGCTGGTCGGGTCATCAATGGCTATTCTAACTGTCGGCTTGGATGGACTTCTAGATGGGTGCGTCATGGAGGGTTTGCGAAGGCCTGAAGCTTTGGAGATGGCAGCACAGAGCATGCTAGGGCTGGCCGAGATGCTACGACAAGGCGAGTGCACACCGGCAGAGTATAGGGAGAATGTCTCGTCACCGAAGGGGGGCACTATCACAGCGCTGTTGACGGTTGAGAAGGCCGCGGTGAGAGGCACGTTTGCGCAGTCCATCATAGACGGGACCAAGAAGATACAGGGATGAAGCATAAATCTATGACTAGACGATAAAAAAAATAGACTACAAGTATCAAGACAAGGGATGTTAAAGTAAAGTGTCTACCGTCGTTTTGACGTCTTTAGTAGTGTCAGTTGTTTGCACCCAGAGTTAAGATACTTTCTTCCACATCAACGACGATTCCATGGCTCTCATCATTGTCCAACTTTTTAGATTGATGCATAACCTCCCATGTCTGTCCCTAGCTGTCTCTCCTTCACCTCAGAAAACATTTCATAACTTAAACACCGACTTCTATCTCGCCCCGCTTGCTAGTTAATAGTAGATAGCTTCTCTGAACCCTAAATACGTATCGGCACTAGCGAACGAGTTTCCCTCCAACTCATCCTAGTCCTGTATCTTGATGACAAACTTTTCGCCTGGTGCATGGTCTAGATATACCTTCTCTGCATCTTCCAACGTGACCTCTTTCCATCTACCATCGTCAGCTTGCTCCCACTTGCCATTCTGAAAGATGGGCTCAAGACTTTGAAGCAGCCCAGCCATCACACTGCTCTTGTGTGCCACCGAGTTGATGCCAATGAGGCTCTTCTCAGCGCGGTAAAAGTCTCGCATCTTGAGTGTCAACGTCGGACTTCCACCTTTTGGCGCCGCGATAAAGACCAGTGTGCCACCGTGAGCAAGGGCGCTGTCGATGGCGGCCGCTGTCAGAGCTGGGGCGCCAACTGTGTCAATTACGACATTGACACCCTTCTTGTTGGTCAGATCTTGCACCGCGAGCAACTCGGGATCGGCGCTGGTATCGACATCGGCTCCAGGTCCACGAACGGCTCGAATAACCTGACAGCCAAGCTCCTCCAGCATAATTGCAGCCGCACTGCCAACAGCACCTCGAGCACCCAAGACAAGTGCTTTATCCCCCTTCACAGCATCTGAGCGCTTAACCATGAGAGCTGCTGTTGTGAAGGGAACTCCGATGGTGGCTGCCTGTGTATGGGTGAGGGCTGATGGCTTTGGCGCAACACCATCGGTAGGCACAACAGCATATTCGGCGTGAAATCCATCCTCCGTAAAAGCGTGAGTGAAGCCCGAAGTGCCGATAACGGCAGAGTTTAGAAGCGGAGAGGGTTCAGCATCACCAGAGGCGACAACGATGCCAGAAAAGTCTCGCCCAGGAATTCGTGGAAACGTGGTTGAGCCAAAGCCGCCTAGGGCGTTGAAGCTGTCGGAGGGTTGAATAGCAGAGGCGTGGACCTTGACAAGCAAGTGTCCCGGAGGAGGCACTGGAACTGGCTGCTTGGTGGTGAAGGAAAGACTCGGCTTGAGAGAACCTTCGGGTTTGGTGAGGAGGAGGGAGCGCATGAGAGTTGGACGTGATGAAGACATGGCGGTTGGGAGTCAAGAGATGGAGGATTAAATATTTATGCACTGACGATGACTATAAGTTCAACTTGCCATGGAAGAAAACCCCGAAACATATATCTCAAAGTTATCGGGTCATTGCGGGTTCCAGATATTGATTGATCCGCAATATCCGCGCACCCGCGATTTCCGCGCCGATCCGCAGCAGCCGGGGGCAATTGCAATGAGATAGTCGATGAGACGACGTCACGATTGGATTATTTATCACAGAGTTTTACAAGGTTTGAATCTGATAAATACAAGACATGGCGCACTTTAATCTACACGAGATGGCAACATAACTTCAACAATTCCCGTTGTCCTATCTTTCCCGCCCTCCCACTTCTGTTCCTCTACCCACACAGCAGCCGTCTCACAGCCTCTAACAATGTCTGAACCACATCAAGGTCGTCCCTCTGAGGACCCCGAAAAGGCCCATTCCGAAAACGACAACAGAACTGAAGGATCGGCAAGAAACTCGACCACGGATGAACGTTTTGAGACCTCGGATGAACACTTTGAGCCACCACATTCACTTCTCGGCGAGATAACATTTATTGCCATCGTCTGTTCCGCCCAGCTCATGACCCAAGCTGGCCTTGCTCTCAGTGTTGTACCGATGCACATTATCGGAGACTCTTTCGGCATAGACAATCCCGGACAGATCAGCTGGTTTACTGCCGCATACTCCCTAACCGTCGGCACCTTCATTCTTATTGCCGGCCGCTTGGGCGATGTGTTTGGCTACAAGCGCTTCTTTGTTGGCGGCTTCGTTTGGTATGGCCTCTGGTCACTTATTGCCGGCTTTTCCGTCTACAGCGGTCCAATACTTTTTGACTTCTGTAGAGCCATGCAAGGCATTGGTCCCGCGTTCATGCTCCCCAACGCCATCGCCATCTTGAGCCATGCCTACGAGCCGGGTCGGCGTCAGGACATGGTGTTTAGCATGTTTGGCGCCACTGCACCTGGCGGATTCGTTTTGGGAGCAGTATTCAGCAGCCTTCTAAGCCAGAGGGTCTGGTGGCCCTGGGCTTATTGGGTCATGTGCGCTGCTTGTCTTTCACTTGCCCTGGCCGGCTTCCTCATTATTCCCTCCTCCCAGCATTCTCTTAACCGGGCGCCTTCATCATCAAGTATCTGGATGCGTGTGGATGTCCTAGGTTCCATTACTGGCGTGGTGGCGCTCGTTCTATTCAATTTTGCCTGGAACCAGGGCCCTACCGTTGGATGGACTGTTCCTTATACTTACATCACTCTGATCCTCGGTGTATTACTCTTTGGTCTTTTCTACTTCATTGAGACCAAAGCAAGCCACCCACTCATCCCTTTCGGTGTCCTGAAAGTGGACTCGATATATGCTCTTGGCTGTATTGCCGCAGGATGGTCAAGTTTCGGAATCTTTGTCCTTTACATCTGGAATTTCCTCGAGATTCTCCGTCAACAGACTCCGCTTCTCACTTCAGCTCAGTTCACTGTCGTCGCCATCAGTGGTCTTTGCGCTGCCCTAACTACGGGTGTTCTCCTCAGTCGCATACCTGCTTCAGCCGTCATGCTTATCGCAATGACCTGCTTCACCGTCGGCGGTATTCTTTTCGCGACTCTTCCTATTAAGCAGACCTACTGGGCCCAGACCTTTGTCGGCCTCATTATTCTTCCCTGGGGAATGGACATGTCTTTTCCAGCCGGAACCATCATCTTAAGCAGGGCGATGCCCAAGCAGCACCAGGGGTTGGCTGCCTCTTTGGTCAATACCGTCGTTAATTACTCCATCTCTATCGGTCTGGGATTTGCGGGTACTGTTGAGTACAATGTTAATGGCGGAGGTCAGGATATTCTCCTTGGTTATCGGGGGGCGTGGTATGTGGGCGTTGGACTGGCAGGTCTTGGTATTGTGATTGCTCTCGGATACTGCCTAGCAGAATGGTGTCGAAGACGGGGCGCAAGATGATTTGTAGTGTTGGAGAGGCTATTCAAAGACGCGAAGGAAGAAGGGAGTAATTAAATTGATAATTGGGTTTCAACAATAAGCAGCTACACAACTCTGGGCGGGCCGAAATAGCTCTGCTCGTGCTGAGCAACACACCTGGTATCCCACTGTTCCAACGCTCATGTACGACTGGGATAGGTTGTTCTACAATCAACTGAATTTGAGTTCGAGAAAGGTTCGAGATCTCCTCCCACAGAGGTGATAGGCTGGCTGTGGTCGGGTCCACGATGCTCTTCCTGTAACCTGAATGGCTTCATGGCATGTATGAAATGTTACGCCCTGTTAGGACACACACCTTTTAAAAGTGTAAGCACTAACAGCTCTTAGCCGCCGCATTTAAAGCCAAAGCGGGGTGGGACAAGATTGATCCGGACGCAAACAAAACGCGGCGTCTCAGGTCACGCCGAAACTCTTCCAAGATAGGCATGCTTTTGTCGCCTACCCAACTTGATACATCGACTACCTAGGCATCTTGGCTTCCACCATGAGCCTAAGCCATGGCCCGCAAGGTGCTCCAGAGCCATCGTTGAAACGGCGACGCATAAGAAAGGCGTGCATTCCTTGTCGTCAAAGAAAACGCAAATGTGATGGCAACTCACCTTGTGGAATGTGCACCACCTATGGCTACACTTGCGAGTATGCTCACGACGACAGCCCTCTAGCTCCATTCGTCTCGCAGTCCCTTACGAATGCATCAAAGAGTCCCATCTTGAACCCCTCAAGCAACCAGAGCCCGGAAGCTATGAACTCGAGCACCTCTCGCCAAGAAACATCTCCTCCAGTGTTCGAAGGTGGCATGCTGGATGAGCGACAGCCACGTTATGTAAATGCATCCTCGGCGATTGCATTCCCTCATATTCTTGGGCTACATTTGGAATCAGAGAAACCTCCCAATTTGCATTCATTCGGCTACAACTTTGGCATTCGACCCGAGGAAAAGTCGATCCCACGCGGGGACCTGGCAGAGCTCATATCTCAAGCAGAGTTGGTGACGTTTTCTAACACCTTCTTCACCGTCTTTGGTGTCATCTTTGATCTCCTAGATCAGAGCATATTCCTCCAACAGTGCCGTCTTTATTACCAAGGCCAACTCCGCGATGGTGTCTTCGCAGCCGTGGCTGCCGGTGTTGCAGCAATTGGGTCCTTTCTCTCTTTCAACAATGGCCATGACTGCGAGGTCGACATCGTTCATTATGCCAAGACAGTTCTTGAGGACCCAGCAGCAACGCGCAGAGCCTCTGTGCAACTGGTTGTCGGTTGGTCTCTGCGCGCGGCATATCTACGATTCACTACCAGACCCAACAACTCTTGGATAGCTTCATGCACGGCAATGCATCTGGCAGAAGCTCTAGGTCTACATGAAGAAGAGAATATTGCCAAGATTGCGAATATGGCAGGTGCTTCGGTGTCAGGTTTCACACCGGATAGACTTAGACGCATCTTCTGGTGTTCTTGGTCGTTTCACATCATTACTTCCTACGAATATGGCCGCTCTGCTGTTATTTTTCCTAGAGTTTCATGTGGTAGTATCTTTCCAGTTCCCGGATCATTTGCCTACCAGCACGTACGGATGGCCGAGATCTTGCCATCACCAAACTCGACATTTTGTCTGGCAGTCAAGCCTCAAGACTTGGGAAAAGAAATGCTAGAGCGCATGAAAGCTCTTCAGGAAGCTCCATTGGGTCACCCGTTCTTGATTTTAACCAAGGCGGACATCACATTCTACCTATATCGACGCATGCGTCAACTAAAAAGCCCCGTCACCGATGAAGTCATTCAGCTTATCATTACGGCAGGGAACAATGCTGTCGAGGCAGCATGCCAGCAGGTCCAAAAAGGGCATCTCTTCTTCAACGCACTGGGGAGCGTGTTTCAGTATGCCTGTGTTCTCCTCGCCCTCGATAACCCCCTCGCATCTTCTAATCTGGATGGCACATTCGATGGCCTTGAGACCATAGCCAGTATTGTGGACACGAGATTGACACGGGAAGCTCTAAATACGGCACGACACCTGTTGAAAGCCAGCATTCAGAAGAAGAAACAGCAAACCTCGACGCTAGAGGCCGTGGAGGCCAGGTTCACAGACACGGAGACGCCACCTGGGTTATTAGACATGACTCTAGACTGGGACCAGATCTTGAACGAACCATACATGTCTTTTTTCAGCCCTTCGGAGCTATGAACGTGTATCAAGTCTTCATGTTCTACGATAACACAGGCAAGAAATCTAGACCTAGAAGATATTGCATGGAATAGATCAATATCGATGAAACCCCTTTTCTCTGTCATTGAGACCTGAAAGATACCTAGCATCAGTTTTAGGTGGATTTATTGTTCCAGATTTCCTTAAACACGAGAAATCCGAAGTGTCATGATCAAGCCAGCGCGAGTAGAGTACTTGGGGTCCGTGGTGTCTTCAGGAAGCAAGTGTCCGTCCCCATTAGCCACGAGTGCCTCCGCAAGCGTACACTTTCCAACCGTCGCAAACCCAAGCTTCTCATAGAGGTGCACCGTCACAGTGTTTTGGGGCTTAACCATCAGCCTGACAAGGATGTTTGGTGATTGTCGTGTGTGTTGGAGATGTTTCAATGCCTCCTGACAAAGCTTCTGGCCCAAACCCTTGCCACGGTGTTCAGCCAAAGTGAAGAGACTCAACATCTGCCAGCGCTCTTCGTCTTCATCCAAGCCCGGGGCGGGTTGCCCAGAGGCTTCTGGGAGAGAATAATCCACCCGACTAACCGGCCCCCGGATAGTGAGCTGGCCAACCCACTCTACAGAGGAAGTAGAATCTGCTTCGCGACTTGTGGCAGCACAGACAAAGTTTTCTCGGTCCCCCTCAAGGAGCCTCTTGATCCAATCATCCTCAGTAAAAGCAGACTCAATCTCATAGGTGGACGAGAATGACTCAGGGGACGTCTGGAGAGCTTTGAGACGCAGACCGCGGTACAGCCTCGCGGACTCCTCAATTGAAGTT